CCGGCCTGGTACAAGCCCAAGAGGCTAGTGCTTTTTCGTCGGTACTCGTTGGATGATCATTCGCCGAGCAAACGATCCACAATTCCGCATAGATCCCTTGATCACCGAGGATCCTTTCCTCGATCATTCACATCGAATTTTTAGCGGGCCGACTCACTTTAAAAAAGTTCGATCTCAGTAGTGGCGCCGCCCTCTGTGCCAAGTGTCCACAGCTTGCAGCTTCAGATCCTAGCTAGCTAATGGCCACATCAAGGCTCTGGCTCTTTCCGTGTTCGATCCTCAAGGGTTTAGATCTTGGCTCGCGGGGTTCATCCGATATGCTCCATCATTGTTCTACTTATGAGCCGCTGACTAAGTTGCCCGTGGGGTTTCGGCTCTAGCTTTCCTGCGGCGATGGCCGTTGTGTAGTATTTTTAGGTGCCTGGCCGTTGTGCTTCAGGATTCTCGCAGGGTAATTGAGTGTTCTTATTGCGAGGAATATAGACCCAGGTCCCAAAAAAAAAAAAGCGGTGGAGCAAGTGGCTGAATAAATCAAAAGCGCACTACTTTCAAACTGGTAAAAATTCCCAGGCGTGTCGGTTTCCAGTTGAAAACGTGCAAAAAAGAGCAAAAGAAAAAGCTAGCTTTTTCCTCGCCCCCACTGGAATAGGCTCGCAGCTCTTTCGCTCCGCTCTAGAGATTGGACGCAGAAAAGTGCTAAAGGCTAAAACCTCTCGAGCCCCCAACGGAATAAGTCCGCAGCCCTTTCGCGTCGCTCTAGAATCTGGACGCAAAAAAGTGCAAAAGGCTAAAACCCTACGAGCCCCCACTGGTATAAATTCCCAGCCCTTTCGCGTTGCTCTAGGACCTGGGCACAAAAGGAACAAAGCGCCGGCCGTTTTCTCCTTTGAAATCCGCACCCAAATCAGCCCGGCCGCGTGTCGTGCTTGTCTCGGATGGGGTCCGTCTGTTGTTCGCAAGTGTCGCCCTTGATAGTTCTAACCATTTAGCCTACTTTAGTAGGATGCGAGCCCTTCTCCTTTTGGAGAGACATGCGGACGGTTGCCGGGCTTTGGCTTGCTTTCTCGAAGCTGATCCCTGCGAATCCGTGGGGCACGTCGTTACACTGGACAGCTACCAAAGGGCGGAGCCAGTCCAAAGACTTCGCCCAGCCTCAGAGACACAGCACGGCGCACGCCAGCCGCAGCCACCGCGGCGCGCCCTCGAATCACCGGGGGAGGAGAAAGGAAAGAGAGAGGAGCAGACGGCAGCGACATGCGAGCCAACCCGCGCAGAGCTCGCAGGGCTGGGCTCTCTGGTGAGCTTTCGCGGCTGTCGTCTTCCTCTGGCTCCCTTCTTCGCTCCATTCTCGCTCCCCTGTGATTCGGGGGCGCGCCGTGGTGGCTGCGGCTGAAGCATGGCCACGCACCGCCCAACGGCCTGAGTGTGTTCCCCCGTCTTTTCTGCTCAGTCGTTCCACCTGTCTGTCCCGTCGTCTTGTCTGTCCCGTCGTCTTGTCTGTCCCGTCGTCTTGTCTGTCCCGTCGGTGTGTCTGTTCCGTCGTTCTGGCTGTTCGGTCTTGTTTCTGTCTCTTCTGTCGTTCTCCTTGCTTGGTCGTCTTGTCTGTTTTGTCGCTCTGTTCGCTCCGTAGGAAGTTCTGTCTGCTGCGTCGTTCAGCTTGTTCGGCTGTCTACTCTGTTCAGTCGCCGCGCCGATGTGCAAGCGGAGCAAAGTAGCGACGCACCTGCGCACCGCGACAAAGCGACGCGGTGGCGGGGTGCATAGTATCCCCGGAGGCTTGCGCGCTTGTGGCCTGTGCTCTCACTGTGGTGGGTGGCGGAACGCGTCCAAAACCTCCAAGGCGGCGAAGGCTTTCCGGGTGCCGTTATCGGTTTCGCCTGGGTCGCTTATCCATCGGCTTCGGCTTTTGAACACTTAGGGAGAAAGCCCGCCAAAAAGCGAGACACCCAGCGAGGCCCCACAGATGGGGAATGGCCACAACACAACACACAAACGCGGGAAAAAGGCCAAAGAAGCGAAGACAAAACGCAAAAAGCTGCCGGCAGTTTTGCCAGTCCCTTAGCGGTTTCGGCTTGCCTAAGTTCTGTCCCGTAACAGTTTCGAACTTCATGCGGGCATCGGTTCCGAGTGGATACCCGCGAAACTCTTAGGCGAAACCGCTAAGGGGCAGCGTTGTTTCGGTTCCCTTGTCGATTTCTCTGCCCCCTTTTTCCCCCGTTTGCCTCCCCCGGTCTCGCTCAGGGCGTGGCCGCGTTTTGCTCTTGAGCCGTCCGCTGTGTCATCGGTTTCGCGTGCTGCCTTCTCTTCTTTTCTGTGCTTTTCTGGCATCTGCTTATCGGTTTCGCTACGGCGGGGCAGCGATCCCGGGACACCGAGCGGGCATCTCTTGCCGCCTCGGTCCTGCGTGTGGCTTACTACATCGCGAAGGCCTTGGGAAGGGGTGGCTTGGGTGGTGGGTGCTTTGGCAGCCTCGCACTGGAAAGGGCCTCGGCAAGTTCTTAATCGGCGGCCAGTGGAAGCCGCCCGAGGAGCTAACTAAAAACAACAAACCACGGGGCTCGGTCTCGAAAATCGAAAGGACAAAAAACAAAAACGGCCGAAATAACGCAGCGGCTTAACACCGCCGCCCGGTCTCATTCCTCGCGGAATCTAGTGGGCACAAGATAGCTAATCAGCTGCAGGTGGTACCTTTGGCCGCCGATTAAGAACTTGCCGAAGCCCGTTCCAGTGCGAGGCTGCCAAAGCATCCACCACCCAGGCCACCCTTGCCCACGGCCTTCGCGATGTAGTGAGCCACACGCAGGACCGAGGCGGCAAGAGATGCGCGCGCTGTGTCCCCGGATCGCTGCCCCGCCGTAGCGAAACCGATAAGCAGATGCCAGAAAAGCACAGAAAAGAAGAGAGGGCAGCACGCGAAGCCGATAATCAAGCGGACGGCTCAAGAGCAAAACGCGGCCACGCCTTGAGCAAGACCAGGGGAGGCGAACGGGGGAAAAAGGCGGCAGAGAAATCGACAAGGGAACCGGAGCAGCGCTGTCCCTTAACGGTTTCGCCTAAGAGTTTCGCGGGGTTTCGCTTAAGAGTTTCGCACTGTCTCAGGAGGCTCGGCGGTGGGGTAAATAGCTCGCCAGACAGAACCGCGCCAGCCGTCTCAAATTGTTACACACGGCTGAACGCCTGGCACGGGAATCAACCTGGCGCCAGACCTATAAAAAAACGGAGAGCCTCGGGCAAACAGCGCTGAAGGGAAATGCTTCGCAGATTTCAAAAACAGAGCAAACGGAACGCGGCCAATTTGCAAGACCACCACACGCCTCGAAACTGATACCCGCACGGAGTTAGGCTCCACGCTCGAAAATTCGACGCAGCTGATACCTTTCCGCCCGGGGTGTGTATTTCCCAGCCGAGCAACCTCCTGCTTTTAAAAAAGCTACGCGCTCCCGACCCTCCCGCCCCTGCCGCGTGCGGGGTCTCTACTGGTCTCCTTGCAAAGGCAACCGGGGGGCGGCTGCAGGGCGACCCTTGAAGGCCCCACAGGATGCCACGGAGGCAGGGACAGGAGGGCCAGGAAAGCCTATTTGGGTGCAGCACAGCCCTCCCATGAGGTTTCCCGCGTGCCTCTATAGAGGTCAATATCCACCGTACGCCGGCCCCCCACCGCCTACACATCCGCTTACCCCCCCGTCGACCGCCCCCCGCCTACCCAACCCAGCCCAACCTACTCCCAAACCAGGAAACTTCGTGCGGCGGGCGTTCACGTGTTCCACGTGCGCCACTGAAGCCCTACTAGGGACGGGCGTCCACCCGTTCACCCGATGCCGCCGAAGCCTCTCTTTATTCCCCCGCCGCCTACTGGCCCTGCCTCGGGCTGCGGTCTTCTGCTGATTAATTGGTCGGCGCGTCTCCCCCCCCGCAGATGGGATCCCGCTGGCATGAAGTCGATGGGCCGGCGCGTCCCTCTGATGCCTCCGGTGATGAGTCGGCGTGCCGGTGCCTGCCGTCCGCGGCTTGTGGGCTCGTTCCGTAGTGTGACACGGCGATGAGCCGCGGCCGAGCTTTCGATGGCTGCCGCAGACAGGCGGAAGGCTGTGCACGCTGTGCGGCATATCGTCAAGGAAGCCGATGGAGAGGCCGGCGCTGCAGGTTCCGGCCGGGGGCAAAGGACAACAAGCCCGCACACGCGGGCCCGTTTTTTGGCCGTACGCTCCAAGCCTGGCAGCCGGTCCACTTGGTCCCTGGCTTCTGCAAGGCAGGCTGGATAGTTTGCACGCGGGTGGCCTTATCGTGACAAAAACCCCGACGAAAACCGGCGCCGCGGCTTTCGCTTTGGAGTAAAGGACCACCAGGCCGCACACGATGGTCTTGTCTTGGGCCTCGCCTTAGGCGTAAAGCCTTGGCCAAGTGCCACGGCTCGCGGTGGGCCTCGGGCTTAGTGATTTGTACGCTGTAGGCCGTATCGCTAGGAAAACCAACACAGAAACCGGCGCTGCGTCTCCCGGTTTGGAGAACAGAGCCACCGGCCCGCGCCTGCGGGCTCCACTTGGGGCCCTATGCTCCAAGCCTTAGCCAAGCGTTGCGCAGCGCGGTCTTGGGCTCGATATTTTGCACGCGGTGGGCCCTATCGTAAAGAAAACCAAGACGAAAACCGGCTTAATTGCCTGGAGCATCGGGCCCGAGCCCCGCCCTACCGCGTGTGGGCGCTGGTTGGTTTTTGCCTGCATTCTCCACCACCTGCATGGAAGTATTCGCAGGCAGAGGCGCATGGAAGGAACGCGCGTGAATATCTACGAGAGGTTTTCTAGTGCACAAATTTTCTGCGGTGTTCATCGTGCACTAGAAAATGAGAACAAGCACCAAGAAGAAAATTTTAGAAAAAGCGTGTAGGGCTGTCCGGCTTCGATATGCAAAGGAAAGCACTCTTTTACTTTGATTTCGCACGCGAAACGCCAGCAGCATGCTCGACGAAAAATTGGTCTGATTTAACACTACAAGCACGGGTAGTAAGGCTTTTTTTTGGGGGGACTCTCTCTCGTTGGGTCTTCTCCTAGCTGTGTGGCTTAGTGCAAATGGACTACTACCTAGTCTTCTTGTGATCTTCTCGCGCGCCGCCAACATAGTCCCCTTGTTTATTATCGCACCCTTCACAACTATCAAACATAACAAATCAACTAACCTAACTAACAAAGCTGGTTGATTAAGGCCAAAGAAAGAATCATCATCATGGAGGAGTTGCGAGATGACGACACACCACCCGGGGGCTACATCAGCTCGAAGCGAGGCTCCGTGACATTCGTCCCGAGAGAGCAACCAAAGCATTCAGTCGCAACTTCTGCACCGAACCCAAAGGATGGCCCGTCGACGGAGAACACTCTCCTAGTACCCAAGCAGGCACATGAAGTGGCATGTACTAGTCTTCGTGGTCAAGTAACAACATCTTCTCACGGTCATCACGGTCGTGGTCATGAAGATGAAGGAGCCTTTTCTACGAGCGGGTCTTCACGATGTTTCGGCAAAACAACGACCCTACTGGAATACCGCACTCCAGATGAGCAGGTGTCGGAGTATCCTTCATCTAGCGGAGCACCTTGGGGGACGACCACCACCACGATCGCTAGTGCTGCCTATACAACATCATCTATACGATTGCGACAGGGCGCTCTTCCGGAGGAGCAAGAGCAAGAAGAGTATCAGGCAACATTATCAGGAAACGCAACTAGTACTTGTGGTAGAAGTTATTACAGCGAGCAGTTGTCTGCTGAATATGCAGAATACGTGGCTCAATATCGAGCATGGCAAGGACATGCGGAGGTCCAGTATGCGGAAGCGTATCAAAAGGGCTTGGAAAATCGGTTTGGGGAACACAGCGTCATTGCCGCGAACCTGCCCATCGGCACCACGGCAGGTTCGGTAGTTAAGGCAGCGCAGGGTACATCCTCAAGAACATCATCCTTGGTTTCCTTGGATCATGCTACCAGGAATGCCAACACCAGGAATCATCCTTGCCTTCCATCAAAGGTTTCCAAGGATGGATGTGGTACCAGGGATGCAATGGCCTCAGGTAGCTAAGGTAGCGGACTTTTTCTACCAGCGATGCGGAACCGTGGCCAGTGTCAACTTCGTCCCGCAGATGCAGCACACGGTGGCAGTCGTCGAATTCGAACATGTGGAGGGATGTATGGTGAAATCACAGCCGTTTCTTGGAACAGTATTCAAGTACTTAGTCGGAAGCTTCTTAGCAATAAGGTTAACAACGCTTAGAAATTATTTTGAATGAGGGCATAATTGAGATCAGAGAATCGATTTCATACTGTCGTGCAGCCAGGTGTGCTAGATCTTGGCAAGATGTACGAAAGCGACAAGCCATTGGATAACAGCATGGTCATACTACATGGAGCGAGCCTATCAAGTGATTGACTGCTTTCCTTGTTCTTTTATCTAGTTAGATAGAATACTAAAACTACTCATACAACCGGGGAACAACATTGGAATATCATTGATCCAGTTAGGGCTCCACTGGAATTACAAGGATCAAAGAGGACGTCTTTTCTCATACTAGTCGAAAATGCGATGGAGCGAGGCTATCCAAAAGATCTGAACGGTAATGCAGTGCAAGTCCGCGGCTGCGCTGAAATTCGCCAGGACCTGCATGTGGCACTGAATACTGGCGCTCTCCAGGCGTGAGGAGCAGTACTAGGTTGCTCGAGCAGTACGCGTCTAACCTCGTGGAGAGCAGCAACGACGTCCTACGGACGTCATCTCTTCGAGTGGATTAACCAGTTTATGCAAGTCGTAGTGCTGTGTAAGTATGGTTTCGGGCAGTATGTTTCTCTCGAGCAGTACGGGTTTGATCAATATCTACTATGGGTTTTGCTACCCGTTTGACCAGTGTAGCTCGTTGCTGCATGGATTGCGCAGCAAAGGAGTTCATCTTCTTCTAGGTTGTGAATTTAGTGACGACGAAGAACAGCAATCATTTAGTAAGAAGAAGACCGGTTATCCTGTATAATTTTTCTCTCCAAGAGTCCCTTCCAATCAAATGAAGTACCCAAGAGCGCTTAGCGTGAGCGTTAGTCACACGGAGTCATAGATAACTTTATATACGCATGAGGTACGACGTTCCTAGCGATCTTCAATATATATTATGCACACCAGGCGGAGGAGGTTTTTGATTTGAATAAACCAGGAGAAGAATTCGAGCCAGTAGTTACTGATGTTAAGTATTTTTTTTTGCAAAGTTGTCCAACCTGTGTTTGGAACGGAGTCGAATGTGCGACCATCATAGAACTTCCGGTTACGGAAGAGAGCAAAGACAGAAGTAGTGCGACGTCTGGAGGTGCTGCTCCTTTCCTCCTATTCTACATTGACACTTTTTTGTTTACTTTTATGTGCATGACGGAAGTTTGTCATGTAGTTGTTTCTGAAATAGTGGATATGAAGCAAACTAACTACTGCTTCTAGTGTGCAAGCAAAGTTTTTTCGTCCATTTACGAGTCGTAGCACCCTCATACAACCCTGATGCAAAGAAAAAAGTCCAACATGATTAACAATTTTGCACCTCCTGTAAGACTGTATAGCGTGGTCTCTCCCAGTGCTCATCATCGTCTACAGTGCTTCTGTCTACTCTACAGCCGATTTCTTGATGCTGCAGTAAAGAAGTTATCCGCATCAGCGACAATTCTGAATAGTTGGGTGCTCGTGGCATTGAGCCTGTCACAATCGACGGTCGAAAACTTGGGTGACCACAATATCTACCACAATATTTGATTTTTGAAGTACACGAATGAGAGTCGACTCTGCAGAGAGTAGACTAGAAGAGTGAGCAGAGCTTGGAAGCTTGTTGTGGATGGCCTTCTAATTAGGTACTTCTAATTTGGTACTATTCTAAAAGACATCCGGTGTTAGTCGTGTCAGGTTAGGTAAATCCTAGTCTATAAGATTTGCACCACCTTAGAAGTGAAAAGAGGAGCAGGATACTAGAAGATGAACATCGTGAAGCCAGTCGTGCGACCCCCTTGTTGGATATCGCATCCCGCTGTGAGTGCCTGCACGGCGTCGCCCAAAAGCAACACAGGCTCCGATGGGGGTCGGAGCTGGTGGTGGAAAAGCAGGCGGAAGCACGATAGTCGCGCGGCGGAGGCAGGGTCGTGTTCCGTAGCACGGCGGAAGGAGCTGCGAGCAGGAAAAGGCGTTATTTGTCCAAATTCATTTAGATGTACAACACCACTTTTGCACTCAAGCTCAACACGAAGTAGCCCTTGTTCCAACAAGTTCCAGCACACACGAAGTCCTACTTGCTTCCTCTTTCAGCACTTCTACGTTGCCGCTGTTCGAGCTTTGTTACTAGCCTTTTTTGCGCTCCTGTCGCAGACTAGTTTTTGTTTTGGGCTCGTTTCTGTGGAGAGGGTCGAGGTGACTCATTTTGGACAGTTCCAGCAACTGGAGGAGAGGAAAAAGGCTCAAATGTTCGCCAGGAGTAGAAGAAGTAACAGAACAAGAACTTCCGCATCTACTTCTTTAGGAAAAATGGCGTGGGAACGCGAGGACGACAGCGATGTGCTCCCCGTGTCTCTTCTACTTAATGGCGCCCTCTCGCTGCCCTCCAGTTGCAAGAAGAAGACGTGTGGCGAGGCTGATGGCAAAGCGTGCTTCGGGGAATTAGTGCCCTTACGTATTGGGACCCGCTCGAAAATCGATTTAATAGAAACACCGGATAATTCGTTCATAGACATGCCCAAGCAACTTACGGGTCCTCATTGTCAATATTTTTCAATAGACCCCCTAGGTATACCTTTCCAACGCCGTGATATGTTTGTTGACTTCATTTGCATGAAGAAAAACCTGGTTCGTAGACAATTCATTGTGCACAAGAAGTGATAAAAATATGTCAACAAATAACAGAACAAGCCTTCTCTCATTGCGCAGTCGGCAGGCTGGTTCCCATATCCTTTGACGGTTGGGCTTTGCGCTCAGATCTGTGCTGAGACCTCCGGTTGCGCTGGAGTGGCTTTCCGAGAGAACATCATGGATGATCGCAACTGCGGATTCTTGGCGTCTGCAGGCGCGAATAGTGACGACATTAAGGGTTTCCGAATTACATCCTGCACTACCATCTCAGCTCCCTTCCTAATAGAAAAGAAGCCTGAGGCGATCTGAGTAGTGTGATTCCGTGCCCTCTAATGGTGACAGCGGTTTCGCGCCAGAGGATGGCATCCAAATCATATACATGACCGCAGGCGGCTGCCGCGGCCAGCTTCTGGATCGGAATAAAGACGTACAGACGTTTCCTGATAACAAGTTACGAAACGCGAGAAATTATAAGGAAAGAGCGCGCGAGACAGAGAGCCTTGTCTGTCGTACAGTCACGGGCGTCTGAAGGGCGGCGTGGCACTTCTGGCCGCCCTCATTTTCTAAAGCGATTCAGGTTTTGCGCACCTCCTCCCACTCATAGGCTCGGCTCCCTTTTGCTGTAAAGCAGAGGAGCCGAAGTTCGCCCGGGTTGGTCTGTGGTCGAAGTGCGCGGGGCCTGCTTTGCTTCGGCATACTCAGATCGTACTAGTAGTAACAACTCTTCTAGCATTATAAGTGCTTTGTGTCTGTATCAGGAGGCGCTGTCTCGGCGGGCTCGTCACTCTTTCTGGATCTTGAGCATGTGATAGACCAAAATTGCGGCGCTGAGAGCCGAAAATGGTACATGTACAGTGTATTTGTAATCGCAGATGAAGAAGCGCAGGGGAGTCTTGGTGCTCAAGACGACGTCCCAAATACGGCTTGTGCCTGCTTACGATCGTGTATCCAATCACCTGACTGCATCACTTGGCAATGGGAGAAGGAGAGTGACACGGGCAAGTGCAAGCTTGCGAAGCAAAATTATGGTGTTAATAGAGACTCTTCCTCCTCCAATCTTAGACAAAACTTGATAGATTCTCGATCAGTTTTCTTGCGCTTCAATATATGAAGGTACAAGACAAGGCCGATAGGGCCTCAAGATTGGTATATAGACCAATCCCACGAAGCATCCTGACATGACCATCTCATCTTTAGCCATGGGTGACTATCTTAGACACGACCATCCTGACACCCTTCAACTTTCGACGGCGACTGTCGTAGGTGCTGGACATAATTCACTAGAAAATGTTCACATTCTTTCATATCAGTCCCCAGGGAGAAAAAGTCGCCTTCGCAGCGGTCGACCCTCCTGGGAAATTCCGAGCAGATGCCCTTGACCCCGCTGTCTGCCACGAAGGTAATATGTGTGAAGGCCGAGCATCGGGCGCTTCGTTGACATTCGACTACATGATACACCTCTGCGATTTGTCGCTCTCGGATTATCTCATTGGCGAGAATTCGGCCGAGCACCACATCGGGTATGTGCCAGGAATAATGTCTTCACCTTTAGTTGAGGGCTTACACCTTGCATCCTGCATTAACGTCCCGGACTCTTTTCCAAGAAGACAAGAGTCAGGGATGTTCTGAAGCATGCAAGAATGTCGTAGCCTCTAATTTAGAATGCGGAAGGATTTGCGCTCTCATGGAGCCAGTCTGCGAGGGTTTCATCGTGGGGCACAAGGACAAGACTGCAGAAAAACAAGATCCAGTTCGCTACTGCTTCCTACTGCGTGATCTGGGGGCTGATCGGCGAGGACCGCGGCCGGCAGTCGGCGAGGGCCAGGCGTTTGCGCACAGAGAGGATACGTCAAAGAACGCAGCATTCTTCCGGCTCACATTACGGAAAAAAACTAATAAGATGATTTCAATTTGTTCATCAATAGTCCTATTTTTCGTAAACTATCCCCAAGGGACCTGATTGCAAGGAGGTTTTACTAGAACGAGAAATAACACCTGTACTATTTTTCGTTCTAGTATAAAATGAGGCTTACACACATTAGAGTTAGACGAGCATGCTCTTCATCACCATCTAGATGCTGAGACGCATCGCAAACTATCCCCAAAACGCTTGAGCGCTTGACTGAGGAACCACGGGAACGGGAAGCTAATTACACACGTGGCCACCTATTGTTCCATGAGTCAACTCTTTAACACGTCTGCGCCATTAGATTAAGTCCACTAGTGCTGCTACTACGACTACTACTACTGCCACTACTTTTACTAGGGTGATAGAATGACTCAATAGCTATTCTTGATGAGTAATATTTGATAGTAACTTTTTTTGGTTTTGGTGAGAATCTTACTTGTGACCTTAGTTTGTCAGGTAATAAGTAGACTGAGCCTAATCGCAGCTACGACACGAGACGGAGAAAGATGCGGAGACAAGTTTCGGGTTGCGTGGATGTGTACGTGCGAGAATGGGCATGCGGCAGACAGCCCTAAGGCGATCTGTTATTCCAGTCGGGAATGAGTGAATGAATGAAAGAATACTGATCCAAGATAATTTGAGTGTACATCGTGAAGATGCACGCGCGATCATAATCAAGAGAGCATCATCAAGAGTGCAGCATCATAATCAAGATCCTTGCAAGGTACATCATGATCATAAGTATTATCCTGATTGCAGCAGAACTACAACTACTTAAGTGCGTGATTGATTTCCTTCTTGTTTTTCCTCGGTACGGCCTCCGCTGAACTAAGTAGATGGAGACCTAGTGCACTTGTTCTGAAGTTGGCAGATTCCACGAGTACTCCTGAATTGGAGCACCGTGCTACTAACTTGGAGTGTGCACTATACTACAAATAGCCGGTTAATTTTCCCTCGTAGTTCTTACTTTCTCCCTTTGAGACTCCCTTCAAGACTACAGTACAAAAGTCTCTATGAAAAATTTAGCACATACTAGTACAACCATGTCGTGCAACTACGGGGACTTCTTCCCGACATCTCAACGACTAATTTCCGACATCCAAACGACGTATTTAGACTCACACCAAAAAGCCAAAGTAAAGCCTCAATATCAGGCGTTGTGGATAGGTGTCTTTCTCGCAAGTGGTCGCTTCTAATAGTGGGGACGAATATTGTAGCGTTCCTGGCGCGACGAAGTGCCGCGAATGCTACTACGGATATTCGCTGAGTGAGGGGAAGTGCGAGCGCGACGCAGCAATCGCTCTCGCCTTAGACTTAAGCCTATCACATGGAGTAAGAACTGATTTATTAGCCTTCCACAAAGAGTAAAAATAAGTACTATTTTATGTATATTCGAAGATCTATAGCTTTACGTTCAATAGTCCAACTCGAGGCGAGGGGATAGAAGAACTTACTTCAGTTCGAGGGGTGGCTGCCTTACGATCTAAGCTCGGACTGAGTTGCATTCTCTTCGCTGCGCGACTGAGTCTGCACTGCGCGAGCGAGTCCGGCCCGCGCGAGCGCGTCCGCGCTGCGCGACCGGGCGGGTCAGTCTACTCCGCGCGAGTGAGTCGGCTCGCTCGGCGCGCGCAATAAACTCTGCGCTGCGCTAGCGAGTGCGCGCCGCGCGAGCGCGCCGGCGCTGCGCGAGCAAGGAAGTCGGCGGCGCGCGAGCGAGGGGGCACACCCGTGCTGCACGAGCGAGCGAGCCTGCGCGCGCTGCGTGAAAGAGTGAGCCCCTCCGCGCGGCGTGGGCGAGTCTGCGTTGCGTGAACGAACGAACGAGCGAACACACAGCGCGCGCGCGAGTCTGCTCCTCTGCGCGAGCGAGTCGGCGCGGCGCGAGGGAGTGCCATTCTGTGCTGCGCCAGCGCGTCTGCGCTGCGCGGGCGATTCTGCGCTGCGCGGGCGATTCTGCGCTGCGCGGGCGATTCTGCGCTGCGCGAGCGAGTCTGCGCCGCGCGAGTGAATCCGCGCTGCGCGAGCGGGTCCGCGCTGCGCGATTCAGTCTGTGCCGCGCGAGCGAGTCCATTCTTGGTTCTGCGCGAGAGTGAGTGTGATTCTGCGTTGTGCGAGCGAGTCAGCCTGCGCGAGCGGATGGGCGCTGCGTGGCGAGTGAGAGCGCGCTGCGCGAGCGGACTTGCGCTGCGCGGGGAAGTTGACCCTGCGCCGCGCGAGCGAATCTGCGCTGCGTGTCGTGAGTGGATCTGCGCTGCGCGAGCGAGTCTGCGCGAGCTGCGCCAACGGGTCTGCGCTGCGCGAGCGAATCTGCGCTGCGCGAACGAGTCTGCGCGAGCTGCGCCAGCGATTCTGTGTTGCGCGAGCGAGTCTGCGCGAGCTGCGCCAGCCAGCGAGTCTGCGCGGCGCGGGTAAGTCTGCGCTGCGCGAGTGAGTCTGCGCTGCGCGAGTGAGTCTGCGCCGCGCGGGCGCGTCTGCGTTGCTCGGTCGAGTCTGCGCTGCGTGAGCTAAATAGCGCTACGCGGGCGGGCCTGCGCAGTTGTGTGGGGGAGTCTGCCTCTGCGCCGCGCAAGTGAGTCGGCGCAGCTGCGCAGGTGGGTCTGGGCTGCGCGAGCGAGTGTTGCGCGAGCGACTGCTGTCTGCCCGGGTGCGTCTGCGTTCGCGCGCGGCGTGCGGGTGGAGTCTGCGTTGCGTGCGGGTGGAGTCTGCGTTGCGTGCGGGTGGAGTCTGCGTTGCGTGCGAGTGGAGTCTGCGTGGCGCGAGCGAGTCTGCCTCTGCGCTGCGCGGGCGAGTCTGCCTCTGCACTGCGTGAGCGTGTCTTCCTCTGCGCTGCGCGGGCGAGTCTGCGCTGCGCGAGCGAGTCTGCGCTGCGCGAGCGGGTCTGCGCTGCGCGAGCGGGTCTGCGCTGCGCGAGCGGGTCTGCGCTGCGCGAGCGGGTCTGCGCTGCGCGAGCGAGTCTGCGCTGCGCGAGCGAGTCTGCGCTGCGCGAGCGAGTCTGCGCTGCGCGGGCGAGTCTGCGCTGCGCGAGCGAGTCTGCGCTGCGCGAGCGAGTCTGCGCTGCGCGGGCGGGTCTGCGCTGCGCTGCGCGAGCGGGTCTGCGCTGCGCGAGCGGGTCTGCGCTGCGCGAGCGGGTCTGCGCTGCGCGAGCGGGTCTGCGCTGCGCGGGTGGGTCTGCGCTGCGCGAGCAGTGACGTGGGCGGGTCTGCGAGTGGGTTTACGGCTGCGCTGCTTGTGTGAGTGAGTTTACGGCTGCGTTGCTTGTGTGAGTGAGTTTGCGCTGTGACGTGAGTAAGGGCTGACAGGACTACGAAAGCGCCGGCACTTAGTTAGTTTTTTTGATAGATATAATATACCTCGTTAGGTCTGCTCCACCACAAATATACTGTCAAAGACAACTTCTCAGGGACAACTTGTTGCACATGATACATAGATCTACTTCTTTTCGACTCTCTCGCATATATTTAATAAACCCCTATAGAAGTAGACGGATTGACTCCTGGTTTTGACGCACGATGATGGGATGATTCTCCGGCACGTTGTGTGAATGCTGAGATGATCCTCCGGAAGTAAAAGAAATATTGCAGTACTGCTCATGCTAAAATACATGGCCACTAGAATGCTTTCCCTATTGAATTTTTCGCATCTTCTCCTTTTGACTTTTTCACTCTTCTTTTAGGTGAGGTTGGCTCCACAAATAATAATGTATTACTACTCAGCATTGGGGTTACGATCTTGGAATCATACTCGCAGCATCCGCTAAGATACAGCTTGGATGAGGATGTCGAAGTGGATGAAGACGAGGTCAGGGTGACATCGGTGATCACACCGAAGGGAGACGATGAGCAAGACGTGGCGCTTATGGAATAATAGAGTACTTAGTCTTGCAGACTTCTAACTCTCATTAGTCTACTTAGTATTCTGTTGATAAACCGTCTCAGTCATCTAGAGCAGGTTGGACAGGCTCCATCTAGAGTAGGTCTACAAAGGGTGGCTTGGCAGAAGGTTCAAATCGTGTCTGTGGTTCAAATCTGCTACTCTGCGGTGTCTGCGGCACATGGTTCAAAAAATCTACTACTCTAGCTTTTCAGACTGAGACAGTTTTTTCCCTCCATAATGCAGCTGGATATGACACAAGTGCTGATCATGGTCGGAGCCTGCACCGGCATTTTCTTGCTAGCAGGCTGTGCATACCTGGGAGCGCAGTAGTAGCGGACCTAGGTATTACCTAGTAGCGGTGGATCATGATGTTCATCGTTGATCCCGTATTATTGGAAGAAAGACAACTTCATCCGCCTAGAAGACAAACAAACCTACTTTTTGAAGAAACATACCAAGAAGCGCAACATAAAGTGGAGGCGTGGTTGCGGAGACCTGCTAGACGTATGCGTTTGACGGCAGCGGTACAAGTATGTGAGTCCATCTCACAACCCTGGACTCACCACCCTTCCCACTTCTGATAGACTTCCAAGTCTTCGTATTCTCTTAGATTTCCAAGTTTTCTGTTGATAGCCGATAGGCTTACAGTGGTCTCACTCCTCAGGTGGACATCATGAAGATGAAGCAAGGACAGACGAGAAGAATCACCTAAGCAGTAGCGCTTCTACAACATGGAATCGTCCGTATTAGTTTTAAGGAGTGTTGCACCAGGAACCTGATTATCTTTGAGGTATTTACATATGAGTTTCAACATCAATCATATTTGCTAGAATCTTACTAAAATCACAACAAGGCTTAGACCAGGTGAAGGTCAGAAGAGCTACAGCTGCATAGCGAAGTTTACAACAGTCTACCAGACTGAAGGTTGTGGGTGTTCGTGGCATTTTGAGCCTTTCATCTTGTACGTTTGTCATATTCGATGAAATAGGCTTTCAAATCTGAACGGAGATGATGTTGGCAAGTCTTTCAAGTACTATGAATGGAGGTCCACCTAGGAACGGAGTTGATGGAAGTTTGGGAAATACCTAGTTTCGGGAACCCTAAACCCAATTGCAAAATGAATGCTGACGAAGTAATGAGAATTTTGGTACCAGATTTTTGGCGTTCAATTCCAGTATCAACCACTGGAGTCGCTAAGAACTCATTCAAAATGCCTACTCCGCACCAGAAAAAACCAATTTTCATCTTGTTTATTGACACAAGTCATTGCTCTAGCTCTGAACATCTACACGATCTCTGAAATCGTCATCTGCGAATGCAAATGAATAATTGTTAAAGATCTCTTTCTCTCCTCCGCTAGTGTTAATGTTTCTTTGTGGTCGTCGTACTAATGACTGCTGACTATTTTTGGATGACTTGTCACCGAGACGTAAAAATCTTATTTCTAGCTGAAAAAATCAAAACGAAAGAAAGAGAATACTCATGCCTAGGCGACCCCGCATCTTTTGCGAGCTTTGTCTGTCAGCGACCGCCACCAGTCCAAGTGTAGCAGCCGGTCGCCCCTTAAGTGCCTCGGCTGTCACCTGCTTCAGTGCAGCAGCCAGGCCTCCTTCCAGTGCCTCGGCTAGCCCTTCCTTACGTGCCTCGGCCCGTCTCCCCTTAACTGCCTCGGGCTGCCACCCCTTAACTGCCTCGGCTAGTCCTCCTTAAGTGGCTCAGTTACCGATTAAGCGACCCTCTTAGTCACCGCTTAAGCGACCCATGTGGTCACCACCTACTGCCACCCGTTTGATTTTGTAACAAAACAAGTTAGGGCGCTCCCGTAAGAGTGCATTACTTTTTCCTGGACGGAGCGTTGAGGCGTTGTGCCCGTTAGCATTGAAATGGTCTTCGGATAAAGGTCAATCTGCCTGTATTTGTGGACGACCTTTTTTTAACTTTCCCATGGGGAAAAGATTCATAAACCACAGTGTGCAGCAGTGAAGATTTAGGAGCAAGGTTATACTAGAGTGTGCAGCAGCAGCAGCAAGAATTTTTTGTTACTCCGCAGTGCGTGCATATGCAAATACTTGAATAAAGTTCAACTACGTATGTATCAATATTCTTATTAAGTACCTTGAGAATCATCAAGAACAAGAAGAAGGATGTCGGCACCCTACGGGAACGGGTGGTACAGTGGCTATTCATGGTACAACCCTGCGGAGAAAGGCAGTAGCAGTGGTGCGACGCGTGCACCGACTTCCAGCACCACGCGACCCGCAACTTCCACTGCTTCAACGACTGGCGTTTCCGCAACCACAAGCAGTGCTGTCGGAACAGCAACAGCTGCGTCGGTCGCTCTCGGCGGCTCCACGCAAGGAGGTGCAACCGGATCGTCCAGCGGGAGCCAACAACATCTTGCCGCTACTACTAGTTCTGCATCAGGTTCGACGAATAATTTACTCACCAACGGTACTAGTGCTACTGCGGAACAACATCATGGTGGTGCTGGAGCTACAACGACTAGTCCTTCCGGTGCTGTGGCCAGCAGTAGTTCTACTTCGAACACCAGTAGGACCGCAGAACAACAACAGGCAGGTGCAAGTGCTTATGCCAAGTTTTGGCACGACAATCCGAAATTCTGGCACGACAAGAACCTTGCATGGGGCACGACGCACCCGTCCGCAAATGTGCCCATTAAGATACCGAACCCCGACGTGCGACCGACGATAACCGACGTGCAAAACCTACTCGCGAGGTGAGCAATCTAAAAGCTTTTGATTTATTTGGCTGCATTTCTCATATACTTCGACAAGTATGAGCCAATGGAAGATCCTCAATGATTATCCTGACATAGTACAAGTACTAAAGCAATTTTGAAGAAGCACCAGGTGTAAAAGATTATTTTCAAAAGGCTTGCACCCTCTTTTATCGAAGTTGTGAAATGAATGTTATCTCCGTCTTCATCTACATCTACTTAAAGTGAAATCTCATCACTCTACTAGGGTTTTATGTCCGGAATCATATGGCCGATTCTCGAGTACAGATGCCAAGCATGAGGTGTCCTTTGTTGAAGTGCCCAACTCACATAAGATTCCGAGAGTTACTTTATGCCTTCTTCCCAGTCTGGGCTTCGCATCTGCCAGTCGCCGAGGCGAGATAAAAAAGGGTATAGATACAGATTATTTACAGATTACTTACAGATTCGTTGAAAAAATACATAAGGTCTTAGTTCACAAGATACATAAAACAAAGTACATCGAAATAGCCTTGCATGCTGTTATCTACGGGTTGATCACCTAAAATTGAACGTACTGGACTACTATCTTTCGTATCATGCCAATAGTGATTGATTCTTAAAATCTTTAGGCGCTGCAGCAGCAGAGCAAGACGGAAGTCGTGCTGATCTCGTGGAGCTTAGGAAAAGAAATAGAGAAGGCGACTTATCGAAGTGTTATTTTATGCCATGGCTTAGCAGCATTTTCAGGCGTTCCTGGCTGTGTCATCTGAGCCTGAAGAGAGGGTATACACTATGTTATGGCCACCCAGTAATAGTTGATGAGCATGTAGTTTAAATCATGTGAGTACCACTACTTAGTTGGAGATGAAGAGTTTGAGTTGCTACCACTGACACTGAGCACTAGAAGATGAAGAGTTTTTGATTCTTGAGATAGAAATTGCAACTGTTGTTGTTCATCCCAGGAGCTACTGTTTTGTTCTTAATATGAGACTGTATCGACACTTCGACTTCCATTCCACGGAAGGTTCTTTCCGGAACGACACGAGTTATTGCGCGAGATGTTATTAGGAAAATTGAAAGTGACTCGGGATGGCAAAGTGCGGGAGCCTAAGATCCATCCGCACCTTTTGGGTGATCGTCGAGTCAACGGCCCAACAAGAGACAAGTACCAACTAAGATTAGAGTTATAAAGCATCTTCTGTGAAATAGTTTTTTTTGACTATCGAAGGTTAACAAGGTTATAAAGCGAACATTGACATTCAGTCATGATGCTCTTATGAAAATAAGGGTAGAACGGTTTTGGTGAACCATGTTGATCAAGTCAGTCCTCTTTTCACTTTCCATCTCCAGGACGAACATATTGTACCCTTCGCACGGCTTTCTTGCCACCAAAGACGAGTTGGCCCTGGCGCAGTATCCAGTTTTATGCTGTGTGAACACCATGGGACTTGGTATATGAATTCTTAGATAGATGTTTGTTCTTTGTTTTCGCTAGTAGATACTTAAGAATTGCTTTTGCGTCATTGATGAAACACGAATACACACCCACAGCGATGAAGTACGTCTTTAGCTATATTTCAACGTTCTGGTGATCCATATCCATATCCATTGTAACCTCAACAAACGCTACTCAGAGCACCACTTAGACGCGGGTTGGTGCTGCGCTAGGAAAAAAGGACCCGAGGACCTAGTGCCAAATATGTGCGATATTCTGACAATAGACTGTGAAATGGTCCAGACATCTGCTGAAGAGAATGCCTTAGCGAGGCTCTCGGCCGTCAACTTTCAAGGACAGGTAGAGGATTGTCTTCTCCTAATTGTTGGCGATGTTATGATCATAAAGACGGACGTATACAATTTTCTATCGACGAATCTCATTGTTCCATACTTTATTTTCGTCAAAATCGCTTAAGTAGAACATGCTATCCCAGTCTGCTTACTTCCAACAAGGTTCTTCTCGACATCTACGTGAAGCCTCCAAATCCAGTGACCGATTACAAAACACAGTTTTCGGGGATTACAGTGTCAGATTTGATGGGTGTTTCGCGGACACTAGAGGACGCGCAAAATTTGTAAGACACATTATACTTTACACATTCGTTGATTCTTGATTTGTACGATCTTGTCTCCAACTAGATAATCATGATTGTTTGTTTCACCAGATCCTCGTCAACATTATTCCATTTTTATTCACTACCCAAACAATAATTGAAAATAGATTCACTCAATCAAATCCAAAACAGGCTCCTCCGCTTCCTGGGTCCGCGCACTGTGCTCTGCGGTCACTCATTGGAGAATGACCTGAATGCCCTGAAGCTAATACACCCTTTTATTATTGACACGGCGATATTGTATCCGCATCCAGAGCGACTTCCCATGAAGCGAGGCCTCCAGTGGCTCGTTGAGCGCATGTTGAAGGTACTTACTATGTTGATCAAATGCTCACAGTAACGATCATGTAGGCCTCGTAGGAATAGTTTGTATTGATGCGCTTCTCCGGAATAGTTTGTATAATTGATGCTTTCGTAGGAATAGCCTCAAGAATATTCATTACAATCAGTGATCACAATCTGCTGCAACTGCACCTCTACAGATACCCATTACCCCATTCTTCATAATCATTTTCAGAAAAAGATGGATCGAGATCGAGGGCATAATAGCGTAGATGATGCAGTATTCACTTTGCAGCTCGTGCAACTGAAGATTCAGAACGGGTTGCACTACAACCATCCGAGCAGCCAAAACGAAATGGAGGTGCTGCGGACAATAGGAGCACTTCCTGGTACCACCACTCTATAATGATTTTGATTATTTATGTTTGCTGGGTTAATTTTTACATTGCTCTAGAAATTGCGATTGGTGTGGATTATGACGCAGCGCAATGGCAAGGTGTCAAGCATGATGATTTTACATCTTGCTGGCAGTAGGTCTGGCTAAATTGCGAAGAAAGTTACATTTTCTTGTCTTCCCATTATACAATTTGGAAAAAGTTGTATCTAAACAAACAGGCGTACGCACAAGGTTGTTCTCGGACCAGGACGCATTGCCTGAGAGACAGTCGTGGGCCGGAAAGTATGGCGAAAGTTTGCTTTTGGCGATTGACAATGCCGTAGCACGACTTTCGACGTCACGAGCATCACCACGGCTCACGGCATCATTGAGGACGACCTCAAAATCGGCGCAAGCGGCTACTGCGTCGTCTGCTGCAAGAACTGCATCAAAGCCAGTAGTTGCAACTGCAAATGCGTCATCGAAGCCTGCTGGAACTACGGCAGCTGCAAATGCCTCATTGAATTCTGCTGGAAGCACGGCAGCTGCAAATGGAGCCACGACCACGACGGACAGCTCTGTTGCGGGTTGTCCTGGCTCGAGCATGAATGGCCCGAATGGCGTGGGTGCAGCAGGGCCTAGTGCAGCGAGCAGCGTTTCGGGATCAACCGCTGCAAATAAGCGGATGGGTGAGGACTCGGGAATGTCGCAACAACCAGAAAAGAGAAGGCGGAGCGGATCGCCCAGCACCTTGCGAAGCGCTGCTGCTGCGACCGCCGCGTTAGCTGCGTCAGCGTCGAATAAAGTCGTAACAAAGAAAACAAGTGGAGCAGGCGGTGAAGATCAGAGTACATCCAGTATTGTTGTTGGCGGCATAGTTGCGACCAGCACAGCGAAGGAGACCGCTAACGGCGCAGTAGAGGATGAAGAGACCCCTTCGCGTGGCGGAGACGAAACCACTCGAGCTGCTGACGCTGGAGGAGACAGCGCCAAGAGGAGGCGCGTCGATACACCAGCTGGCGTCGGAACGAACAAAGACAGGGAACAAGCACTTGCTGGTACAACTGAAAACAGCACTTCTTCTAGGATTAATGTCGCTGTAGCCGCTCCTGTACCATCGTCGTCCTCATCCTCGGGAGAAGTGGACGGCTCAGACGCAGTGGCCGATACTTCTCCGGTCCCCGACAGTCCTATGGACAACGATCTCGGAGCTGCTCTCCCCACGGTCGCACCCCTAGAAGGTCTACTAAATCAGAAGGACCAGGCGTCATCCCAAAACAAGCCACAGCAAAGAACGACAAATATGACTTCCCCTGATGTTCTTGAAGAAGATTCTACTGGTGCTCCTCCACCACGTGCCACTGAGCTTTCCAAGCGTGCTAGTGCGCTTCGAAAGCATCTCACCGACCGCCGATCCTCAGCCATGCTGAGTGCTCCTGTAGACGACGGTGCCCCTCCAGCAGAAAACAATAGTAGCACCACAGCTGCTGCTGCTGCTGCTGCTGCTGCTGCTGCTGGGGATACTGCAATCGCCGCCAATCTTCTTCTGGGGGCTGGGGTACTAGAGAATGGCACCACATCAAAGCTTCTAGAGGGAGAGATGCGGGCCTCGCCTGACGACTCTAGTAGTGATGATGACGACGACGACGACGATGATCAAGAAGACTCTCTCTCAGACTCAACCGGCGAATCGAGCAGTGGTAGACCCGAAGATAAAGATTCCTCCTCCTCTACTGGTAAAGATCAAGATTCTGCTACCGGAAGTGGTACCACAGCCAAAGTAACAGCATCGGGGGCACCTCAATCTTCACGTGGTACTGTTACAACTGGAGGAGCGCCTGCGGTGGCAAGCAGTAGCAGTATAGTAACTAGTGGTCTTGGAGGAGCAGTAAAACGATTATCAGGGTCCGGGAGGTCTTCAGGGGAAAAATGTATTGCAAATGCCGGTACAACGGTGGCCGCAGGTGGAAAGACGCAATCCGAGAATTTGGCCGAGGGCGATGCGGCAATCCAGGCAAGTCCGAGTAAACCCGTAGGTGCGTTGCCCACCGATGCTGCTATTCCCGCTGTAACGAAGAGGCCCGCAGGAAAGAGTGCGCCACCGGCACAGTCCACCACGTCGAGTAGCTTAACGGTTGGTAATTCTAGTGGCGCGGGTAATATATCTAGTGGAGCGATCGAAGGTGCTGGTGGCAACAATAAAGGTGGACAGAACAAAGCTCTCGCTGGTCCTCAGGGGGCAGCCGCCGGCAGTGAGGGGGCCAACAACGCAGCAGTGAGCGGAACAGCAGCCGGACAAACAACTGCGCAGCTGCGCTCCAGTAGCAAAAATTCGTCCCCGACTTTGCGCACCGGCGCAGTGCGCAGTAAGAGCGGAGGCACACCTCCGGTTCCTCCAGGAAGTAACATCAGTAACCATAATGTTACATCAACCTCTTCGCGTACTAGTCGACGGACGGGCGCTGATTCGCAGCTGCTCCAAGCAGCCACGGAGGTGGAAGCTAGCTGGCCAGCGGCGCTTCCAACCGGCGCAACCAAGGAGAAATGGAAGGAACTCCGAATTTTCAACTTCTCCCGACTGGAAACCGTGGATAATTCTATTAAGCAAAGGTTCTCTTGCTAGTCGCTTAGGTCCAGCGACGCTCAAAGCACAAAAAGTAGAACAGCCGGCTAGTTTTCCCTCTAATCTTAGGTCTATCCCTACATGCAGGATACTAATCCGTCGTTCCTTCCATTTTATTTCATTTTCACAGCTACTCGAGTTTCTCCGTGAAAAAGTTGTTTCTTTCTCAGCGAAAAAAAACCAACCCATACCCGAGACGTAGTTGTGAGTGTGAGATACTTATTACAGTTTTCAGCTCCTCTAATTCTAGCAATAGGGTGGAAGAAAATCTGCATTTGATGCAGTTGGACGACGACCTGAAGGAGCTAGTGGAGCGAACGGGAATACGAAATGAAATGTTCATCTTTCTTTCGTCGGGGAAAGCGTCAAGCTACAACCGTGTTGTGTATGTTTGTCACTTTATTCTACTACTAGTCTAGGTAATGAGTCATCTGAGTTCTTGTATTTTTCTACAGTACGTAGAAGGAGACTATACTAATATATAAAGAGCGACTCGCGACTTGTTCCTCGTTCCTCTGGACCATAGGGAGAAGTGTTCATTAAATGTGAATGACTACTGGAGGGAGCAGTTCGTGAGTACTAGTCGTGAGTCGTTTTTTTTTACTTGTTTCTTCATCCTACACGGGCAATCGCACGAGGGCAGGGAGCGGACCCGAAGTGGGAGAAACTGGTGGGGAGCATGAGCAACTTGCGCACGCAGTGTAACGAAAGTGGCTTTCTGGCGATACATCTGAAAGGAGTGGACGACGTCTTCTTGGGGCGTCAGATGGTGCCGAGTCAGACCGGAAAGACCACGAGTCAGACAAGTCAAAGTTTGCGCATGCAGTAAAACTGTTACCAAGACTTTTTGGGCTGGATCCCCTTCTGGAGGCGGTGGATGATATCAACTGGTTCTGGTGGACAGGATGGAGGATGCATTTCGTTTGAGGAGGCATGCTGGTTTATGCGGTTCTCCGCATGGAGGTGCATTTCGATTTCATTTGAGGAGGCATGCTGGTTTATGCGGTTCTCTGCGGCACTAGTCGGGCTAAGTAAATGGTCGTGGTTTTTGGAGCTGAACGGCGGTGGCGCGTGTGGAGACTCTAGCGTTATGATGTTGGTCTTCGTTCTCAGCAGCGGAGATCAGGCGTTTGTGTCTGTAGCCTTGGGAGCATTGGCATGCACGTTCTTTTGGGCCAGCGGTTGGTAGAAGTAGACCCTGATACTGATGCGGAAGTAGCGGTTTGGGCGAGTGGAAGAGGGTTCGTTTGTAGACCCCTTTTACGTGCAACGAAGGGCGACTGAGTGGGTCGAGCATTTACCACTTTCGCATCATGTGCTCCTTTTGCTAATGAATTATAGTCACGCAGTTCTTTCCCTTTTCATACCACGGTGCGGAAATGCGGTCACATCGAAACAGGGCTTTCTTACATCACACTGGAGGTGCATGAGTTACTATTTTATTTTTATAGCGCCAATTTTTCTGCAACTAGCATTCTTTATGCTTCACCTTCTCGATTCAATTGGAGGGACGCTGCAAGAGAATCTTCTTGTATTTCTTTTTTATGTAGGTACATCGACCGCCACTTGGTGTTGCTTGTACTTCTGTTCAATTGTAGCTTGAGGTATTATCGTTTGAGAGTTATTGCGTGTTAGGTCACTCGATTTCAACATCCTAGTTTGACATATTTTTTTCCCGACAATCTAGGTCGTGCGGATTTCACCCTAGGTCGTGCGGATTTCATTATAATCTGCATAGAATAGAACATTATAGAGAGTAGTATCTCCTCCAACTTATTGGAGCTGACACATCATAAAATTTAAATTTTTCTAGAGTTTTTACGACATGACAGGAGCAGGCATGTCGCTACGGTTAGTTGAGAACCTCTCGGGAAGAACACTCGAACAAAATGTTACCCAAGTAGATATAATCGTCCTCCCCTTCGTTCCCCACTTTTTACCTAGATCTTATGTAGACCCTAAGCCCCTTAGCACACCCATATGCTGTACCACCACTACGCGACAGTGTGAATAAATCACTGTCCCCCTCCTGCCATTGCTGCTACCTTCCTTTTTACGAGCAAGGTGTTGTGTAGCATAGGCGGAAAAAAAGCTCTGGGAATAAAGCAGGGCTAGGATGCGAATAAAACATCCGACGTTAAGAAAAAGAAGCGATGAGAATAAAACATCGCACGGCAAGCGGGCATGATGATCATCAGACGAAGATGATATGAAGAAACAAGAAATCCGACTCGAAAAGAAAAAGAGAAAAAGAAAGAAGTACCAGAAAAAGAAAAAATGAAGCATGAAGGGCTTGATTTTTTTGATCGGGAATAAAGAAATGAGTCGAAGTGAAGCGAAAAAAAAAAAGCAAGAAAAGCCCGCTTGCCAAAAAAAAGTTAACATTTTTACAGCCCCTCATGCATGCAAACAACAAAACAACGCTTCACAAAAAGAAAGTAAAGAAAAAAGAAAGAAGCCAGCCGCGTGCGCTGTAGTTGAGCTCCGCCCTCTATACTCCTGCATCCACCCCTGTGAGGAGTACAGAGGAGAGGGCATTTTTGTTGGCGAGTGCGGTACAACAGCTCTGTACTCTCTTCGAGTTGTACATAATGTGTGCCGCACTACGTACAGTGTGTTCCCACCTTAGGTTTTCGATCAGAGCCTCATGTTTGTGGTATCTCTCGCTAAGAAACAAATCATCTGTTTCCTAGCTTGTCTGTTTGAGTGATGAGGAATCATGTGCTGAATTGAAAATATAGATTGTTAGAAACTAAAGCTGAGTAGAGAGACGTTGAGAGAGCCAGTCTGTTTCAGAGATCGCTTTCTTTGGCTGGAGATCTGCTTCCAACAGAGTCGTGTGGGTGGTGTGATGTTGGCCCTCGCGTCCGTGCTCAAAGACATGTGATGGAATCACTCAGGCGATCTCTCAAACAGATGGGCCTTCTCAACAACTATCTCAGATCGCATGAGTGATTCCATGAGTTATTCTAGAATCTAGGTTGGAAGCTGCAGTTTGTGATATATGGCCTATTTCTGTCTTGAGGAATATTCGTGTGTTCAGAGAGAGGTTCTGGGGATGATGAATTTTGCCAAAATTGATAGAGAAACTGTCTTTATTATCCTGTTCTATGACGGAGTGGAAGTCGTTTCCTACTACAAGTTTATCTTCCGTGCACCCTTTATGAGAAGAGAAGGAAACGGTGTATGACGAATTAGGAGTTCATATGTTGATCCAATTTTTTACAGTTTGCTTATCTTTACATCCCATCCCACCTCCTGCTTTTCTACCTCGTATGTTTGTTCTCCCTCCCCGAGCATCAATAACCTTCACTTTCTCGCGTGGTATGTGATTGAGAAACTATTTTCAAGGTCACAGTTGTACAATAATGATAACGTTTTTTTTTGAGTTCTTCGAAATTTGTGTTTACTATCACTGGACTTGTCGCCGGATGACGGGTTGAATATTTCTGTTTATGGCGTGTTGAATACTTCTTTTCGTGCAGTGTATTTAGATGCGAAGGATCCATAACCTAACCAAACCTCAAACCATAGAAGTGGTATAATGACGCAGGATCTTGCCTCTTCTCCTGGTACGCCGGCTTCCGATGAGGAGTTTGCTGCCTACGTGGCGCAGGCGGAGCGTACCTTGCGCAGGGCACAAAGGCGAGACAGAACTCGGCAGGGCCGACTGCTATCCGCACTAGTTGACGCTGGTTCGTTCTTTGGCGACGAAGAAGCGGTCCGCGAGGCTTCGACCGAAGAAGTGAAAGCGCCAGCGAGTCCGTTTTTAGGTGAAGACAAGGGCAGTGCCGCAGAAACGAGGAGAGCAGAGCAACGAAGTGATAGCAATTGGGAGAACGTGATTGACGTCGAAGATTTTCGTCTTGAAGATGTGCACGACGGGCAAGAAGCAGGAAATAACGACGCTTCTTCTAGCAGATCTCGACCGCCTCGTGATTTAAGTGCCCAAGAGCTGCAGCGAGCGTTGCATTTTATGCGTCTAGACGTGCCAGCTTCAAGTACGTCATCCGGCGCGGTGACGCCCACAACAATTCCGACGTCTTTAGGAGCAGGAAGGGCGAATCAGGATATGAGCACGGCGGCAGCCTATCGTGATTATATCTCTCAATTTTCAAATATCCCTTCGCTGTCGCTACCGGTACCAGTGTACTACGGAGAGCAGGGGGACGACAAAACTTCGTCCAATGACCCGAAAACTCCCGATTCTACTATCGAAAGTCAAAGTCCTCCTAGTAAGAACATGAATGTGGCTCCTGATGGTGGAGATGCATCTTCACCAGAGAACGAGAGTCCACGAGGTTCGAAGTCCAGTTCTGCTCCACAAGGTTCGAAGAAGCACCTCAACCATTTGGCTTCGAAGAAGTCAGCTGGTACTAGTAACTCGGAAGGAGGAGAAGAAGAAGAGGAATGGGAAGAGGAGGAATGGGAAGAGGAGGAATGGGAGGAGGAAGACGAGGAAGATGTTGAGGACATACACGCCGAGTCACTGCCTCAAGAAGAACATCAAGAAAATTCCACTCCTCCCACGTCAAAAGAGTCCGCTCCTGGCACCCCGAAACAGAAGCGCTCAGTCTCGGCTGGGGAGAAACAAGAGACGAGAAAGTCCTCGACGGGAAAACCTCGATCCTCTTCGGCAGGGGACGAAGGCAGTACAACAAACCGAGGAGCCTCTGTTCGAGTCACCAATGTGAAGCGGGGAATCTCAGTTACATCTTCTCTTATATCTGTTGCTGCTGGAAGCAGCACCGCGAAACGGGCTAGCAATGTTAAGAAGAGCACCGTTAGCGGTATGGCGAGAGCTTCTACTGGGAGCGGAAGCGACAGTCTCCAGCAATCCGTGACCGGAGGTGCTAAAAAGAACACTGTAGTCGCAGCAGGCACCGCCACTAGGGGCTCTACAATCAAGAAGACGAGCGCGGTCGTGGATGCCCGGTCCAGCAAAGCATCGGCTAGGAGTGTTCGGTCGTCAAGAGCCTCGAAGAAGAAGAGTGGTCGGCAGTCTACATCGTCTACCAAGTCAGGAGCGCCACAAAGATGGGCTAGTCTTACTGCAACATCCGAACATCGAGGTCCCGTGATTATGCGCGAAGCGACGCGCGCGACGACCGCTATTTCGGACGAACTGGCGATTCACGTCCCACCGAAAATCAAAGTTGAGCTTTCGCGACTGCCACCGCAGTACGAACGCGCCGGCTGTCTCGGTGGGTCGCATCTGCGGTCGGACATTCACATGTCCGGGTTAACGGGGATCCACCACCACCATCCGGGTTTCGTCGCGGTCGAGATGCATCACCAGGAGAACCTCAGTTCTGGCGCCAAAAAGCAAGGGGACATGCCCCAGCATTTGGTGAACGAGGCCAAGCAGGCACATGTACGAGGGGAGCATATTTTCGATCACATGGATCACCATTTTCACTTGCAGCACTTCAACCACATGGCCATGGCTTCGTTCCAAGATCACTGTCGGTCCAAGATGTGGCTAAGGGGACGCGTGGTCCATCCTGTCGCGATTTTCAGACACATTTGCTTCGACTTGGCTGATCGGCATCGTGACCGCACCTCCGAAAGACTGCACTTCGACGTGATCCGCGTCGCGCCTGCCGCCGTAGGCCAAGCGGCTTTCAAGGAGTTCTGTGTCCGACACGCCATTCACCAGGCGCCGTTCGCGCACAGGCACATCTGGGACGCGTACACGGCGACGTCGTCCTTAGAGCATACTCGGAGAGTGCACGCGGAGAACCGGCATGACACGGTGAGACAGCTCACGCGAAAAGGCCCGGGCCTCCCTTGTGCGCTCACGCGCGACCAGGCGGAACGACTGGCCGACGCGTCCTCTGAGTGGGCGGACAAGTACCCCCACTACATGAGCGTCTTCTTGGGTCTCTACCAAGCGGCACAGCGTGTCACCTCGGTCTCACCCAAAGTGACGCTGCAGGAGTTTTGTCCAGTGAGTGCGCGTAAACTTTTCAGCTTTCGCAACTTCCTAGTGGCCGCCTTCGGATCGGTCTATGAATTCTGGCTCACGGTGTACGAGGAAGCCATCGCAGTCGCCAGAGAACGCAGCAAAAGTGATCCGGTGGTCTACGACACGAAGACCGTTCCGAAAAAGGCCTTCTTGCTGGCTCTTGAGATTTTGGCCTATGGCGCCGAAAATGACAGCAATTTAGCAGGAATCGCCGCCAGCTTAGTAGAAGTGTCAAACCAAAACACAAATGTAAATGGTGCTGCTCGTGGGGGCGGCGAAGATCAGATGGAGGGGACGAGCAAAATAACAGATGCTGGTGATGGAGGCGAAAAAAAGGGTCCTCGTCAGTTGGCGCGCGTGAACGTGAACAACAGGCAACGCCGCGATCACATTGCTGCTGCCCACGAAGCCGATGCGTTGGCGGAGCACCTGTTTGATTTGCTCGCACTGGAGCAAACTTCCTACACTGGGTTCAACCAGTTTCCGGTGCTGCAGGCTGCGGACTTTCTTTGGCTGGAGATCTGCTTCCAGCAGAGTCGTGTGGGTGGTGTGATGTTGGTTTTCCGCATGCTCGAGCGCGCCCTCGCGTCCGTGCTCAAAGACGGGGACCTCTCTGCCGCGCGCATGATGCTGGAGAAGGCGTCCGCGGAGCGCCTCCTCCACCTCTTGTGCGAGGAACTGGGCGCGAACCCGAAGATCTCGGTGCGAACGGGCGACTTCGCCAAGAAGGGTGCCTTCAACCACAACACCGATGCCGACCGCCACAACTGGGCTGGCTTGGCCAGCGGGTCCTTCGCTCATTCTCACGTCGACTGGGCGAGCGAGGACGAGATGGAAGTGCGGAACAACAAGAAAAACAAGCAGATGAATATACACGCCGCCAGGCGTCCGCCAGCTACATTTCACACTGCGCGCGGAGACACAGCGGAGGTGCGCAAGGCCCCGAAACACCAGAAATTTCTCGCGGAGCGGCTGCGATTGTACGCCACGCGGCGTCTCGCCTGCGGCAGCGGCGCCACCACAGTCTACGCCCCCGAGGGCATTTGGACGGGCGATCAGCAGAACGATCGGCTACTAGAAGATGGCGATACAGCAGCGGCACTTGCAGCCACACAAGCCGCTGGCGCTGCTCCCGTAGGAGAAGGTCTTAAAGGAGAACAAAGCAACGAAAACGATGTAGGCCTCTCTGGTCAACAAAGCAATGGCGTTCCAACATGCGCAATGTCGAAAAACAAGGCTCAAAGTTCGCAGGACCGGGAGATTGGTGGCGAAAAAGAAGCGGATATCTTAGATGGCGCGGCAACCGACCCGGACGGTTGGTTTCGAGTTACTCTGCGGGACCGCCTTTCCCGTTGGTACGATGAGGAGCGCGAAAAGAATCGTCACGTACGTAAACACGATAACAAGAACGAAAAGCACAACGACATCTTCCTGTCGCATCACGAGAAAGGCAAGTTCGGCTTCACGGCGAAAGCGCAGATGATGCGGCAACACGCGCAGCAGCGACTCTCCAAGGTCGAGGCGGAAAAACGTGTCCAGCTAGCTACACTCCGGAAAAATACCCTCGCAGAATTCCGGGTCTACCTCATTAAGACGTTTCTCACGGAATGCGGACTCAAAATTTGGCGCGAGCACTTGGATACGGATAACGTTGGGTACTTTTCACTGCTTTTAAACTAGCCTCCACAAGCTTCGCCCGGCTTCAAGTTAGTTAAGCACTTTTCTGCAGCCTCCCACGGGCTACAGCCGCTAGAGTAGAGACAGCCCGCGGGTGAGCTGTTGCACCCTACGAATTAACTACGACAAGAGCCGAGCGCCGACGGTGGCCGACTCAGGTCGATGCGTCGACTCATGTGCAGGGCATTGCGCTGCCTTCGGTTTTTTTATGAGATTGCCGGGGGGGTCATGCAAATTCTTAAGAATTTGCAAGACCCCCACGGCAGTCCAACGAAAAAACCAGAAGAGGGCCACCAGACACGCACAAGAATCCGCAAGCCCCAACGCACGCAAACGCCTCGCGGTGGCGCCAGGCAAGAACGGGCGGCGGCTTTAGCGGGCCAAACAAGACAAAGCATAAGCAACGCAGGGCCGCGCTGCTCGGGTCTCTCTACGCGCTTACACCTGGCGGGGCTTCTTTGTTTCGTCAGATGTCTCTCGTCAGAAACAGACGGGCGCACTTCGCGGGGGCGTGGGGCGTCGCGCTTCGGGTTGTGGCTGAAGCCTCTTGACTGGCTGACGTCTTTCGCCAGGATGGAGACTGAGGCCTTCCATCAGACTGATGCCGTTCGTCAGACCAACGCGCTGCGCCAGGCTGGCGGCCTTCGTCGGACGACAGGCCGGCGCCCTTCGGCGGACGTCGTGGGCCAGGCTGAGGCCCTTCGTCAGGGTCGGGCGACGTCTCTCGTCAGGCTGACGCTTTTCGTCAGACTGAAGCGCCTCGCTTTGCTGACATTCCTCGCCGGGCCAAGACTCACGCCTTTGGTCAGGTTGATGGCTTGCTTCAGCATGGCGCCGCTGGTTCGTCAGGCTGATGCACTGACCAGCCAGGTGACGCCCCTCGCCAGACCGGCGCACTGCTTCGCCAGGCGTCTGCCTTGCGTCGGAAGCGGAACAAGCTGCGTGGGGCCTTTCTTCGGGCTGCGGATGTCTTTCCTTCGTGAGATTGATTCTGCCCCTTCGTCGGACTGACGTTTTTCGCCAGACTGACCGCGTTCGTCGGACTGGCGTCCTTCGTCAAAGGTCTTCGCTATCTTCGTCGAGGTAGGGCTTCTCGCCACAGGTCGGGCGGCAGTTTTTCTGGCAGAGGTCGTTCGTCAGATGTCTGCCGTCGCGGGTCTCTTGTCTTGTCGGAGGTCTTTGGTCCAGCGGTCGCCCAAAGGTCGCCGTTGGTCCAACGGTCGCCTTTGGTCCAAGGGTCGCCTTTTGTCCAAAGGTCGTCGCACTTTGGTCCAGCGGTCGTCTTACTTTGGTCCAAAGGTCGCCTTACTTTGCTCCAGCGGTCGCCTTACTTTGGTCCAGCGGTCGGCTTACTTTGGGCCAGAGGTCGCCTTAAAAGGTCGCCTGTGGAGTGGTCTGCAGGTCGTCTGTGGTCCAGCGGTTGCCTCTGGTCTGAGGGTCGTCTTTGGTCCAAAGGTCGGCTTTGGTCCAGAGGTCTGCCGTGGTCCAAAGGTCGTCTGTGGTCCAAAGGTCGTCTTTGGTCCAAAGGTCGCCCTTGGTCCACAGGTCGTGTCTGGTCCAAAAAACGCCTCTGGTCCAAAGATCGTCTTTGGTCCACAGGTCGCCTTTGGTCCACAGGTCGTCTCTGGTCCAAGGATCGCCTTCGGTCCAAAGATCGTCTTACTTTGGTCCAAAGGTCGCCTTATTTTGGTCCAAATGTCGCCTCACTTTGGTCCAGAGGTCGCCTTACTTTGGTCCAGAGGTCGCCTACTTTGGTCCAGAGGTCGCCTTACTTTGGTCCAGAGGTCGCCTTACTTTGGTCCAGAGGTCGCTCTACTTGTCGTCGTACTTTGGTCCAAAGGTCGCCTTACTTTGGTCCAAAGGTCGCCTTACTTTGGTCCAGCGGTCGTCTGGTGTGGTCCAAAGGTCGCCTGTGGTCCAAAGGTCGCCGGTGGATGTGGTCCAAAGGTTAAGGTCGCCGGTGGTCCAAAGGTTGCCTTTGGTCCAAAGGTCGCCATGGGTCCAGCAATAGCAAAGGTCGTCTTGGGTCCAAAGGTCGTCTTGGGTCCAGGGGTCGTCTGGTCCAAAGGTCGCCTTTGGTCCAGAGATCGCCGCTGGTCCAACGATCGTCTTTGGTCCCAAGATCGTCTCTGGTAGCTAGGTCCAACGATCGCCTTTGGTTCAAAGATCGGACCAAAGATCGCCTTCAGTCTGAAGGTCGCCTTCGGTCCAAAGATCGCCATAGGTCCATAGGTCTGGGGTCCAGGTGTCTTTGGTCGAAGGTCTTTCTTCGGCTGTTTCTCTTGGGACTTCTCTCGCCAGCTTGCGCCCCTACCCCCGTCGGGCATTTTTCTGGCTTCTTTTCTGGTAGTCTGCCACGGGGCCGAAAGGTGAACTCCAACAAGAAAACGGCCGGAGACTATCGGGCTTAGGAGTGAGGGGAAAGGGCAGGAGGCTATGGGCAATACCTTCGCGGCAGGAGGCGACTAATCTCCGGTGGGTTAGGCGGGGAGTTTTATGGCGGCGGAGATTAATAATATAGATTAATAATATAGATTAATAATATAGATTAATAATATAGATTAATAATATAGATTAATAATATAGATTAATAATATAGATTAATCATATAGCTTAATCATATAGCTTAATCATATAGATTAATCATATAGATTAATCATATAGATTAATCATATAGATTTCTTTTTTGTTATGTTTTTTATCTATCAACTTATAAGAATTTTGTTTAAAGTCGTGGATCTTCTATGCCAGTAAATGCCAGTAAATGCCAGTAAGATGTATGTACCCCTAGAATGGGTTTACTACTACTACTACTAGTTGAGGTGCTTAGGACGCAATGAGGATGACATCGCTCCGTCCGGCCGGCGGAATGGTTAAGTACTTACAACGCCCATTAGGGACGCAATGGAATGGAGAAATTCACTAGTTATTGGATATTGATAGATTGAGATTCAGCGACTTCTACCTACCTAGCTCGAATATTTCGTTTTCGTAACTGATCCTACGGACACACTGGAATACCACTAAGAGCATCTACAACCACCTGACTTCTACTTCAGGCACATTACCGGCACCCAGTTGCTGCACGCCGTTCGTGGTTGGCGTGGAAACACGAGAGCCTTGCGGGATCAGCTTTCCATGAACGGAAAGCACTGGATCACAGCCTACGATCTGTTCCCGAAGCAAGTCAGGAAGCTGAAGAGACTGCGGGATAGCCTGCAATCGATGGCTCCGAACCTAATGGAGCTATACATGCAGATGGACTGGCAGAACGCGGAAAAGAGAGGTACTACTCTCAGTACAGATGATTTACGCTAATGTCCACTACCTTGGACACTATGATGATGATGATGCTGCTCTTCTTCATCCCAATTTATTACAATTGTTCGCGATGCAACAGCTTTTGGACCTCGTCCTCCATAGAAATGAAAAAGTATTCTTCCACGCAACACTATTGCTCTTCTTCCACTTATCTAGGTTTTGTATCGTTGGAGGCGTGGATGCGATTTGGATGCCGTTGGCTTGACATTGACAACGAAGATTTGCACGAGTGCTTCTCCCAGCTGGCGTACTCGAGGACACGAATGCGCTTCGCGGACGTCCACTACCTCTTCTTCGGTAAGTGGACAACGGGTTTGTAGAAATTTATCTTGAATAAATGTCAACAACAAGATCGACTGCAATTATTGTATTAGATGAAAATTGGTAGTAAAATAAAAAAAAAGAGATGGAATCGCGATTCAATAGTTCAAAGGTCTTGTTGATACTATAGTGCATATAAGTAAGATCATTTTTGCAACGCAGACGGTTATCAAAAGGGTGTCGATTTTCGCGTGAATACTTAATGCACATAGGCTACTGCTCGAGGCTATTGTATAGAAATGTTGGTGACCACATCAAATATTCCGGCTGAAACTGCGAATTGCTGTATAGAATGGCTGACTAGAGATTCATTTATGGAACTTGTCCTGCAGTTCAAGATGGTTGTAACCGAAAAACTCATACATGTACTTTGAATCTGAATCAACAACTAATCTTGGATATACTTGACATACAACTTGCAAACGACATTCTTGAGAACTTGTTTTTTGAATCGAAATCGCGCTTCGAAGTCTACTAAAGATGGATGTTGAGAACAAAATGACGAAAGCCCCGAAATTAGCGGTGTCCAGGACTGTGTTCATAGGACTGCGTTCATTCTGGCTGGTGAAGTTCCAAAATGTCCTAGTTCAGGACATCTTGATGTAACTCTTAGTCAGCTGCGTACCTATATGGGTGACGGAAGGAACTTCTACTTCTACTTCGCCCTCTGAGGATCTTTTATATGGTCGACTACAGGCTCACCAGGAACTTCTTCTTCGACAGCAAAGTATATGTGGTGCTTGAACGTCGTCGGCAACGATGGATCAATTGATGCAGTAACATTCTTCATCAGATGCGGACGACGAGAAGAATGCGAGGCGAAATAAGTAAAGCTCTTTTATAGGACTTGTGCGCAGTTTTATTGACAGTTGTATGCAGCTTTGCAGAACATAAAAGAACTAGTGAAAAAAATGGCGTCTCTCGCGGTCCCAAAAAAGCTGGAGGTGTCCGACAGCACGCGCAGCTTGCTGTCACCGGTCCCACCACCTTTTCGCGTGTGCGCTAAACTAGAAGGCATAAAATCATCGATCGTGGTGCCAACTGCTAGTACTAAAAGTAGCAGTAGTAGCACACCTAATTATACTAACAGCGGAGCTAACGGTGGTACAAGTGCAGCAACAACTTCTGCCGCGATGACTACACCTTCTTTTTTGAGTTGTGACAGCAGCCGGGAGGACATTTACATCGTAGGGTACCGCGGGGAGGATGACTTGCGGGATTTGATACCTTTGATCGAATGCGATTTGTCGGAGCCTTATTCCATCTTCACTTATCGTTACTTCGTGAACCAGTGGCCTGAGCTCTTCTTCGTGGCAGTGACGCTCTCCGACGCAGGGAAGAAGGCTATGCAGAGGCTGGACAGCAAGGAAAAGCACGACGCGAGTGAACCTGTTCTTGACGCCGCGACGAAGAATATCAAGGAAGAGGATAGTACAGACTTATCAGGCGACTTGGCGGCAATAGAGAAGGAGAACATGAATCCGTTGCTAAGCTACGACGACAAGGTAGCGAACATACTGGCCTGTCGGAGTCACACGGTGGTGGTGGGCGGCATCATCTCCAAGTTGGAAGCACACATTATGACCGCATTTTTTTGTACATCTTGGCCCCCAGCACAGCATCTTCCTCGTACGAAAAATATAACTAGACGAAAATTGCATGATGATCAGGAATGAACCATTCAGGTTCACTTTTACGTTTTTTACTAGCATGAGGATGTAGACCGCTTGTTGAATGAAGAGTCCCTGTTGCTTTCTCCTCCCTATGAAAGGTGATAACAGGGACAATAGCATGCATTTCTCCTCCCTCAACAAGGAAAGACCCCAATCACCTCCTATTCTTCATACACCAATCGTCGTATTTTCCCGCGATGCGTGGCTATATCGCAATGTTAGCTGTGGACAAGGAATTTCGTAGACGCGGTTTAGGCCGGCGCATTGTCCAAGTCGTGTTGACGAGGATGGAGGAACTAGGTGGACACGAATGCGTTCTAGAGACAGAGCTGGTCAACGATAAGGCCCGTCGATTGTACGAGTCTTTGGGGTTCATCAAAACTAAGCGACTCGAAAGCTACTACCTAAACGGCCTTGACGCTTTTCGGTTCAAGTATGTCTTTCCACCAAGAGAAAGGATGGAACAGATCAAGAGGCACGAACGGATGGAGGAACAGAAAGCCAGGCTGGGGTTTAGATGACAATGACGAGGAGGAGGAGGATTCCAACTCTTGAGTACCAACAGAAGACGACTTCAATTTTGCCCCTCTCCAACAGAAGTTGTGACAACATCAGCTTCGCTCTTCTCGTCTGTCACCGATCAACTATGGTGAAATACAGAGATTTGTATCCCATTTCTCAACGAGGGGAAGTGTCCCTGTGACCCTGTCTAGGATGAGAACAGTACTTCCAGCGTATCATCTTTACGAGCGACGACAACCAACATACTCTGGTTCTTTTCCCTAGTTACAGAAGATTTCGATTTCCTCTAAAACTTTTTTCAGAGGTTTGTACTTAATTTTTCATCGTCTCAAGTTTGTCTCATGCGATGGCAACGTGTTCTGCAAGAGCTGAGCTAAAATCCTCTTAAAAAAGCATAAAATGATCAAGAGATGATCACGAGATCTTAACCTTATAGAAGTACAGCTCAAGATTGGACATCAAAACGACATGATGTGTCCACACCCCGGTTCAGTAACCTCCACAACCAGCTCGTTATAGCCTGGAATCATAGGGACAGCCCCCGACCCGACAAACCGCTTTTCAGACCATACGCATGGCGCACGCAAAGCATGCAGCGAAATTTTTCTACACCCAGTTGAGCGGTCGACGAGTCTAGTAGAACTGATTCTAATGAATAGATAAGGTGCTCTCGTGCATAATCATGATTATCCTTCGACGTAGTTATCACCATGCGTATAGTAAAAGCTACCGCGTCAATCGCCATTGGAGCTTCTTCATTAGCAAAGAGCTTGCTTTCTCAAATGCCTTAGCAGTTTTTTGAGATATGTGAGAGACGAATTGATTGATGTTCTAGTTGATGTTTCGGAAGGCTGAAGTTCTGCGTAGCTCTAGTTGTAAGACAGTTCTAGTTGTAGGGATTTGACTAGTTGTAAGACAGTTCTTGTCGGTAATCTAGGAGGATTAATACTTGAGACGCGAATGAATGTACACTACTGAAGAAAGGCGCAAAAATTTCAAATTCTATTCTCCTCTTGCGTTGTTTTTGACTCTTGCCCTTTTTTTCCTTGGTATCGGCTTCTTCCGACTATCTTGTCATAAAAGATTCATCCTGAAGACGAAATAATGACGGCCAAGCGTTTCGTTTTGTCTTCGCATTAGGTGCTTTGTCTACGCCTGGTGCAGCTAGGAAAGAGGCAGTCTCTGTCTACCTCGCAACGGGACAAGGGAGCATCTCTATGGGGAGCATCTCTATGTCGCGGAGTCGGTTTCGGGTGCGGCGGGGACTCGTTTTGCTTTGGATGATACGAGTTATTTCGACGTCCTAGCGTTTGATAGACAAGTGGTCTGGATCCGCCTGACGCTTTGTCGAAAACCTTGCAATTGGACAAGATGTGGATGGTTCGACCTCGTGTGATCTGGGTCACCTGCAAGTGGCTTTCCGGTTCCTATTGCGTCTGGATCGGCTTGCAGGTGTACGTCGGCGGTCGCGCAGTAATCGAGGAGATCACACTCCGGACGACCGAGGTAGCGACGCAGTTCTCGACGTTTGGAGCCAAGCAGTACCATGCCATGCTGGCCTTTTACCAGCTCTCACAAGCATTGCTGAAGCTGCTGGCGCCGTTCTTTTTCGATCTTTTTTTCGTGCTGAAAACAGCCTGGGGAAGACTCCCGCACGAGTTTCAGATCGCGACCCTCGGCGCCAGTGCGGTCGCCTACTGCCTCTACAGCTTTCGCTGGGCACGGCACGTCGCGTTTCTGCCTAGTGCGGCTGGAATATGGTACTTGCACGGAAACCTCCGTGTTGTAAGCTCCTTTTTAAAGATTGAAAACAAAGTACTATAGATACTCGGTTTAAAACTAATTTGAGATTGTGTTCAGCATGATTTTCATGTAAGATCCAAAGTACCTTTTCCGAATAAGAATAAAAACCGAGGCCCTTGGTCTAAAACTGATATAGATACATAGATGATTTCAGAATTTGGTAGTAGGTGCAAGTGGTAGTACAGGCTTTCTTTTGATGCCAATTCTTCTGTGCTGTTTTTCATCCGAAGAATGTTCAATGTTACCGAATATTTGTACAACAGGTTATTATCCGAGCAGCTAGAGGTACCGGAGGAGTTGTACGTTTATTACTTCCTGCCCGTCCTATCACAAGTGATTCCGGTTTTGTCGTCGCTCTCCGCCTTTGCGACTAGGCGGAACTCGCCTTGCCGCCAATGGTTGCACTACTGGGCGTTGTCGCCCCTTACTGTTTACGCCGTAGCAGCCTGGCGCGAGAGAAGCATAGAGGGTCTTGGAGCTGCTGGTGGCGCCTTTCGATCCGCAACATCAAGTGGGGTCGGTTTTTCCGCTGGAATGGGGGTTGGAGATACTACCACAACTTCTAGCACTAGTGTTTTATACCAGGCATGGCATGGGCGGCCTTTGTCTTTGTTTCTGGTGTACCTCGTCTTTTGGCATGGAGCGGACATCGTCTTTCATTTCCTCTACGAAGTCCTCATAAACCGCATCGCGACAGCAGCATTACGGAACGAGTTTCTCCAAAAATTACTGAGAACATTGTCGGATGTAGCACTTTGGGTACTGCCAGCTTCCATTGCTCCACGTAGAAAACCACAAGAAAGTTCTTCTGCCATTGTTGGTGACCATGGAACAGGAGGTTCTAGTACATCGAGTGGACGAGCAGGTGAAAATGGGGGTAGTCCCGAAAGAGCATCATCTTTTTTGGCGTCGCTCTTTGGGGGTGGCATGCGGCAGTCTTGGCGCATGTTTGAGATAGCCACGAACGCTGCAGGTGCGGGGAAGTCGATTCAAAGCGAAGTTCTTGCTGCAGTAGAGGAAGAGAAGCGCGCAGTGGAAAACGCGTCATCCTCTAGTAAGAGTACAACAACTGGTGCTTGTGCTGAAGGTTCATTTGGGGATTCATCGTCGTCATCAGCGTCTAGCACAGGAGGAAGCACACTCAAATCAGACACATCTTCAGCAGCGTCAGGGAGTACTACTGACGGCAATAAAACTAGTAGTAGTTCTGAGCCGGAAACGGTTCTCAGATTAGTCTGGCGAGTCGCGGTGCGGTTGGCTTCCCAGAATAGTAAGACGCTCTTGTATGCCAGCAGTGCGATCGTTGCCGTGGTAGCAGCCGCCTACTACGTCTACCGGTTCCTCAGCTTCGTGTCGAAGGCGGTCGTCTGGGCATGGTTTTTCTTCGAGCTGACCAACGAACAGGCAATAGCGAGACCAAGGAAGAAGCTGGCCACAGCGCTCTTGTTTTTGTCCGCGCAAAAGCTGTTTTCCCAACGGTGGTTTCTGATACCCGACTTCCTCCTAGATCTCTTCCGCATTCCTTTGCTCCTCGTCTTCAACATGTTTGGTACTATAGTACCCTCTTTTTCTTGTGATCTCATTGTTTAAAGCTTTTAAGTAATCATCAGGATGCTACTGTTGTTTCTCAATTTTTTTTCTCTTAGTCATTGATCCGTGCTGTCTGATTGAATCCGATGAATTTGCTATGCGTCTCAGAAGCTGCAATTCCTATTTTTACTGGTCATTTCACGACACTACTCATCCTCGAAATTTTCAGGTGAAATCATTCTCGACAAGTTGCTGATGACAAGTTTCGGCGACAGTGGTACCCCCACACCCAGGAAAGTGTTGTCAAAGATTTTTCAATCAGGGGTCGCCGGATCTCGCGGAAGCACGAGCGATTCTAGTCCTGACATTTCTCCTCGCGGCGAGCACGGCGACCCTGTGAGAGGGGAATTAGATATAGATGGTGAAAATGCCAGTCGTGCTAGACAAGATGATGAGACTAAAGCAGAGGCGCATGAGGGTGATGACGGGAATGCGGGAGAAGAATTTGAGATGGTGGGCTAATAGAAATGCCCAACGCGCGACTGGCCTGATTAATTTCCAAGAATTGTTTTTCATCAAATCTTTGCTGTATTGTAATACCACAAACTAAAACTTCTCATTCCATAACACGAATTGTATCAAACAAGTACAACATTGTAAACTGCTTCCTGAGCAGTTGTACTGGTTCTCTTCGTCTATAGTGATTCTTTAACGCCAGTAAAATCGGATGGTGTGGAAGGAAAAGACTCAATGGGTTATATGACTCGTGGAGTCCGGGAAAAACGCAAGATTGGAATGCGGCGTCAAAACGTTTGCATACATGGAGTGTGTACTTTTTGTTCACGATAGAAAATCAAAATTGAGTAATCGTCGCAATAAATGCGAGAACTTGCTATTGCTATAATACTAAGTCCTGGCATTGAACCACACAACTATTCCTCTTGCCGAAGGAGCGTAACTAAGGGAAACTGGAAATTGCAGAGAGGCAAAAGCTGCTTGCTCAGTTTTGGAAACGAGAGAGTCTGAGCCTTGCACTTACAGTTGTGTGTTAAATCAACAACAGAAGGATAAGCACAGCAACAACAAAGAAAATGACACTTTCGACCGCAGTGCAGACCTATGACGCGGAAGCGAAGGCGCGCTTTCCGCATCTTGTATTCGTGTACGGGACTCTGAAGACCGGTTTCTTTAACCATGGTGCCGTAATGATGACGCAAGCGGATACGTGGCAGCAAATTTCCAGTGCGGCGACGATTCAAAGGAACCACGAAGCCGATCATTTTTTTGTCGACATATACTACACGCCGTATCTTGTTTTGGGTGCGTCTCCTCAAGACTCGAACCAAGGAGAGGTGGAAAACGAAGTACCAGATGGCGGGAAAGATGTCGGAAATGCGAATGACGCAAAAGTGGTGCGCGGAGAGTTGTTTTTATGTTGGTTTAGAGTGTGCATGATACACTTTATTTACAATGTTTTGTCTCTGATATCTCAAGGAAGATTTGCGAAATCCCAAAGTAGATACTCTAGAAGCACTTTCAGAACTTGTCTATACTGTCATCAGGAAAGTTGACAACAGGGACGCATGCACGCAAAGCAGACACTTTTGGCCTCGCTAATACTCGCAGTGAACGAGGAGATGCTAGCCTCGCTTGACGATCTGGAAGACGTCAAATTTGGTCGATACACGAGGTCGGAGGTACTTGTCTCAATACCTTCAGGAGAAAATTTTTTTTCGTGTTTCGTGTATCACCTGCGTGCGGAGAGGATTTCGGCCGAGTTATTGGACCAGGTGGAGCACATTGAAGAATACCAGAAAGAGGAGCATGAAAAACGATACGTCCACCGAGAAGACCGAGATCCCGACAAGTACGTCGAGAAGTGGGGAGTGTATCTCGAAGGTGGTGCGCTTCTTGGAGGAAACGGATTGGAGGTGGAACGTAGTGAAAAAGGAAATGCTTCTCAAGGATTCGCCTAGGGCACTAGACGAAAGGCCTTGTCGTGCCGGAAATGCTTCAGAAGTCTGTTGGTGTTGGCCTGAAGTGACAAAAGTAGTTCTTGGCCTTGAAGGAACTGCATTGGAGGTTGAACCGAGTGCTGAAGCATTCGCCTAGAGTACTACAGACAACTTGAACTTTTTGCAGACTTTGGTACAGCAGTGCTCATGCAGAATGAAAGACAAGTGAGAGCAGTGCTCGGTCTCGTTATTTTTGATCTTCAGCAAAGCGCGGGCGTGCTCTTGAAGTACGGTGGCAGACGAAATTATAGTCTTGAAGTAGGGGTAAAATCGAAATTATATTCAATACGGTCTAAGCTGCTATCGACTTTTTTTGACTATTCGACTCGTCATGTCGTGGTTCGATTTGACAGACATACAGACAGTTTCGACGGGAAGAAAGTCTGACTTCGTCATCCCCGTGCCCATCGAGTCGCTGCGTCAAGAAGGTACCCTTTCATAGTAATTGCGATGTAGTGTATGTGTGTGGTATTTTATTGTTTCGAGATCGATGATGTTTTTCTCTTTCCATGTTCGATATGTTTATTCTCGCTTTTCTTGCATGGAGATGCGAAGTCGGAAGACTACAAATCCATGCTTTTTTCTTTACTTCTAGAAAGGACGGCGATACTAAATACGTACATAAGCGACATAAGTAGCACATATTCAGCAACGAACTTTATTTGTGAACTTCCTCTTCTTCTTCTTCTCTCCTTCTGCTACAGAGAAAGATGCCGGACCCAGCAGAATATGTGCCAACTCCGACCAATAATTTCCAGGTCGGAGGGTCCTCTGCATCGTCATCACCGGGAAAGGGGATGATGACTCACAGTACTAGTACTGGAGCCAAGGCTCTTCCGGCAGCGGGATTCAGGCAGATAAACACTGTTGTGCGACGGATGGGAGACTTAGGGGACTTCTACTTCGATGGTAGTTGGAAGGCAAGTAGTTTTGCGAATCCGCCAGGCTATCTCGATGCCGACGTGCGAACACCATGGGTAATCAATGATGAATTAACATTATACCAAAAGAGTGTGGGGGTTAAACAAGAATGCCTTTGGCTATGATTGGATTTGTTTGGAAAAATGACCTCACTGACGGCAGTAGCAGAAGCGAAGAATTGCAGAATTCTCTGCAAAGATACAAAATATCTTTTGCTTTTTATAGAAGAGTCGTTTCTTAAATTCTGAGGCCTATGAGATTGTCTGGAAGATTTTGCTTTCACTCTACGAATGTACGGTCTTACACGCCCCCAGTATGTAATTTTGTTTAATTATGCAACAGATATGTTTAAGTGATTAACAGGGCGGTGGCATATAGTCCTACGTTAAGATGCTGGAACGTTAAGATTTTTCAAGGCCTCGCTCTCTATCGGAAGTGGAGTTGTAGTGAACGAAGGTCATGATCACTATCAGAGAGAGCGAGATCTGTTTGAGAGTTGAGATAGTCACTAGTGGTCCTTAGGGAACGCCAGAGTGGTTCGCGAGCTTCCTCTGTCTTGCGCGATGTGACTGACGTTAGAGTTAAAGAGTTTATGCCTTTGCTTCAGTGGATGAGTAGACTTATGCAGCGTAATAAAAAGGGGTAGAGCGTCCCATCGTTCTCCCTCGCCGATCTTTTTATCTCCCGTCCGGTTGTGGCTATCAGGCATAAGGTAGCCCCTTTGGTCGGAGTTACCCCTCCACTTTTTTGCTTTTTGGTCTTTGTTTTTTTTTTCCTCGATCCTTTGTTTCTGGCGAAGTGCGGCTGCAACATCATGTGACGGAAAACAGGATAGGTTCATCAATATGACTTTTTAGTAGCTTAACCGTAGCGGCAATTACTGCCACTCTCATCTCTTTCACCAGGCCGCATTCATCACGGTTTTAGCTCCGCGCTGTAGATGACTGGTGAGGCATGTGACTTCACCGGTCGAGATCTCAAAAACATTATTTAAGTCCGATTTCTGCGCTTATGCTTAGCTCAGGCCTGTCTTATTGATCTCGGGGCTGTTAGTTAGTTAATTTTTTAACGCTCTAAGCATGATTTAGGTGGTTCATCAGTAAATCCATCATCAGTGTTGCGGCGTGTCATACCCCTGCAGGTGTGCTGACTTGCTCATGGGGCCCCGCTGCGTCGGGTTGCGCCTTAGGTTTTCTACAGGGGCCGAATGTACGGCTTCTCCGATAGATGTAGATTTGTGGCCGATTGTACGGTCTTATGCGCACCCAGTATGTAATTTGGATGATCTTATAAATAAGGAGGTAAATAATTGATTGAATGGGTGGCGGCATATAGTCCTAACGCAAAAAAAAAAAAAAAAACGGTGGCCGCGAATGACCATAACAGGGGCACACACATGACAGGCAAAGACTCCTGCCTTCCACAACAAAAAAATCATAGACGCGGACCTTGAATTATGCGCCGAAGAGTGGTGTACCTGGCCCACCATCGTTGTGGCCAATTGATCATGTAACTTCGACACCCGCTGTCCCGCAAGCGCCTATATGGCCACCAAACCTGAGTTTACGAGCAAACAACATTCCAGGATACAAAGGGTAAGAACCTTACTATGAGTATAAAATATTACGTGATCGATGGTATTTTTTTGTAAGTGATTCATTTTTCGAGATGGATATACAATCGCATACTTACTTGAGTACTACTTCTTATTGTCGTAGAAATCCACAAGTTTTCTTTTAAAGTTCAGGTACATTCCTGGCGAGAAAGTTGAAACAGTATATGGAACTTTGCGGTCGGGGTGTGTAGATCATGCTGAGAAACTGCGGACATACGAAGAAAAAGACGTTGCGCCAAAACCACTTCTGGTACATGACTTTAAGTACAACTTAGTATCGCTGTCAGCACCTTCTTCTAAGTAAGTATAGCCTTTACGTATAACCTAAGTAATATCTTCACAGTCAGTGAAAACACACCTTTTATGTATAACCTGAGCATGTTACAGTCAGTATAACCTAATCAAAATACAATACTCTTCCTAGTACAACAATGCAACGATTGGGCGGATGTCCCTGAAGCAAATTCTGAAAACAACGGATTTAAAACATACGGTGAGCTACGGGGATCTGGAACCGAATCCCGGAAACAGGTTGAAGCAATACAAAGACCATGTGCCGCCGGCAAGAATAACACGTAAAAACATAAACTTAAACATTTTGATTTACTACTAGGTCGTTGAATTATCATTTGATAATTTTTGCGGGCTTGTTTGATGAACCTCGACCAATTTGCACCAGTGGTTGTGTTTTAGAACATTTGTTGTGTTGATGAGTCTGAGAAGATTTAGCATCAATTGAACAAGAACAACCAATACCAAAAGTACTCTGAGACTCTCTTCCGTCTCCATACAAATTTAGCAAATCCATCACCTACCTCCACTTGCTTCTACGTCCACCCAAACCCAGCCAATCCATCACCAACCGGTGTTATGGGGTGGAGCGGTTTTAGGCCCCCTGTAAACCGGAGTCTAGATGGTCGTGAGCCCGCGTACATGAGCTACGATACGCAAGCCGAAACAGGTAAAGATAATCCGGGATATACAGGGTATCGACCCAGAAAATTCTGCGGTTAATGGCTGCTGACCACTGTATTATGCAGTCCCTGGTGTGCGCGTGGAATGAAGAAAAAAGTTTTCGCTTAGACAAAAGTTTCTGGTATCTCTAAGATAAATCTTACCCACTGTCCAATATTGTCGGAGTCGGATGCATGAAGATCATAGTGGATAGGGTAAACTTTGAAAACTTCTGCTATTTTCGTCTTGGAACCTACACACTGTATGAACCATGATCGTACTAGAGCTTACTATACTAGTACGTAAGTTAGTAGACACTACATAATGCATGATTAATGCGATCGCTGAACTCGCCGATTCTTCATTGGTGTCCCTTAAAACCTGCAACCTTGTCATGATTCTTATCGAAAACTGCCACATAGTTACTGATAATTCTTAGCCGACGAACATGTTTATGATTCTTACTTTGAAAATGAAACCTTGCAGATACGATTTTGAAACCAGAGGCTATCAGCCAGACATATATGATTTATTACACCTCAATTGTCACTACCTCGAACGGCCTGTCACCCGTTGAGGTGCCTGCTTCAATCTAAAGTAGAGAAGTGCGGAGCCATACGGTCTAATTTCTGATCGATTTTTGAAGTACACGAACGAGAGTCGACTCTGCAGAGAGTAGACTAGAAGAGTGAGCAGAGCTTGGAAGCTTATTGTAGATGTCCTTCTAATTAGGTACTCCTAATTTTTAGGTACTATTCTAAAAGACATCCGGTGTTAGTCGTGTCAGGTTAGGTAAATCCTAGCTTATAAGGTTTCTACCAGCTTATAAGTGAAAAAAGGAGCAGGATACTAGAAGATGAACGTCGTGAAGCCAGTCGTGCGACCCCCTTGTTGGGTAATGCGTCCCGCTGTGAGTGCCTGCACGGCGTCGTCCAAAAGCAGCACGGGCTCTGATGGAGGTCGGAGCTGGTGGTGGCAAAGCAGGCGGAAGCACGATAGTCGCGCGGCGGAGGCAGGGTCGTGTACCGTAGCACGGCGGATGCATCTGCGAGCAGGAAAAGGCGTTACTTGTCCAAATTCCCTTAGAACTACAACTACACTTTTGCACTCAAGCTCAACACCAAGTAGCCCTTGTTCCAACAAGTGCCAGCACACACAAAGTCCTTCTTGCTTCCTCTTTCAGCACTTCTACGCTGCCGCTTCTGTTCGAGCTTTGTTACTAGCCTTTTTTGCGCTCCTGTCGCAGACTAGTTTTTGCTTTGGGCTCGTTTCCGTGGAGAGGGTCGAGGTGACTCATTTTGGACAGTTCCAGCAACTGGAGGAGAGGAAAAAGGCTCAAATGTTCGCCAGGAGTAGAAGAAGTAACAGAACAAGAACTTCCTCATCTTCCCTAGAAGGAAGATTCTCTCGGAACAACGAGCTGCCGGAAGTGCTCCAGCTGGGTAATTATGCCCTCTCACTACCCTCCGAGTGCATCAAGGAGAATCTCGCGACGTGCGGCGGTGTTAGCAAGACGTGCTTCCCGGATTTGCGCCCTGCACGTATTGGCACCCGCGACCCTGAGCACGTAAAAAGAGAATCTTCGGATTGGTTCACGCTGGTGGACCCCCCAGTTGCAGTTACGGGTCGTCGTTGTCAATATTTTTCAATAGACCTAGTGATGTACTCATCCTATTAGTATTTATACATAGGGTAAGCAATTTTTTTGAGGCCAGGATCTCTCCTTAACGGAGCCTCCTTAAGGGGCTTCCTTAAGGAAATAGCATTCCCTAAGGAATTTCTGTTATAGAAATCTACTACAGAGGTCCCTTAAGGGCAAAAGATGGTCCCTAAGGGAGCCCCTTAAGGGAGGCCCTGTAGTGGAATTAGGCTAATGCTAGACCCTTCCTCAAAGGCCACCTCTTAAGGGTCTAGCTTGCTCGCCTAGCCATGGCTAGCTTGCTAGCTGCTTAGCAATAGCTAGCGTGCTAGCTTAGTAATGAATAGGATAGGTAGTCTGCTAGCTTAGCCGTAGCTAGCTTGCTAGGTTAGCCGTAGGTAGCTTGCTAGTTACTTAGGCATAGCGAGGGGGCTTGCTTCTAGCTGCTTAGCCATAGCCAGCCTGCTAGCTGCTTGGCCATAGCTAGCCTGCTAGCTGCTTGGCCCTAGCTAGCTTGCTACTAGCTGCTTAGCCATAGCTAGCGCGCTAGCTGCTTGGCCATAGCTAGCTTGCTAGCTGCTTAGCCATAGCTAGCTTTCTAGTTGCTTAGCCATAGCCAGCGCGCTAGCTGCTTAGCCATTGCCAGCGCGCTTGCTTAGCCATTTGAGCACGCAAGCCCGCCGGCTTGCTAGCTTCCTTAGCCATAGCAAGCTTGCTAGCTTAGCCATGGCCACCCTGCGTGCTAGCTTAGCCCGGCGTAGCCAGCCTTCTAGCCTAGTCGTGACCAGCTTGCCAGCTTCGCCATAGCTAGCCTGCTAGCTTAGCCATAGCCACTCCAGCGTGCTCGCTTAGCCATAGCCAGCCTGCTGGCTTAGCCATGGCCAGCGCCCTTGCTGATTCATTCTAAGCCAGCCGCGTGTCGCTAGCTTGGTGACTTAGCGGCTTGCCTCGTTTGTCTTATCTGTCTAGTGGCTTCTAACCTATGCCCAGCGCGCCGGGCCCTTGCTGGGCCCGCTTTCTGGGAATGTACCTATGACGCCATGATCTGTCTGTTCACTGGTTTTGCAAGGAGAAAAGCAGTCTTCGTAAGCTATTCATTGTGCAGCATAAGTGATAAAGATAAGCTGAGGCGGAACAGAACAAGTGCCTGCTCTAATGTTCAGCATGCGGGCTGGTTCCCATATCCCTTGACGGTTGAACTTTGCGCTCAGATTTGTGCTGAGACCTCCGGCTGCGCTGCAGTGGCTTTCCTAGGGGGCGTCATGGATGTTTCCAACTGCCAATTATTGGTTTCTTCCGAAGAGGCACAAGGGGCATTCACGGCAGAGACTGACATGCAAATCATATTCATGAACAAAGGCGACCGCGACTGCAAAGAACAGCTTCTGCAGCGGCATGAAGCAGTAACGACGTTTGAGGAGGAGTTTTTACGAAATACGAGAAATGATGAGACTTCGCGAGACAGAGAGCCTTGTCTGTCGTACTGTCACAGACGTATGAAGGGCGGCGTGGCACTTCTGCTCGCTCTCATATTTTCTACGCCGACTCGAGTTTTGCGCTCCTCCTCGCACTCATGGCTGGCGAAGGTGGTTGGGCTCGGCTCCATTTCGCTCTAAAGGAGAGGAGCCGAGGCCTCACCCTGTCGGTTTGTGGTCGAAGGGCTCAGAGCTTGCTTTGCTTAAGTAGATCGTACCTGAAGTAAGAACTCGTGTAAGTTTAGAGAGGCTGTCTGTCTGTATCAGGTGGAGTCTCGGTGAGCTCGTCACTCTTTCTTGGTGACACGGGGGATCTCATGACGGTTACAGACCTACACCAGTTCCTTGAGCGCTACGAGTGCGGCGAAAACGAGCGAGAATTTCACTTGCAGAATATTATTGTGACGCACAGCACAGAACAAGCGCAGCCAGTCGCCAAGTACGACGTGCTTCACCGCTCAAACAGCGCTTGTGGCTGCTTACGATTGTGTCTCCAGTCGCCCGAATGCATCGTTTGGGCATCGAAGCAGACGGGTAACGAGTTCACATGCACGCTTGGGGGAAAGCAACATTACGTCGTGGATTAAGACTCTTTCTCCATATTTAGCCTTGTACACGCGACCATCGGGATGTTTCATTTTTCGAAGGCGATGATATGCGTAATTCAGATGATGGACTGACATCGAAAAATTTTTACATTCAGATTTTTTCTCTCGTCGTAGCTTAATCCCTTCAACCAATACATTCATATCACGTCCGGGTTTGAATTCATGTCTCACTCAGACGATGGTGAAAGTGGTCCGGCTTCCAAATTCCGATCAGATGTAATTGACAAAGAGTCCTGCGGAGGGAACCTCTGCGAAGGCCGAGCATCGAGCCAGTCGGAAAATGATAGATTCGACTATATGATACACCTATGCGATTTGTCGCTCTCGGATTATCTGATGGGCTCAGATTTTCTCGAGCAGCACATCGGGTATGTGCCAGGAATAAGGTTTTCACTTAAGGGCAGGCCTTAGGTGTTTCTTTTACCGTGTACTATGGGTCTCCTAGGGGAGAAAAGCAGCACGAATGGGGAGCACAAACACCAAGGCCCTACCTCTAGTTCAACCTTAGAATGTGGAAGGATTTGCGCTCTCATGGAGCCGGTCTGCGAAGGTTTTATCGTGGGGAGCTGGGCTTACTCACCGCCTGACGTGGGTTACTGCTTCCTACTGCGTAATCTGGGGAGTGACCGGAAAAAACCGCAGCCATTGCCCCACCACAACAGCTGGGCGCACAGAGAGGATAACTCATTTAGAGCAGCATTCTTCCGGCTCACATTACGGAAAAAAATTAATAAGATGATCAAAAATTTCATCAATAGTATTATCTTGCGTTCTAAAGCGGGAAGGGGAAGCTAATTACACACGTGGTCACTTATTGTTCCATGAGTCAACTTTTTAACACGTCTGCGCCTCTAGATTAAGTCCACTGCTGCTGCTGCTACCACTACTACCACTACTTCTACTAGGGTGATAGAATGACTCAGTAGTTATTCTTGATGAGTGATGAGTAATATTTGGTAGTAGTTTTTTTTGGTTTTGGTGAGTGTCTTACTTTTGACTTTTGTTTGCTAGCTAATAAGTAGACTGAGCCTAATCGCAGCTACGACACGAGACGGAGAAAGATGCGGAGACAAGTTTCGGGTTGCGTGGGTGTGTACGTGCGAGAATGGGCATGCGGCAGACAGCCCTAAGGCCATCTGTTTTTAAAGTCGAGAATGAATGAGTGAATGAAAGAATACTGATCCAAGATTATTTGAGTGTACATCGTGAGGATGCACGCGTGATCATAATCAAGAGTGCATCATCAAGAGTGCAGCATCATAGTCAAGAGTGCATAATCATAATCAAGAGCGTATCATCATAATCAAGATCCTTGCAAGGTGCATCATGGTCATAAGTATTATCCTGATTGCAGCAGAACTACGACTACTTAAGTACGTGATTGATTTCCTTCTTGTTTTTCCTAGTTACGGCTCGGCTGAACTAAGTAGATAGAGACCTAGTGCACTTGTTCTGGAGTTGGCAGATTCCACGAGTACTCCTGACTTGGAGCACCGTGCTACTAACTTGGAGTGTGCACTATAGTACAAATAGCCGGTTAATTTTCCCTCGTAGTTCTGACTTTCTCCCTTTAAGACTCCCTTCAAGACTACAGTACAAAAGTCTCTATGAAAAATTTAGCACATACTAGTACGACCATATCGTGCAACTACGGGGACTTCTTCCCGACATCCAAACGACTTATTTCCGACATCCAAACGACGTATTTAGTATAACGCCAAAAATCCAAAATAGAACCTTAATATCAGGTGTTGTGGATGGGTGTCCTTCTCGCAAGTCATCGCTTCTAATAGTGGGGATCCCGGGTGTGCCGTCCTGGCGCGACGTGGTGCCGCGAATGCTACTACGGATATTCGCTGAGTGAGGGCCGCGAGTGCGAGCGCGACGCAGCAATCGCTCTCCCCTTAGACTTAAGCCTCTCACATGGAGTAATAAGTACTCTTTAGACTAAAGCCTCCCACAGGGAGTGAAAATGAGTACTATTTCATGCATATTCGAGGGTGAGACATATGGGGCTGACAGGACTACGAAAGCGCCGGCGCTTAGTTAGTTTTTTCGCTAGATATATTATACCTAATTAGGTCTGCTCCACCACAAATATACTGTCAAAGACAACTTCTCAGGGACAACTTGTCGCACATGATACATAGATCTACTTCTTTTCGACTCTCTCTCATCTATTTATTAAATCCTACTAGAAGTGGAATGATTGACTTCTGGTTTTCACGCACGATGTTGGGATGACTCTCCGGTGCGTTGTGTGAATGCTGAGATGATCCTCCGGAAGTAAAAGAAATAATGTAGTACTACTCATCCTGAAATACAGGGCCACTAGAATACTTTACCTATAGTTAGTCTCACATCTTCTCCTCTGTAATTTTTCACTCTTCTTTTAGTTAGGTTGGCTCCACTGATAATAATGCAGTACTACTCAGCATTGGGGTTACGATCTTGGAATCATACTCGCAGCATCCGCTAAGATACAGCTTGAATGAGGATGTCGAAGTGGATGAAGACGAAGTCAGGGTGACATCGGTGATCACACCGAAGGGAGCCGATGAGCAAGACGTGGCGCTTATGGAATAATAGAGTAGTCTTGCAGAATTCTAACTCTCACTAGTCTACTTAGTATTCTGTCGATAAACCGTCTCAGTCATCTAGAGTAGGTTGGACAGGCTCCATCTAGAGTAGGTCTACAAAGTGTGTCTTGGCAGAAAGTTCAAATCGTGTCTGCGGTTCAAATCTGCTACTCTGCGGTGTCTGCGGCACATGGTTCAAATTTACTAGTCTAGCTTTTCAGACTGAGACAGTTTTTTCCTTCCATAATGCAGCTGGATATGACACAAGTGCTGATCATGGTCGGAGCCTGCACCGGCATTTCCTTGCTAGCAGGCTGTGCATACCTGGGAGCGCAGTAGTAGCGGACCTAGGTATTACCTAGTAGCTGAGGATCATGATGTTCATCGTTGATCCCGTATTATTGGAAGAAAGACAACTTCATTTGCCTAGAAGACACACAAGCCAACTAACATATTTATTTATTTTTTGAAGAAACATATAATTTTTTGAAGAACGACAAACGAACAATCTCACAGACTTCTACCTGCTAGTACTACCATTTACCAAGAAGCGCAACATAAACTGGAGGCGTGGTTGCGGAGATCTGCTACTAGACGTCTGCGTTTGACGGCAGTGGGACGAGTATGTGAGTCCATCTCACAACCCTGGATTCACAACCCTTGCCACTTCTGATAGACTTCCAAGTCTTCGTATTCGCAGAGAATTCCAAGTTTTCTGTTGATAGCCGAGAGGCTTACAGTGGTCCCACTTCTCAGGTGGACATCATGAAGATGAAGCAAGGACAGACGAGAAGAGCTTAGTATGTAGTACTAGTATGTATACTAGTACGTAAGTTAGTAGACACTACATAATGCATGATTAATGTGATCGCTGAACTCGCCGATTCTTCATTGGTGTCCCTTAAAACCTGCAACCCCGCATGATTCTTATCGAAAACTTCCACATAGCTACTGATAATTCTTAGCCAGCGAACATGTTTATGCATCTTACTTTGAAACCTTGCAGATACGATTTTGAAACCAGAGGCTATCAGCCAGACATATATGATTTATTACACCTCAATAGCCACTATCTCGGACGGCCTGTCACCCGTTGAGGTGCCTGCTTCAATCTAAATGAATCGCGTTGCCTGCAGTCATGCATACCAGTGGTAGGACGACTTCCAGATGCCAGGTTTACGACAAAGAAACGCAAGTGGGTCGAGCCAAAGTTGATAAAGATGACTGATTTTATAAGATATGCAGGCGAAGGCTTAGGTCCCGCGACGCTCAAAGCACTAAGTAAAGCAACCGGTTAGTTTTCACCTCTAAAAGTATTAGTTTATCCCGTGAATCAAGATATGCGGCAAAAAATTACGCAAGGACAGGGCTGTCTTTGAGCGCTCTGGAAAGGATCCCGTGTCGATAACAAGCTTTGCTGAGCGTGACTCAGCAGCAGTTGTTTCAGTCTAATGCAAGTTCAGAGTGAAAAGTTTTTTGTCTCGCGACTGAGTGAGGAAAGACAGGTTTGTATGCGTTGGCACTTTGGCGAAAGCTTTTGAAATTGAAAAATCCTTTTGTGATGTGAGAGATAAACCGGAGAAAGTCCTCTACATATTCGGTCTTGTTACGTGATGATGCAATGTTTATGGAAGTACGGCCATGTCATGAAGATTCGTTTGTGTTTTACTAGTATTTGTTTACCCTATCGGGTTGGCATCATCAATGGTGTGATCGAATGATGGATTTCTTTCTTGTTCTAATCTTGGGTGAAAACTATCATGCAGTTACGTGCCGGTCGGGCTCGATATGCAGGATCCATAACCTAATCGCCCCATTACGACAGTAGATGAGTATCCATGGCGATGAGTTTCCTTGATAGGAAAGTGTGAAATCTTGTGTCATGTAATCAACGAGCAGGCATCACATAGTTCCCCTCTCACTGTATCACCTTTCCTCGTGCTTCTTCTTACGAATTCCGACGCTAGTAAATATTTTCTTATCTTCAATTTCAATCCTCGCTTTTATTGTATTCAAAAAATCAAAATGATGAATTCTCATCCCTCTATTGCTCTTTTCTTTTACCATTATACCGAATGCATTCATACTTATCCCTCCAAAACGATCCATAGACAGTGCGGATTAGTGTGATTGCGTAGGCAGACCAGGAGCTACCTCTCTACCTAGGTAGCTCCTTGTAGCCTATTGCTACTAGACTATTCGTTCCTGTAACTGGTAAAAGTAGAGTCCAAGCTTTAGTGTCCCAGCTCAAGTTGTATTGATATTCAGAGTATGCGGTGACGTTGTTGATGTCTTATGGAAATGATAACGTTGTTACAACAGTATCTTCAACATAGATAGAACCCCTGAAACGTTTTTGCCGGAGTCTTGTGTCCAAAAGTTAATAACGTAAGTACCAACATGATTAGAGGTAGTAGAATAGAAAAAGTCACTTTGTTTTACATGACGATCATGATTGCCCGCACGATTGGTATTCTATGCCTTAGCTTTAGTCACTTACGCTTTAGCATGTACATTGTGGTCATACTTAAAAAGCAGGACTAGTTCTTTAAGTCACGTCCAATTTTCCGGCGATTGATTGAAGATTTAGGTCTCATTTCAATATTTCTAAAATTTTGTGCTGTCCATTTTTGATTGCCGTTAGCTAGTCGCCGTGTAAGCTTCCGCTACTACCACCACGTCTGCATTTGCTCTCTATGTTATTCTAAACAAGACCTATTCGATGCAAAAGTTTTAAAAAAGCAAAATGGCAGAGCGAATTTATTTTCAAAATCTGTGCCTGCACCTGAAGCAATTGATGTTGAATGGAAAACACTAAGATCAATGACAACACCAAGTAGTCCGACTGTATTATAGGTAGGTTTAGTGAAGTTACACAACCTCCGATCTAGTCCATTCACCTCCGATCTAGTCCATTCACCTCCGATCTAGTCCATTCATCATTACAGGCACGTTTAGCAGCTTTAGTCGTTGATTATAGACTGGGAGCCTCATAATTATAGACTGGGAACTCTCGTTGTTCATAATCTGGAACCGGATTTCCTGCTTTATCATCCTCGCGGAGCCGGCGCCAGGGACACCAAGCAGAATCCTTGAAGTGCTTAAGCAATCAATCTTCATTGTTGTTTCTAAAAGCGTCGAAACGGTCGCGCGCGGACGGAATAGTAATAATAACGCGATCAGTTTAGGAAACTGGCACAAGGGGCACTAGTATCGGATAATATCGAAATTAAGAAGCAAATTAGTTCCAAAAGTAAGTCCGTTTTATTTGATGTAAATAAGTAAACACATCAACTATTATAAGTGACAAGTGAAGACGAGTCTCTCTTGTGGTAACGTGTTGATGAAAGTCGGAATCTTGAATTTGGTAGAGAAGTTGCTCTCTTCTTTGGAATATTGCGCTGTCTTTGGTTATAGCGGTAGCTGCTATCCGGTGCGACGTGCCGATGCAGTGAGACGCTTCACCTGCGTTACACACACTGCTGCTTCCTGTTCCGGTAACAAATTGTCTCCTGTTTTCGTCGCAATCCCAACGTCGCGGTGAGCGTATTCCAATCTGAATCCTTCGCAAACTGAACTCTCAGCTCACTGTCGTGATGTCCGATCAAGGTCGTGAGGAGAACGCGGATGCTGCTCCAGCATCGCCTTCGGGGTCTACCAACCGCAGTCCCAAGGGAGCGTCGTGGTTGGAGTCACGCGTGGACGGCATAAAGCGTGCGTCCCCATTGTTCAACAAGGTGTCTTCAGCCGAGTTCGCACAAGTGGCTCAGAGTACGCTAACTTCTGTGAACGTGAACCAGGGTGTTTTGCGGGACGACTTTAATCTCAGAGCGTTCGACGTCGCCAACAAACGCAGAGTGCGGATTGTGCGGAATCCGTACAACAACACCATTTCTATGACGAGCACGTTCTTGAAGATGTTGAATGGCATTTCCTTCAAGGGGGTTTCTCTAACTCTGTACGAAGAGTGTGTGAAGCTATTTTTCGAGGAGTGAAAACGAATTTGAAAACGACTGTCCTAATTAAAAACTACGTCATTCTAGTCGTAGTTCTTGAATTAAGAACTACTACTCTTGTTCATCTCCCCTCACGATGAACTGCTACTGCTGAATGCTTACGACCTCTAGTACCCGAGCGATCATGCAGCTTCTAATTCATCCGAAGTTTTCGAGATCGCAGAGGATCCGTCTAGCTCAACCACGTTTCCTCAGGATACGAGGCTTAGGCCAGAAGACATCGCAGCTTCGGACGAAGACTCTGTTACGGGTGGTTTATCACTATCCCATGTGGACTATGCTGAGTGGCGCTCCCCTTGGTTTAAAGGGAAAATCAGGGGGGCGCAGGGCGACCCAGTCGACCAGGGATAGTGAAAAACTACCTCTAGCTCTGGCGTGACAACAGTACAGCAGGTGCCTCCTGGCTTCCCCACGTCAGAATCATGCTCCTCTATGGAGAGCACAGGCAGTATCAAAAACCGGCCAAGGCGTGGAAAGCAGAATAACCATTCTACTTCTGGTGCTGCGCTAACCGGGAATGCTCAAGGTAGAAGTGGTCTAGAGCATCAAAGTAGTCATCTACAACACGTCGGTACCTTGCAAGAAGGAGCAGGAGCAGTACAATCGAACACGGGCGTAGGCCTGTCTGATCATCAGGCACAAGTACGAAACAGCGATCCGAACACTACTTCTCTCCGAACATCCTCAAGACCTTCTTCCACGCATACGCTCAGTCCAGTGGCCACCGCACCCGCGGATTCGCTGCAACCAGCGGAGGCGGGAAAGCTGGCACAAAAGGATGAGGACCTGTTATCTTTGTCCGAATATAGCGTGGTTCGAAGCCCGGACTGGGCTCTAGCGGCTAAGCGGCGGTCGATGGAAGGTGGCTGGCGTCGACGATGCATTCTTTCTTCACAGTTGCGGTCACCACCTCGCAAGGCTCAGAGAGCTGGGGCTCGTACTTCTATTTACCTATACATATACTTGGGATAGTACTTATGTTTACCTATACTTATACATGTACTTCTATTTACCTATTGTGGATAGTACTTATGTCTTCTCGATGAGGTAGAAAAAACCAAAGACTGACATTCTTCAAAAAATTGACAGTGGTCTGTTCTTGTACATGATGACCATTCAGCTACAGTAGCATAGGTTTTTTCACTATCATCTGAGGATCGCTACTATTCTCACCGACTCAGCACCGAAAGCGAGCGCGCCAGTATCTTCCTCATGCACCGCTGTTGCTGGCGATCCGCAGATGCGACCCATGTTGCGGCAGGGTCAGCCGGTGGGTGATGTCGTAGATCCTGTGCATCCTGCGACGTTCATGTTGTTCACTGAAGCTGTTGTGGATGAATCTTCTGCTGTCTTGCTGATCCATAGTAGCGGCGAACACAGCCTGGAAGGCAATGGAAGTAAGATGTCCATTGTTTTCGAGGAGGAAGGTAGTATTTCTGGCGAAGTGTCAAGAGCAGCCGCGGTCCTGCATGATGAGGAGCTCAATCCTCAAAGTCTAGAGGATCATCTTCAGAGCAATGCTCCTGTCAATGCTGCAGAAGATCTAGACGAGAACGATGTTGAGGCGGAGGATGTTGAAGACGCGCCGGCTTTGACCGTATCGTGCCCAGGTGACATGCAAAGCGAATCGCTGTTGCGTGCTGGCCTTTGGGAGGAAGAAAAACTGGTAGCGGAATCCAGCAGATTGACTCCAGCAGCATCATTTGGTCCAGCAGCATCCTCTAGGCAAGCAAGCGGACCAGACGGCTCTTACTCTAGGCAAGCAAGCGGACCAGATGGCTCCTCGGGTCCCTCCGTCGTTCTGCTAGAGGGTAGCGACTTACAGAGGGTCTTGGAAGGTGTGAGAAACAAGAATGCAAGGGAAGAATGCGGTGAGGGGCCTTTAGGCAGTAGTGTCGCGACTATGGGAATCATGTCCTGCAGCCCTCCAAGAGAACTTTCTTCTTCGAACGGCGATAGAGGGGATTTATGATGATAAGTACATGAAAGGTAGTGCTGCACTAGGAATCTAGCAAGAGATATCAAGCAAGTGGTACACCAATAGTCCAGTAACAACACATCGTTTTTGTGTGTCTCCAAAATTCAAACTCATGTTATTGTGCAGGAGTGGTGAAAACAATAAATCGGATCATCGACAGCGATCAGGAGACCAGTTGAAGCACAAGAATAAACTAACTCCTTCGTTTTTTTCCACCTTCATTATCATTGTCGTCGTCCGACCAGCACTTGGCGATGGAGAGCGAGGAGCCTGCCACGACTCGACTGAATCCAAAGAAGCGGCCAGTAGGTGCTAAAGGACGTTCCATCGAGGAAAAAACTACTTCCGGTCCTACAGTCAGATCAGGCAGTGGCGGAGGTCTCAGGAATACAGATTTGCCGACCAAGAAAGGCTCCTCAAGCAGTGGCGCGGCTGTAGGAGGTGTGGCCCCTGCAGGTGCAGTGAGCGTAGCTGGAGGCGCAGTGGGCAGTACACTGGAGTCACGACAGAGTTTCCACTCTGAAAGCGGTAGCTCACAGCTCAGCAACACTCTGAGACCCAGTGTACGTTCCGACAATTCACAGGGTGGTGGGGGCTCCGTGACAAGCGGACAGCCAGGCGGGATGAAAAGCGACAGCAGTGCGGGTCGAAAGAGCGACGGAAGTGGCGGCACCAATGTGAAAAATATGGCATCAACAATTTCCGGACTCACACTCAACTATAAATCTCACACCAAGATGCTTTTGTACTACTACAGTTTACAAGTTTTGTTCTCCAGTAATTATATTTGTTCCTTTCAAAAAAACGTAAGCGTCTATGAGATTAGACTCGGCACATCACAATTTCAACGTGTGTTGATGACTTTTCATCTGCTGATTTATAAAAGAAACTCTTCCTGCTCTAAGTACGGTGATGGAAGCGGGCCAGGAAAGTCTGATGGTAGCCGCAACAAGTCAGACGGAAGCTATCCCGAGCGATCCGATGGAAGCCAGCACACTGACGATAGCCATGCGCACTCCTTCGGGTCCAAAGGCTCGCACCCGTCGCGGAGCAGCGGCACCGGTGGCAGTGGCGGCGGAAACACGAGTAGCGGTCAGCAAACTGCGAAGAGTGCTGCCAGCGCGAAGAGTTCGGGCGCAGCGTCGTCACTGCATACGCATCATAGCGGCCACTCAGGGTTGTCGGCGGCAGCGAAGAGTGACATCTCGCAAGAATCCCAACTCGGGGATTTGCCGCTGTTCGATCAGTCCTCCAGCACGCCACAGCTGGGTCCGCTTGGACGAGAGCTACAGCTATTTTTCCAGCAGCAAAGCTCGTTGCATGCAGCACACAAGCTTTATAATAAAACCTCCCGGGGACAACTAGTCGGCGAAGCGTGTGCCGTTGCGCCGCTGGACGAGGCCTCTTTGCACCAGATAGAAGTGGAGGATGGTCCGTCTGCGCTAGCTACCATGGAGGGCGCTGCGGGAGAAGCAAAAACTGCAGTGAATACGCATGAGGTAGTACCTGGATCGTCTTCTGGTGACATGATCACTGCACGAGCTTGCGGAGATACTAAAGCAGTTGCAAGTTCCAGCTCGCCGGGGCGCTCGAACCGGAAAGCTCTTGGGACAGGCGCATCGAATCTGGAAAGGCAATTGCGCCAGAACCGACAACGCGCGTATAATCACTCGAATATTCTCCTGTCCGGCAATGCTGCACGTCCCATGGCGTTGTCGCCTGAAGACGCTGAGATGGGTTCGCCCCCTCTAGATGAGGACCAACATGTAGTCGGTAAAAGTGGAAGGGCGGTTGCTTCCTCGCCTGCGTCGATTCGTGCGGCGGGATGGGGGACGTATCCGCCGGGCAGTAGCGGGGACGAAAGAACAACGTCTCACGTGACATCCTACGAACCAGCATCGAGTCGTCATTCAAGCCAAGGCCAGCTTCTCGGGAGCGATCCCTCCATAAGCCCAAATGGGCTGGTAGGAGCCAATAGGGCTGGACAGCATAGAAATCTTTCAGGAGTAAGTGGCGTGGGTGGCAGCGACGAACCAGTAGATTCGAATGCTGGCGTGTGTGGGACTACCGCGAACAAGGCTAGCATGGATGGCATTCCGGGGACCAGCGAGGCCGTCACGAATGGCGCGGCTGTTGTTGGTAGTGAATCAGTAACACGCGAAGCGGAAAGACAAGCTCACTCGAGCCACGCAGTGCACACCTCAGTCAAAAAGGGCGCATCAGCGTCAGCTAATGCGGTCCACAGTGTGGATGGCAAGATGCAGGCAGAAACGCCGGCGTTGACAACGAACATGATCAAACGCATGAATGAGCAGCAGCCCCAAAAGCATGATGCACTCTCGTCTCGGGTCGGGCAATTGCAAACGGAGAAACTAAAAAGAAAATTCCAACCACCAACAGCTTTGATGGAGAAAACTGAGGAAGACGAAGGTGAGGCAAAGGGCATAGCGGAGAGTGATGAAGATTACACGGGTCAGTCCAGAGAATTTCGAAGTGTCCTTCAGTCGCGGACCAGTGGCCACTCACCAAGTCGGCCATCCAAGCCAACAAAACCGATCAATAATCCGTCAAACAACTACGTGAAATCCCACCAGAGTGGGAGTCTAGAGTTCCGCTTAGTTCCCGTGCAATGTGCGCAATCGTCGTCTACCCCTGTGCACAGGGGAGAATCATCAGAGGTTCACCTGGAAGTCGGCGGTACTCTTGGAAGAGCGTCAAGCGCGCACGTGGACCAGCTCAGTGAACTCTCAGGTGGAGGCGCGCAGTACCCGATCTACGCCACTCATCAGGGCACGGGAGGTGCACGTCCATACCACTCCGAGCCGGTGCGGAGTGTCGGACAACCGTGGCCGGCTTGGGATTCTATGACGCCTCCTTTGAGCACGGACAACATCAGCAGCATGCGCGCTATAAGTTCGGAAGGCAGAAGCTTCGTGACCGGTGTAGAGGTGCCGAGCTCGGTAGCGCAGACTGGACGTAACATCTCAGAGAGCAAGCTTTCCGGGCAGACTAGAGGGGATTCGAGTAATGCACAGCTGCAGCCAGAGACTGGGGAAACGTCGGGCAGAGCGAGAACAGCCGACACGCAACTAGCCAGTCCACCTGGGGAGGGTCCCTCCAGCGAGGAATGCATCCCGCGGGAAATTAGCAGCGGCGTGACCAGTAGTGGGAGGCGCTCCCCGCACGAGAGCTCCTCGAACGGGGGGAACAACGCGGGCTCCTCAAACTATGGCAACGTCTCGAGTCACTACGGCAGCAGCAGTCGCTCTTACGAATTGAGCAGCAACGAGGCCCCTGGAACGAGCGTCCAGGGGAACCTCAGCATGGGCACGTTCGGCGACGGCGAGCGGGCTCGGCAACTTCGTCCAGAACCTGTGGGCGCGAATGCGTCCGGAAGCACCTCGGGAGCCGACGTCGCGACTGTTGACTTACACGCAAATCAGGACTCGAGCGATGCGGCCCTGGAAATCGTCAGTCGAGCCGGCGACAGCGGGTCTCACACAGGCAACGAAGGTTCGCCTGGGAACAGCATTGAGAATTCAGACGACCGCACGCTAGGCCGCGCACTAGAACTTGACCCGTTTGGCGAGCCCGTCGTCGGAAGTGAAAACTTCACAACCGGTGAACAAGCGTCAGCAGTAGTGATGGCCGCGAGTGGAGGGGCCTTTGGAACGACAGGAGAGGTAAATGCCGAGCACGATGGTCGGGATGGCCTGTCTGAATCTAAGGCACTTTCGATCCCCCGTCTGTTGCTATCGGGGCTGGTGCCGCCCTGTCCCACAAATGCTGCTCCTTCACCAAAGGAAAGCACTACGCCGCACAGCACTTCGGATGTAGCGACTTACGCCGCAAAAATCATGCGGCGCAACTCAGATCGTCGTCTCAAGAAAGGCACTAACAAGGGACGAACAAGTAAGGACCCTTTCACGTCAAGTACGAGCGGCGTATTGAATTATGAGTCCAGTAGCGCAGAAAAGACGGAGACCAGCCAGACGAGCCAGCAAATCGCGTTTGCTGAGAATTTCATCAGCTCGTACAAAAGGAGCCTCTCTTACAGCCTCAGCAACGTCCCAGCCGGGCCATCGAGTGAAGCAACCTCGAAGTCATCCTCCAGTTCCAGCTCGACCAACAGGGGTCTCGGTGAAGCAACCTCGAAGTCATCCTCCAGTTCCAGCTCGACCATCCACGAGGACGAGCTTGAAAAGCAAAAGGTGGCTGATGTGCCGGCACCGACAGGAGATCCTCAACATGCTTTGGGACAAGAGGAAGGCGCCTTTGGCTTGGCATTCTCGGAGTTTGATATGCGTCGGGCGCGCTCCGCGGACGCAAGGGTACAGCGGGAAAAGCGGAAAAGCAGTAAGGAGAGGCCAGCTGCTAGCCCGGGAGACCGGTCTTGTGAACTTGAGCAGGAATCGGCTCGCAGTCCGAATGCAGTGAGCGCGGCGAAAAGACGGAGGGACTCGGGATCGAAGCGGTCCGCTGCTAAGCTACGCCGCAAAGACCGGCTGCGCCACGTTTCGACACGGTTGGCGCAGGGCCCGGACGGATTCCTAGCTCAGGGAGAAGTGATTCTGCAGACGGAGGAACAGGGAGCTGTAGATACAACGTTGTTGATCCGCGGAGCATCCTCGAGCAGCCAGCCTCCGGAGGGCGGCAGCGGTGAATGCAGCGAAAATGAGGGACCTGTGAACTACAACATCAACCGAGGCGGACGTGGTGAAGCAAATACCACGTTCGACGTGGTAGATTCAACACTGGTGGCACCAGTAGTGTCCCTGATAGCGCCGTCGTCGATGGCGGTAATGGCCGCAAGTAGTGACGATGCGGGTCCGCCTTCCAGTCCTTCCTCTTCGGGCCTGCAGCCGTTGCCACAAACGCGCAGGGTGGCCATTGGAGGCCGCCGCGCGCCGAGGCGCCCGCGGGGAGAGGAGAATCCGGAAGAAACTTCCACACCGCCACGGGCAGGGCCTTTCTCCGGCGAGCGGAATCGTAAGGTGGGCCTGCAGATGACGCAGCCGTGGTCACCTTCGAGCGACGACGACGCAACGTCAAGCCCCACGACCGGGCCGTCTCGCCAGACTACTGGCCGATCCCAAGCTGGAGCAGGCGGACCAAGAACCGGACAACCACGACAGGACCGAGCTCAGGCTGCATCTTCAGGTGGTAGCGAAGGCGAGGGAGATGAAGGTCTTAGTATCATGCAAGGTCAACAATATCCTCATCCGGCTGGTGCTATAGGCGGTGGTCGCTACTTCGTGGATGACGAGCCTTCCATGTCCATCGGTGCAGACATCGACGCGCTGGCGATTTCTTGGCCGGGAACGGTGCCCAATCCGTTTTTTGGCTCTACTCCTAATCATGATCTTCACGCGCCAGGTGGTGCGCTGGGAGCATTGGTGAATTATAGGGAAGAAGATCAAGATAGTATCAACACAGCAGGCGTCGAGCAGCCACTGCGCGCAGGAGGGTTAATTGGCGTCTACGGTTTGGGATTCAGTCAAGACGCGATGCGCAGTCGACGAGGCAACCGGGAGCAGCGGTCGAAAAGCAAAGAGAAGAGCGGACACGAAGACGGCGGTAGAGAAGGAAGGAAGGTGTCGAAGGAGAAGCTAACGAAGAGGGAAGTGGAAGTTGACGAGTTGCGAAAATTTATGGACTCGTTGAAGATAATCGACGTCGAGCGAGAGCAAGGAGTCCTGTTGCAACGGCGCAATTTAGTGCTCTCTCCTCCCGACAAGGAACCGCGGAGGAAGAGCAAAGAGAAGATACCTTCGAAGGAACACGTTGTCAACGCAGAGGCGGCCAGCTCTTCCTCTCGGATTCGTGGAAACTTCACTGATCTCGGATTCGCGTCGCCGGAAGGTCGTGAGTCTCGGGCAGAGCATATCGCTCCACCACGACTGTTGGACTTCACTGAGCAGCGGTTGCAGGAGCCATTAGATGGTTCAGACATGGATCGTAAACCAGGCGAATCTGTCACGGATACTCGACCGGTAGACGAAGATCCGCACGTTGAGGAAGAGAAACGGCAGAATTCTCAGACGAGCGAGCGCTTTGATAACAAAGAGGAGGGTGGAGTCGCAAGTGCTGCGAGTAAAGGAAGTGGTCGCACGACTGCAACAGGACCGACGGCATCGAGCAATATAGTTGCGACGAGCTCGCCCATGAGTGTGCACATCCCGCGAGCGCACTCTACAGGAATTGTGCATGACCTTGCGAAACAGGAGACTGCGTCACCTGGGAAGGCAATCCTGGAGGAGCTGCGGAAGCAGCGGCAGAAGATTATCGATTCCAGGAAACAGAATCGCAAGAGTCACATGATTTCTGCGTCGCTCGGTCCGAAGTTGTCGTTGCCGAAAAAGAACATGCGTCAGAATGATCCTTCCGCGCCTCCAGAGCCAGCATCGTCGTCTGGGGAAAGTGCGTCGAGCAAAGCGAAGGACAGTGAGTTTTACAAGAACGGGCTCTCAATTTTGAACAAAATGAACGCCGTCGTGCAGAAGAAGCACGAGGCGGCCTCGAATGTTGCCGCTTCAGGTGGACCTCGCAGTTACCTGATTCTTCCGCGTGATCCCGTAAACTACGAAAATCTCTCTGCGAAGGCTGCCTCTTCTTCCCATGACATGGGACAGCACGCGCAAGGTGAGGGATTGGATAGCGTGGTCTTGAAGGACAACTACGTAGAGGCGCCTTTCTTGCAGAATGTGAAAAGCGGCAGCCAGGTTGCTGCGATACAGGCATACCAGCGAAAGGGGCTCGAGGATCTCGCAGCCGTAGCCGCTAAGGGAGAGGTCGATATGAATCTGGTTCGTGCGAAACTGTTACGGATCTCTCGACCGAGCTCGCACTCATCTAACTCGTCGTGCTCGTCATCCACCGAAGGCCTGCGCCGCGCAGGCAAAGCTGCTGCCGCGGATCCACTGGCGAAAGAAGGAGTGTACTCTGAATTCGTGCAGCCTAGTACATCTGGGCAAGCAGGGCTACGACAACTTCTGCCGGTTCCGCCCGGATTGCAGGCTTTACCTACCTCCGCGGCTGCTAGTACGACTGAGTATGACCAGCACAATGTTAGCACAAGCAGTCAAAGGTTGTTAACCGCTGCTGGGCCAGGGCCAGTCGAAGCGGGAGACTTCGGTGAGATGGTGTTCCGCGAGATTGCGAAGAGTCGCGACGCGGAGATTGGGAAGGTCCGCAGGAAAAAACAGGCCTGGCGGATGAACGACTACAGCTGGCTGCACCCGCTCGGAGTCGTAACATCTTCTTCAACATCTTCTTCAACTGGGGCAGCAGTTGTAAACGTTGCCCCCAATGTGGTTGCTCCACATGGAGTAGCACCCTTGGGAGGAGGTGGCACTGGTCAAGCGGTCGTAGCGACGGGAGCGACAGCTGCAAGCACGGTTCTAAATGCGAGTCAGGCACCGCCTGTGGGCGTCGGCATGATAGGTAGACCCGGCGTTGTGAACAATGCTGCGACGCAGTGGATTGCAGGAGCACGACTGGCGATGGACGCTGCCGACTCTCCGCGGGTCGACTCTGCACGCCCAGCTGAAAGAAGGAGCGCATCCCCGCTGGGGAATCGGCGTCTGACGCCACCCATACCAGATAGTGGCGCCGACGACGGTCCCGCATTTTCCACCGCCGCAGACAGCCTGGCCGCGGCTGGAACGGCTGCGGGGGTGCAACGGCCTATCGTCGCTAGTATTGCTGCGCAAGAAGAAAGTTTCGCGCCGCCTCAACGTGCTGCGGAGCGAAGAAGTTTGCCACCTCCGACGCCTGCAGCTGCAATGAATGCAGCAGTTGCGCATCCGTCCGGAAGAAGCAGTGGCCATAGCACGGTGTCTTCAATGTCTTCGGGCTCGTCGACTGGTGGACAGCGGAGGAGGGATCGCTTGGTCGCGCCGACTCTTCCTGTAACGGCGCGCTCTTTGTTTGAGGATGCTTTTAAACATCAGCGAGGTGGACATAGCTCCTCCTCTCGAACCAACATGGCAGCTGCTGAAAGCGGGAGCAGTCTGGTCTCGCTCCATCCGCCCCCGCCGTCTGGGGTCAGTGGCAACGTCGAAACGACTAGCCGCAACTCTGGCGCCTCCGCGGCAACGGTGGGATTTTCAGCGGAGGACGCTAGTAGAGAAGACCAGTTTATTATCGGTGCTCGAGTTCGGCGACTCGACAATCCGGAGGGGAAGATCCCGAGTCCGCCGGGGGTGTCGTCGGCAGAGGCTCTCGCGCGGGCGCAGCGGCGGGCGGAGGAAAGTACAGCACTGCATGAAGCGCTGAGTGCCGAAGATGGCGTGCAAGTCCTGCTATCGAACATTCCGGCCAAGTGGGCGGAGCGCGACTTGCGAGCGTTCCTGCAGCAGATCGTTTCCGCTACACGCGGTGTAAGCGGGAGTGGCCGCAATACTGATGCAAGTGGCAACATATTGCAAGGAAGCGCTGTTGGCGGGAACAGTAAAACTGGCCTGCAAGGACACCAGAATACGAACGTTAGCGGCAGCGAGGGCAGTAGAGGGTCTTCATCAGAAAAGGTCGCGGTAGGTCCCGCGTCGACGGGGCCCAGTGGCGATGTGGTTCACTTCGTGCCCAGTGGCGACATAAAGCGCATCTGCGTCTTGGACAGTCATGGCGTAAGGGTAGCTTCGCGAGGTTCGAGTCTCTCTGCTGTGGATGCTCTTGCGGTCGGCATCATGTCGTCTGCCCAAACCTTACTGCCTGATCACCTGGCTCTTAGCACCTCAGGATCTGGCGTCGAGGGTGAAGGCGCAAGCTTCGCACCTTCTCGAGGCGGATCTAGGACGAGCAGCATGCAAGTCTTCGCTTTTTCTGGTACCTTGTCTCCGAGGTCAAGCACCGCGTCGCAGGCCACCACCTTGGGGTACCGCCCTCTGCTCGGAGACGCGACTTTGGCTCAGAATGCAGACGATCGCGTGGAGTATACGAGAGCTTCGAGTCGAGGATCAAACTTCGAGAGTGGCGCTGAGGGCGTGCAATCGTCGCGCGTCGTTTCTGGAGAGACAGGTGTAGTCGTCGCGCCTACCGGCGAGCAAGCGAGTGAAGACACGCTTACTCAGTCTGCATGCACTTCGTTGTCGGATCAGCAAAACACAGCGAAAATGAGCGGTGCTGCGGCCACTCGCTGGGCTCTCGTCGAGTGTGTGTCGCGGGCAGATGCAGAGTGTCTTGCGCGCGAGCTGCGCCATTCGCGGAGTACCATCGAAGCCTCGCCAGTTACCACTTCGTTCTTGCATCATTTGGGGTTCTATGCGTCGACTGCGGGCAGCGACCTCACGTCTTTGCGCCCAACCGCATTTGCAGAGCCCTCGCCGAGTGCCCGAGACAGTCCGCAGGAGGAGGACGAAAAGGAGAGACTGCGAGCGCCTACAGAAGGGCTTTCTGGCGAAAGGCGAGATGCAGGTCATGCGACGAGTATGCGGAGGTCACAGCCTCAGAGGACGGACACTGAAGGGACGCAAGTAACCCAAGTTAAGGAGTGGCTACTGTCCTTTCTCATTTCCGACCATTTAGAGGAGTGTCTACTGTGTTAGTCTCTCTCAACATGGAAGTGTAATACTTAACTTAGGCTAAGTACTAGTTTTCTGAAAAGATTGAAGTTGTCTTGGATTTTTTAAGAGGAAACGAATTTGTATGTCGAGGCATTTGACATTCTGCTCTAATCCAGAGGATGAAGAAACTTTGGTTAATGTTCCTGATCCTTCTGAAGAGGATGGACGCACAGGCACATCTGTCTCAGGGCCGGGGGGTTCACCGAACCGAAGTACTGACGAGAAATCGCGTCATTGCGGACGACATGACAGCACTAGGCACGCCGCGGGGACGAGAGGAGATTCCACTGGCACAAATAAAACATCTTCCGCGAAGACCCGTGCGATTCGTCGACAGGGATCGGGTAGTGGCATGAGCCGCCGATCGTCGCGACTCGACGATGACCAGGCGGACGAGGAAGGAGAGTTCCCGCAGCTGATAGTGCCTCGCGGGGGCCGTGGAAGATGGTTGGAGGATCGAAATCCGGTGGAAGCACTAGAGCGTCGCAGTGGGGGAAGTCCTCAATCTTCGGAGGATCTTCTGCCTTACCAAACCCCAGGTCGCGGCCCCACAAGGACTGTTCGGCGTGGTACGGCCTCGAATGGAGTCACCCATGAAGGGGGAAGTAAGACTAGTAGCAAAGACAGGGCGTCCGGAGGTCGCGAAGTGAATGAGAATGCTAAAGCCTCTGTTGGCAAGAGCGAGACGGAACAGCTACGAAGTACTCTAACTTTTTTCACAGATCATCTATCTTCAATATGAATATGTCTTCTAATAGATTGACATTTTTTATTCTAGTATTTTTTCGAGTGTTTGAAAATAGCCGTGCACTACAACTACTTGTCATATCATATCATGTCATCGGATGTACAGGTGTATTCTCGCATGTCCGTGCTCTGCTTAGGGACAAGCATGCGCCGGCCGCAGGCGAGCAAAAAATCAATGGATTAGAGACGGCGTTGCCCGAAGATTTGCACTCTGAACAACAGGGTGCCGCACAGCAGCTGCGGATAGAGTTAGAGGAGGCTGTTGTGAAGGTTTTAGAGCGTCGCGGTGTGGGTGCAGCAGCCCGAAGTCCGATCACGGAAGTGCGCGCCGCTGGCCTTGAGGACGTGCTCGAACATTTACTCGCGTCGGTCACAGCAAAGTTGGGCAGCCCCGGCGATGACATCGCCGCGTCAAGTCGCTCATGCCAGGACGCAGCCAACTCTAGTGCTAAAAAAGATGCTAACGCGCTACAGCGTACAGCTTCCGCAGAGTCAAGTTCATCAGGCTCACAGCGGGGTAAAAAGCGGCTTCGGAACAAACCTTTGCATCAGAAAAAAGTTGAAGATGCATCCGATCTTCAAAGAACTGAAGATGTAGTAGAAGTTGCCAATGCACCAGCTGCAACAACGTGTCCACCACTGCTGTTGCTGGATTCAGAAGTGGACAATGCAGGAGGTACTAAGGGGAACCCCCCGGCCCCGCATGATGACAAAGAGAAAGAGTACAAAATGGCGCCTGATGCTAGCTATCTCCATGGATTCGACGGAAGTAGGATCTTTGAGGGACGTCGGAAGAGCGCGTCAGGGGCGGATGCAGACGCGTCAGAAGGCGAGCTGCCGTTTGCTCGGGAGCAGTCAAGTCCTGTTCGCTTCCAGGGAATCGCTGGCGATGCCGCTGTCTATGGTGAGACCTTCGCTCCTTTCTACTACGACGCCTCGTATGAACCACTGAGCAGCAGTCTTTATCACACTTTCGCCTTTGGCGGGACAACAGAGTCTGCGGAACAACAGCACAGAGGACAAGGAGAAGAAGTGCCAGGCCCAGCAGCTTATCACCACCAGCACTTTAATAGGAATGAGATGGTACACGTACAGGGGATGAAACCAACGGTGGAGTCTTCGACTTTACTGAATCACGTAGGAGCAACAGCGGCAGCAAATGCACTGGTAGGAACTAGTACAGCAGTGATGGAGTCTGCTCACGGCGATCATTTGACCTTGAGTGTGCCAGCTGATTCCGGCTTCGACTATATCGCGACCCCTGAAGCGTTTTTCGCAGTACCGCGTGGTGCGCTCCCCGATCCACTTGCGATGGCCTCAGGAGGACCGCAGCCCTGGACACCATTGCCGCATGTGAATCCGTATCCACCTTTCTACGACTTTTTTGCTAGCGGCCCAACATCTCCGTCAGTGGCTGCTCTGCCCCACGTTTATCCACCGCATTCGCCTATGTCGCCGAAGCAGACCTCTGATCCGCCGTTGCCTCCGCCGCCACCGCCGGCAGCGAGTAGCACAACTCCTGTAACGGGTTCATCCTACCAGCAGCAGCGCCGCTCGGTCGTGCACACCAGTCAGCGACCCCATGGCGCCCAGAAGAAGATACCAGCGGTTCCACGAGAACAGGGCTCGCGCAGTGCTGGCAGCAGCTGGGCACAGAGCAAGGGGAAAGGTGCTCAACACCGCTTCTCCGGACGCCTGGAGCCACGCGGAGAGAGAAGAGCAAAAGGAAAAAATGCACGAGACCAAGATCAAACACGCGCTGCTACAAGGACTAGTGCGAGCCACCAAGAAGAGGACAGCATCGACAACCGGGACCACAATCAGCAGAATCCTCGGAATGATACGTCAAGTCAGGTAATGTCGAGCAGCAGTAGGATGGTAGAACATCAGAGAGGTCCGCCGTCGACTGCATCAATTGCGCGAGATTCAGGCTCGAATCCCTCGATTGCGCGTGATTCGCAGTCCGTGTCCGTAGCCGAGAGTCAGTCCGTTCTCGACAGCAGTAGCCAACGACGAAGAAGCGGACCCGGCTCACTGTCCACGTCGCAACAGGAGCACCAAAAACATGGTGCAGCCGCAAATAAGCAGGAACGCCGTCGACGCAATCGCCGCGCTCGCCAAGTGGCCGTAGGCCAGCAAGAGAATTCAGAGGGAAAGTGCACGACGCTGATGGTGCAAAACCTACCTCTAGATCTCGACATGCATCATCTTCTAGCAGTTTTCCAAGACCAGGGCTTTACTTAAGGCTTACTTATATTCATCTTAAGGAGCAGCATCTTGGAAGGGTTTTGTAAGGGGGAAATGACTACCAGGATGCTCTTCAGGATGAATATCGGTAAGGTCTAACTTACTGGAGGCCACAGCTTCGACTTCTTTTATCTTCCGAGAAATTTCGAAACGACCTCGAGCCACGGCTACTGTTTCGTCAACTTTCTCACACAGGAGTACTTGATACTTTTTCATAGAAGTCGTACTTTTCCTTATCGTCAAAATCTATCGCTTACACTCTTTAGATAAAAATGTTATTTTGGTAGCTCTTCCCTCGTTGATAATCATCATCATCATCATCATCATCATCATGCAGTCATTTACTTCTCGTCCACTTTTGTTAGAAACTTTGGTTAGAACTACGAGCACCGCTAATCGAATATAATTTGAGAGAGTTGTTCGAAACGCATCACGGAATTAAATACTAGACTAGCGACGCGGTTCGCAGAGGCGCTCTCTGGTGCTGAGCTTTGCAGTCGAAGCGGCGAGCCAGGCGCTGCTTTAGAGATTACTCCGGCAGAAGCGCAAGGATTTACGGCAAATACAGAGCGGTGGCGGAAGAATCGCAGTGGCGTGAGGAACCCCTATTTCCGTCCGTTTCTCTTCTACGTGAACTTAAGGCGATCTTGCTGGGGGGAACTTGGAGGGGGTCGCTATCGAGAATTCTTAAGGCGACCCCCCTCCCATGGCCCCCTAGAACTTAGCTCTAATGAACGATGCAAACGAATCCGTACGGCTTCCTGTCAACGAAGAAAGCCTGCGTTTCGTCGAGAATCGCCGCACGAAGAATACCAAAGGCCCTTATGCAGACGAGGATGAAAATCAGATGAACGCTGGTATGTCATCTTCAAAGTCAACAGCTAGAAGTGACAACAAGCAGCGCGGCCAAAACAACGAAGCAGGAGGAGCGTCTTCAAGAGGAAATCAAGATACTCGTCCTCGTGAGCGCTTTTCTCACTCAAAGCCATCAGGCGGGAGCAGCCGCAGTGTTCCGCCACCACCACCACCTCCGCCACCACCTGAAAGTGCGGAATAGTAGAGGAGTTGAATTTCCCGTGTACGCTGCTCCTGCTTTTTGGATGGATTTGATCTTGAAGACTAGTCTGGATGGCGTTATCAAGAGACGATAGTAAGACTAGTATGAGACGATCTAATACTCAGCGTGCAAGTACACGCACGAAGTTTTTGGATTTGTTCTTCGTGTCAATAGAAAATTTAGATATGCAGGTAAACCCGTCTTAATACTTAGATTACATTTTGTTTTAGTAGAGCTAGAAATTTCTATGAGAAATAGACAGGGAAAATACAGGATCAGGAGCCGGGTGTGGCTACCGCATGCTTCCCTCGCGCTTCTTCGATATACATTAAGGATCGAGTCCACTCAATAAATGTGCGTACAGTCAATACACGTAAGTACACTAATATGGATTCTCAATAAGTGATACTAGTACTATACTAGTATCCACCGCTGTCTCTTGTCTGAACATTTTGCTGTCGTTGGTTCAGATTTGCTGGTGCAAGGTCAGTTTCTCTTGCTGAAGGTATGGAAATCCGACATATCTGTTGACGGATTTCTCCAGTTGCGCTGTCAATTTTCTGTGAATAAGAAGAGAAAACTATTTTGGTTTTCTTGTTTGTATAACACTCTGCTACCTCTTGCCTTAGTGTAGTTTTGGAGTTAAAACGCTAGCACGCCCAATTAATACGCAAGTCATGGGAGTGTTGAGATTTGGTCGAATGGCCGTGGCTCCTCGTTCTGCCATGACACATCTGCACTACTAATCAAGTCTTGATGATTGATCTGCATTAGCAAGAAAAACGATCTATCACAACTAATGACTTTGGGTCTTGTCTAGCACGGTACAAATAGTAATTCTGGTTCTTGTCTTCCTATGGTATGACTGCAGAAATAGGATGCTAGAGTTTAGGTTTTTATGGTGGCAGTTGATTGTCTCAGTCTGAATCCTTCACAATCGAATCGAAGCATCTTTGTTGCGCATGTTCAGAGTGCGTTGCAGCTCTATACTTCTTCTGGTGAGATTGTGGCACTTTAAGTCTTCAGTGAACTAAATTACTCAGTATTTCACAACTACCAGAAGTTGAAAGTAGCATGCTGGAGTCGAAAGTACAACTAGAACGAAGAAGTAGTAAATCTACGACTACGTAGTGACGTACTTTGAGAAGCAAGTCATAGTTCAAGTTCTTCGAGGTGTGATTCCGAGTAGGCAGTATGAGGCAAGGCCGCGAGTGTTGATGTAGTTGTAAAATATTCTTCAAGTAAAGAAGAAGATGAACATACTTACCTAAATAAGTACATTGACTGTTTTGCGTTGTGCGTCGGGTCATATTGTGACACGAAGTGAGTTCTTCACCACCCTATGATAAATGTACATGTATCTCCAATTCTATTGATTTGTTGATTTGATTGTGTGTCGTAGTTGTACCTATTTCTTGGCAAAAAGAATCATCCATTTTTGTTCTAGTATCATTCGGGCAATGTGAATATACCCATAAAAGACAATTATACGTATGCATTGAATTGTTGAAGCAGAACCTGCAAAGTAAGAGTGAAAGTGTGAGACTAAAGTACAATAAATTTTGAGTGCATTGATTGTTCTTGACGGTGAAGGAATAACTCGTGAAAAAGTCTGAAGTTACGAAGTGTAGGTGCTTCGCTCATCACTGCGAAGGAGCTGGTAAACGCGGGATGCTCGCTCGCGTCTGTTAGGGCTGCGGGGCCTATTGATTTCTGCTTTTTGGCTTTGTATGCGCAGCACGCAAAGTGCTGTTTGGCATGAAGATTGTGGCTGCCCGTCATTCCTTGAGAGCGATACTAGGTGTGTGGACAGCAGTATTAGCGAGAGACAGAAAAAAGCAGGTATTTGTTGGTTTACAAAGATAGTCGAAACAACAACAAGTGATCAATCAAAACAAAGCTGGAGCAAATTTGATTTGGATTTCTAACTCGGCCATCTTGAGGACGTGCTACGCAACAATGTGCTTACTACATAATTACAACGCATAAACCTAATTGTTCTAAAAATTGCTAATCATGATGATTGTCGTGATTTCATGATTACCACGACACGTGGTCATCAAAAAGTTGTCCTATCAGGCAACAAGATGTCAAATTCGGACTTCGGGGATGCCTTATCCCCTGAAGCCGTTTCGGCCACCTCCCTATCGTCATCCGAGGATGTGCCGTCTACTCGTCGACCGTTCTCAGGGCAACTGCAACATCACGAACATGAAGGAAATGTCGCCAGCCATGCTGTCGTTCGCGAACTCTTGTCACCAGTGTTGGGTAGTTCGGGGGGAACCTCATCAGGAGGAAGCTCTTCATCGAGTAGCGACGTGCGGGAGCAGTCATCGGCATTCTGGAGGCCTTCGCCAGGCATTGGAGGAAGTAGCGGAGTAATCGAGCAAGAATCATCGGCACGAATACTGATGTCGGGCGAGCGACTCTGCTCCCTCCTTTTTCTTTCTGGCCTGTGCCGAACTTACCCCGAATGCGTGCAGGCCATACGACTACTCCTTCGAGACAGGTGAGCAGAGAAGTTTATAACGTCAATCACTGGCAAAATTTGTTTATTGCACTGTTGGAACTCGTCACAGTCTGACTATCCAAAAATTACCTCCTACGTAGATTACAGCGCCTGTTTTGTTTCTTCAATTCTCACTCTTGATAATGGAAAAAGGTTCCTCATCGATGCGGAGTCAACGGTAGGCTCGATGCGACAGCCTTTTGGCAGGAGAGGTCCTGTGAGCCAGCTGCCGGAGAACCAGGAACGGCGGGATTTCGTCCGGCAATTGATTCGAAACGATTACAACGCCTGTTTTGCGGGCGAGGAGTCTACAGCAGTGCCCTCAGCGAGTGACGATGAAGATGAGGGATTTTTCGTGACTTCGCTTCATCTCGGAGGACAGGAGCCGGACGAAGAAACAGGCAGGCCACTGGACGACGTGGAAGATACCTGTGGAAGCGGAGGTGCTGCCACGAACTCTTCACCTACGCCGCGTAGTAGCAACAAGGGCAGGAGCAAGTTGTCCTCTGGGGCGTCCTCGGGCATGCTCGCGTCTTTTCTTGGTGCTTGCAAGCAGTCTGTGTCAGGGTCATCGCCCACAAGGTCACGTGCAGGTGGTGGCCGTGGAACTGTTGTATCCAATGGAATGGTTGCAGCACCAGGTGGTGCTAGTGGCTTTCAACCGAGATCGAGAACAGCAACCGGTTTCAATACTGACATGCGATTCCGACGTTTGACGTCGCGTCGGCGGCTCTTCCGCGTGAACCACGCTAGAGAGGATTCAATTCGCTATGGCAGGTATCTCGAGTTAATTGCGCGCATGCGCGTGAACCCGTGTTTTCTCGAGGGAGGTCACCTTGTCGAGAGGAGTAGTAATCTTGGAAATGCTGCTTTCGCCCCTGCTAATGCGGTAGCTCAGCCACCAAGCAGAATAGAAACATTGGAACAAGCCGTCAATGGGGAACAAGCCGGGTTCGCCAGGACGAGCAGTATGAGCTCCTCGACTGCCAGGCTCACGATTGCACAGAGAAACTACGTGGTAGGCGTGTGTCTCACGCAGTGCCTGGCGCGGCGCGCTGACACCCAGGAACGCGTGGAAGGTCCGACTTCTCCCAGGGAAGCTGTTGAGCAGTTGTCGACTACAGCCTCGCCCTCTGCCACCTGGGCGTTTCAAGACGTGGCGTACCTCTACCACACGCTGAGTTTGCTTTTCCAGGAATTAGAGGTGCAGAGACAGAGACAGCGGAGAGCGCAGCAGCTTGCGGCCGCAGGACCACTTGCTGTTGCTGGTGGATCGTCGTCGCCGTCGGCAAAGCGGAGCCTGCCAAGCGGGACGGGAGCAACGTCTGCATTGATGGCCGCTTGTAGTACAGGCAGAGAAAACAAACCAGCAGAAAAAATACCTAGTAGAGCACAAGGCGGTGGTGACAGGGATGCATTAGCGTACGGGAAGAACGCGAATAACTCTGGCCCTGAAACAGGGGTGGCCGCGCAAATCGAGGAGGACTTCGAGAGTCCATTCGCAGCGGGCCTATATTCTAGTGCGGATGACACGAAGAGTTATGGCGCAACAGCTTTTTCATATGGAGTACGGGTTCCGCAACATCCTAGTAGAAGCGGAAGTAGTAGCGGCAACACGATTTGGAAACTAGAGGACGAGCGGGGCGAGTCTTCTCGGTTTTTACAGCTCGGCGGATCTAGCAGTAGTACAATGACTGCGGAGGAAGAGGAGCAAGATAGTACGCCGTTTTCTCGCGAGATACCCGCTGTTCCCGCAGAGTTCTCACCGCAGAAAAAGGGTGCTTCGGGCCACTTGACTCGCACGAGGTCGTCGGACACAAATGAGGGCGAAGATGCGGACGAACAAGGGCCGTGCTGGCTTTATTATGGGGAGCGCTTTCAGCTCCTTGCGCACGGAAAGTATTGCGAAGCGGAGTACAATCCGCGTGAGCCGACGCAGTTTCGGTTACAAGCAGATAATGACGCGACTCGACAGCCAACTGTGTTCGCGCTGGTCCCGGTCAGGACTGCCTCGTCGAACAGCTACCAGGCAAGAGCTCGATGGCCCGCAGACGAAGAACAAAGTGGAGAACACAAAAAAGCCGACGCACAGTTAAAGCGATTGCAGGACGTTTTGCCTGATGTCGTTGGGACAGAATTGTTTCCTGATTTTCTCGGCGAAACGTCGACATCACCATCTTCGAGTAGCAGTAGCAGTACTAGTAGTCTTTGTCGACGTCGTCCAGTCTTTTATGGGGAGATTGCGCGATTGTTCGTGTGGTCCCGAGAGCGCAGCCAGCTTGTGTCCGCCGCCTATGTGATGCTAGTTGGTACTGAATTCGGGATGTGCGGGCCTATTCGGCGTCTCGCGAGTCTGCAGATCCTCGCGATAGCTGCGAATGTGCAGATAGCCAAACAAAGCTTGCAATTATCGACTGGCAACAACCGCTTTCGAGGATTTCAACCCGTCGGCTTAAAACGTCGAATGCAGCCGTTGGCGCTCTGGGCTCGCGGAGCGACGCTGGAAGCCAGTAAGGAGTCGGCGCCAAGCGTTTTCTCTCTTGCGCACAACGTCGAATCCAAGATGAAACCTACAGCACCTTCATCTTCCAGCATAACAAGTGCTGCAGCTACCAGCACAGCACGTCAAGATCAACATCAAAATAATAGTGTTGATGAGAAGAACACTAGCCGAACATCGTCGTCTCAGATGATCGCAAACGGAAGCATTGCGAAGACTCCTTCGTTCTTGCCTCTTCGTCTGTCAGTTATGGTCTGGAACATCTGGGCTATGCCGAAGTTTCTAGCGGATTGGCTTCCTCGCTCAGTAAATCTCTCTCCTGCCATGGCGCAAAGAGCTGCCGCGATCCCCGACGCGGTACCTCCACAGGTCGACGTGCTAGTTTTGTGTGAAGCATTTTGCGACTTCACCATGCAGTGCCTCGCAAACGGATTGCGGAAAAAAGGCTTCCATTACGATACAGTGGCGCCCTCAGGAACTTTCATTTGCTCAGGGGTACTTTACTACCCTCTATCAAACTCTAAATAGTTTAAGCCTAGCAACACTCAAGTTCGATCAACACTCAAGTTCGATCAGAAAATGAAAATGTATCTAGTATTAAATGATTCTAGTTGATACATAGAGGTGAAGGACATTCTTGCACTTGGGTGGGCCTCTTTGATGATGTAGCCGGGTATCTGGCGAACTCAAGTACTCATACACTGTACACATTATCGGCAACACTACAGGATCCACTATAGATACAATCCACATTAGCCGCAAGAAGATTGTAGCACCCACTGTACAAAGAAAAACAATTTCCGCAAGAACATCAGGTGCGCGTTTTTTCCAAGTGGCCCATTCGAAGGGCGACTCATCATGTTTACGGCGATTTCCATGGTGAAGATCAAATGGCGTCCAAGGGTTGCACTTACGTTCAGCTCGCTGCTTCCTCGACGTCAAACGATGAGGCTATCGCTACAACTAGAACTAACGGCGAGCAACCGAAGTGCTGTTCTACTTCTGTGCACCTGTTTGCAACGCATCTGCAAGCATGGGACGGGGAGAAGCACGTTGCAGCCCGGCGGCAGCAATTGCGGGCATTGCGACAGTTTGTGGACCAACAAAACATCGACTCAGGACACCCAGTGTTAATCTGTGGCGACATGAATGTGGATTTCTTCGACACAAGCGGCGAATACGCGGACATGATCTCGACGCTAGACGTAGACAACTTTCTCAATAATGACGTGTGGCGCCACGGCTGTGGTAGCGGTGTCGGCGCGTTCACCCGCAAATTACACCAGCGAAAGAAAGTTATGCAGTTTTTTCTTGAAAGTAAAGTAGATTACTACAAGGATTTGATGTGAATGAGATTCTGTGGAGATGAATAGGCAATGCGGGGGCGTATGTATTTGTTGTCAACAGGGAAAATTATGCCAGCCCGCGGCTTTCATAGATTTGGATACGCGAGGTTCTTCTGACGCAGACGTGCCGAGCAGCGCTTCGGTTTCAAAGACATCGCGGGAAGGCACTGGAAGGAGCAAGGGATCTGTGTCGTCAGCAGGAGAAGATAGCGGAGAGCACTTAGTGGTTACGGCCGCGACAGAATTAGGCCTAGACGCGCTAAGTTCTGTCAGTCGAGGCGTGGATTTCTCAAAGGCCCTGTCTCTCGCGTTGGAGTCTCCGGATGCAACACCGACACAACAACTACGACGCGCGACAGAACGTCGCAAGAAAGCGTCAGAAACGAGACCTCCTGCGACGAGGACGAAACTTAAGGCTCTGATAGATTTCTTAAGTAGGTGTGAATCCTACAGGTAGTTGGACGATTCTGTTTTAGAGGACGAAGCTGGTGCTTATGTCGATAGGGTCATTTCAAATCTTTCATCATAGAGATTTTCTCCTTCACGCAAAGTCGCTATCTCTTGTAATAGTCTCTGTTTCATCTAATGTGCGGCACGGAGGCCCTGATGGAGCCTATTACTACACTGACAGCACTAGAAGTTGTACAACCGCGAGCGATCTATCTGGCGAAGAAGCCTACACGGCATTAGAGGATCAGAGGACAACAAGATCCACCCCGGGTGAGCAGCAAAGGCTTCCAGAACTACGCTTACGACTTTTGAATGATATACAAATAGTACAACAACAACAGCAATCCCTTTGGCATGAAGATGACTACAACTGTCGGATAAGAACGAGTCTTTTTCCCCTATATTGATCTGTAGCTGAGAATCAGACCGGGATGAATCATGACTTTCTTCTTCAAGTATGAAATCTGGATCTTCTATCATACTAGGAGTAGGAACGTGTAGCTTTAGGTGCTTCTCTAATGTAGAATATCCAAGACGATGATGAGCAGGGGATGGCATTGTGTGGAATGTTCGAGAGGATAAGGTCGGTACACAGGGACCGTTTTGGGTTGCCTCCTGAGTGGTGCTACTCCGCTGATTTCGCGGAGAACGAATGGATGCAAGCGGGGAGCGTTTCTTCGGATGACAGCCAAAAGTGCCTTGACTACGTGCTTTTATGACCACTGGGAAACGTTTTTCTCTTCTTCTAACAGAAATATATATGAATTTCCTTTTCTCAGCTATGGTCTAGCTGGATAGTACTAGTGTTTGGTTAATATCAAAGTGGTTCTGGATCTGGTTCTCCCGTGGTCGTCCCCTCTTACTTTTTGCTGTGCTTTCCCCAGTCGTCCCCTCTTACTCTGCTGTGAAGATTTCCCGTCCTCGTCCCGCTTTCATACTTAACATCACGACAGCACCGGCAGCCGCAGAGAGCCTGCGTAAAAGTAGTCAAGTGCCAAGCTTTGCAGCCTTTCCTGCATGAAGGAAAGATGATGCGCGAACTCTCTGACCATTTTCCAGTCATTGGATGTTTCGAGTGGTAGTCACTGCGACTTCTTGATGTTTCGAGTGGTGCTAGTTCTTCTCCTTGATGTTTTGGCCGTGTCAGTATTCAAGTATCAAACGACAACGCTAAGAACGTCCTGTAGTACTTTTGCTCGTAGATGTAATTAGTACCACTTCGATCATATTGATAGTGCTAGTTCTAGTTATAAATGGCTTTGGCTCCACGTCCTCTTCCTCGTACATATAGATACGGCTTTTGTTCCTCCTTCTCCGAAACGTTATCAAGGAATCGCGTTTAGGGGAGCATGTACAGTTTTTCAGTGCGAAATGGTCTTCGACGATCGCCTGTGTGTATCACATTGATTCAAACTGGTAGCATATCGTCATTTGCACAGTAACAAGTCACTTTACACCTAAGTATTTGCTCACCTTCTGACGATTATGATAGATTATGAGAATATTAACGGTCGTAGTCTGCATGATGGAGGGCCTCTTTCATATTTATTCGATAATGAACATTATTACGACTACATAAACGCTGCATGGGACACTACATTGTATCTAAATAAAGCTAACTACATATTATAACCGTTCTCGAACTCATTATGGTCATATTCCCTTCTTGACTCCATCGAGCGTTTACGTTTTATGTATCGTATGAGTGTATAAGTGCAACATCACTAAAATTTTTACGTTTATTTCCAAGTGGCTAGGCGCGAACTAACAACTTAACAACTTCGATCATCTCGAATCGAATAGCCTACAAGTGGATACATTCTCGATATTGACAATTCACGCCCACAAATCATGCAGGGACCACAACACTTTTCCCTCATTCTTTTTTTTTGCAAAAGCAAAGCTATTGGCTGTTGCGTGCCTCAAATTTGGTAGCCTGTGCCTTGTCTCTCTTCAAGCATTATATCAACGTTCATTTTCACTCAAACTCATCTCCTCCTCCAAGCAAGCTGCAAGCCCGGTCTTCTTCTCGCGTTTTCTACCATTCAAGTAACATAGCATGGTGCTTGAGTTTCGCCAACATTTTCGCAGCGTCCTTCCTAGGAAATATATCCTTAGTTTGGTACTATCGGAACCTAGTAGTTCTTGTCATTTTAATATCCTTGTAGATTTGAACGCCCAGTAGCACTATATTCATCACGAGTGCCGAGGACATGTCAATATCCGCGTCCTGTGGGGGCATGATTAGAACATCATTTGGAGCAGTTACAGGCCAAGTAGTCTGAAGTTCCACTTTGGACAGAAAAGAAATTATTGAGAATATAGCTTGGAAGACCATCTTGTTGAGGCATACGACTCGGAGAGGTACTACTACTGCACTCCTCAGTAGTACGAGTAGCTTTCCTCAGGAGGTACTACTGCACTGGTTGGCCTCACAAGTAGACAATAATAGCTACAGAAGAGGTACCACGACATGACATGTCCGCAGTTCGAAGGTGCGCTGCATGCTAGAAATTTTGCGGATCTGAAGCATGAGAAGGCTATGAATCTAGATGTGCTTTTTTTTTACACACTTTATTGGCATCTACTTCGGTATTTTTTGAAGGTATCATCTCTGAGCTTCCATGCTGAAACAAGTAAGACAACGCAAATGTAAGACAAACACAAACACAACGCACCTTCGGTTGTCGTTACAATTAATGGATGCATTTTGTCGTGTCGTTTTTTTTCTAGGTGCTGAAACTTCTTTAAGCTGAAGAAATCGGTGCATGAAGTCGGTGTTTTTTCTATTTTTTTTATACAATAATTTCCTCCTGTTTCGGTTTTGTTCAAATATTTTTTCGCGATCCACTAGCCTGCTCATGTCTGAGAATTCGATTTTATTCCCACCTGATAAATTGCCTTTCACTACCTTGCTTGCTTCCAGGAGGATTTTGTGAAGATTTTTGTCCTCGGTTTATTTTGACAAATTGTGATTAGCGTAAATCATAAAAGATTGTGCCAAAAAAGCGCAAGTGAGAAGCAAGAGGCCTCGCCTTTTGATTCCTGGTGCTTACGTAGTATGTTTTGAAATGTAGGCCACTAGAGTTTCTACCTTTTTTTCTGTCAAGTAAATTTTTGTGTTCCAGTCCGTATGAGTGCTGATCTGTTACTATATTTTTCCTTAGGAAATCAGAATCAGTATCAAGATGGCAGAAGGATATGACAATGACCTCCCTCCAGTCGTAGAGGCGGGAATGATGTTGCCGGAAAGCAGTCCCCTAGCACCGCTTACGAAGGCGGCGCTGGTAAATCTCGAAAGCAGGAACGTCGAAAGCAGGGATGTTGTGCCCGGCTTGCCTTATGGCTCACCCTTATCCATCTTCGGAAGCATCTCAGAGACGTTTTCAAGGGGAAAACGCTCTCAGGATGAGCCTCTCAGGATAAGCCTCTCAGGATAAGCCTCTAATTGCCTTCGTTGCCGAGCGAAGGAGACTTGCTGAAGGAAATCTCTGCCGCTACCACACTATCCACGAAAGCCGAAACGTGCGTGGACGTTTTTGATGACGAAGAAGAATTATGGTCAACATTTAGTGTCCATCTTTCTCGGCATCTTGGCCCCTCTTTTGTTCCCCTGTATTCTTCTCAACTAAGTACCAGAAGATCAGGGATTTCGACGGACAACTTGTTTACTTTCACTTCTCATGAATAATACAAGGGGTAAGAAAGGGGTCGAGGTGAGGGGGCTCCTAGGATGGATTCAAGCTGAGTCTAAGAGAAGAAGACTTCAACGACCGAGATGGGCAAGATTTTTTCAACGACGATGGTGATGACTCCGAAGGCTTCTTTCGCAGGGGCTCGAAGGAGTCTAGTGTGGGCTTCTTTCGTAGAGATTCGAAGGAGTCTATTTTGGCTGGTGAAAGTTTCCTACGATCGAAGGAACACGAAGAGCCAGTTGTAACTGATCGCTTTGAAGACAACGTGGAGGACGAGCACTATGAAAATAATCATGTTGATGACATTGGAGTTCACAACGATGAAGAACTACATCAGCGCAAAATTGAGGTGCAGGAGAAATTATTCTCGTTGAAGACTGGACGTGGAGAGGAAGCAGATCCAACTTCTGCTGCGGTTCATCTTCAATTAGTTATGGTCAACATTTAGTGTCCATCATTCTCGGCATCTTGGTCCCCTTTTCCCTTGTATTATTCCTATGAAATGATACAAGGTCTAATAAAAGGGGTCAAGATCATGAGGGGACCGAGATGCGTTCTAGCACGCGCTAATTTAGAGGTGGTGGATCGGGATTTAAAGGCCACGACATCGGAGGGAGGAGAGCGTGCGGAGAGGGAATATCTTGCTGGAGAGGAGATTTTTTGTGAAGAGGCACTACTGGGAAATCTAGCTCCGGAAGACTACCACTTGCCGCGCGCTTTGAGGGCTCAGATCGTCACTGCCTTGTCGCCAAAGGATCGTGTGTATGTCATCGCAATGGCCGTGCGATGGATACAAGAGAATGCTCGCAGAGTGGAAAAAAGCAAGAACTTGGCTGGAGGAGGGCTTCAGACCCACCAAATGGATCCAGAATTTGGAGAACAACACTACAATTTTCAAGACGAAAAGAGTGCCTTTTTAGGCGGAAATGGAGGTCCAAAGTCTGGGTGTGGGAGAGACGGATCAACCAATTGTGGGAAGAGAGAAGAAATAGAAGACGGTAATGCTCCTGCACGCTATGGAGGACAGAAGCACCAACTTCCTACCTTGCTGGGTACAGAGGGACTACCTTGCCTGTCTAACGAAGAAGGGTCGCTGTCAGCGACGTGCGCTTCGTCAGTTGCGGATCTCGCCGCACTGCAGCACGCCCCTCCTCCAAATGCCAGCGTCGCGAAGCCTGTGGAAGGAACCCAATCAAAGCAAGCGCGTCTGAGTGAAAAGACAGTGGCTACTAACAAGGAGGCACTGGCTCCAGAGGAAGCCTCGTACGACTGCGATAATATGGATCCCTCATCTGGTGGAGGCGACCGCGACACGCTTCCAGTGTCCAGCGCAGGTAAGCAGAGCAGTGCGCGGTCAGCTTCAGTCTCAGCGCGAACCTCGAAGTCGCTGTGTGAGGGAGGCAGTGTTGCGGCAAGTCGTTCCAGCAAGTGCAGCAGCGCACTAAATGAAGCTCGTCGTGTCCCGGCTTCCCCTGGAGGTGCGCAAGCAGCAAATCAGATGTCGCAGTCCTGCTCGTTAGGGGTCTCCGGATCGATGGAGCATTTGGAGGGTTTTCTCCGGTCAGCCAAGACCTTTGTCAACGAAATCAGAACACATACTAACTCCGTGGGTTCTCATACTAACTCGTCCTCTAGTAAGTCTACGAAAGTGAAGCAAACCGGTTTGACTGACTTGCTAACGCGGAGTGCCTATTGCGACACAGGATATCCGATTGATCAGGCTTTTTGGGAAAGTTCGGGGGATGAAGCAGGCGATGCGAAGCGAGCGCGAGTATCAGCCGCTACTGCTGGATCAGTCTTAAGGTTATAATAGGCTTTGTTCTAGATCTAGATTCCCGTAAGGTTCGCGGTAGAAGCAAGTCGTTATCATTTTCAGTCAGTCAGTCATGTGGGGTTGTGCTGCTCAGGAGATGCTTCTTACATCCTATGTAGAGAAGTAAAGGCCTTAGCACACAGAAATGAATGTGAGATTGATACTTCAGAAGTCCGTACTGAGATGAAGTAATCGGACGTAAGTAATTAAGTACTGGATGCGCTTTCTTGAAAAACGAAAAGAATACCTATTGCTAAAGAAGTGTGCTCCGCTAATTAACCCCTTGTCTTCTGCGCCGCTGCCGGTTCCCGTGTGCGAGGGCAATGAGGAAGTACTCCTGTCCACATTTCTGAGCACATTGGACGGCATCGCGAGCAAGCGGGGCAGTGCCGCAGAGCAACATCTGCTTATAAGCACAAGCAAAGGACTCGGCGGACTCCAGTCACGAAGAGGCTCGGTGGAGGGCAGAAATGTCGCACTCCAGAGTCCACCAGCAGAATCGGGCACAGGCACAATCACGTCATCGGAGCAGGGGGGCTGTGAGGCTAATCCTAGTAATGCAGCGGAGTATGATGTTGACGGCAATTTACTGCAGGAGGTGGAGCACCAGAGTGCGGAGTTGTCTCTCGTGTGTGCTGCATCGTTGTTGATGCCAGAGGCGCCTAATTTTCGTGATGAGAATCTGGATGGCTTTATTGGCCTGGATGGCCTGGACGAGAAGGACCAGATATGCTTGAATGCACTACAGCAACAGCAAGAGCCTGCTCTTCTTGGTTCCACTTCTAGCGATCCGTTTTCTGCTGAGGGAGCTGCAACGTGGGAGCGCTCTACTGGAGAACCCTGCGCACAGCTTCAGAGTCGTGTGTTTCGCTGTCCATGCTCGCTGTGTTGTGTGGCGCTGACGCAGAGCGGCGTGGGTGGAGAGAGCGAAGATTTTGGCATGCTCGCTTCGGGCAAAGAACTGAACCAGGGTGAAGACGTGCTGGAAGCGGTGCTTCAAAGGGATATGCAAATGAACAACATGAAGATGGTCGGAGAAGATGAAGTGGAAGCCGCCTCTCGTCGCGCGTCAGCTGGTTCTATGTTTGCAAGAAAAGCCAAAAACACTGATAGTTCTCGTAGTACGGTAGCCTCGTCCGATCCTGTTGCGGCTAACAAGATCGCTTGGGTATCGCACAATAGTTTTTTGCGAGCGGGCCTCTTCAGCGAGGGGTTACAGCAGCTCTCTGGGGATTTTCTGCTAGATGTTGTTGCTTCGATGTTCCTCGCAAACAGTTTTGCTCTAGAAACAGAGGAGAGCTTCTGTGACCGATTTTTACCTGTGGACGACGAAGTCGAAGAAGCTGCCAGAAATGATCATAATGGCTTTCAAGAAACAGGCGAGGGCGAAGATGGATCGTGGAATATTCCACCACTTGAGGGAGTAGAAGTAGAGGTGTTAAACGATGGTGGCGACTTCATTCCTGAGACTGGCCAGAATGGGAATGACAAAGGCGTCGAGCAGAATCATAATACCGCGGCTAAGGGTGACGTGATCCCGCACTACGAAGTGAGTGGTACCTTGATGGGTGCCTTGAAGAAAGAAGACTCCTCCCAGTCGCAGATAAGCATAACCATAAGCACTGCAACCTCGCGCCAGCTACATGTTTTAGAGGGTACAGCAACTGCTGATGGTGGAACGTTGCAAGGGGTAAATATTAAGATAGACGATGATTGTTCCCGACGAAACTCAAAGTCGGGTGGAGGAGTTGGTCACGACATCAATGGTTTGGGAGGGTCGGGACAGCACGACAGCATGCAGTGTTTCTATCACCGCGACGGGCTAAGCGGGCATACGCTGCGCTATCTCTCCGCGCGTGCTGGGCGATTGCTTTCGACGTCCCATGAGTCGGAGGCAAATACCTCCTTAGTGTTGTGTGAGGGCAGGGTTGCAGCGGTGGCTCGTCGCGTAATCGTGAAAGGAGAGCTTCTGCTTCGTCCATCCCCGTGACGACAAAGTTCTACACTTGCTGTTGGTGGTGCGCAGTTATTGGATTTCTACAGAGGAAGGAAGAAGGGCAGCATTGTTTGTACTGGCTTGTCTGATCAACAGAGTTCAAATAAAGTTTGAATGAGGTTTTGTAAGCCTATCTAATAGGATGTGATAAGTGCGATCAGTAAGATTATGCAAAATAGTCACTGTTTTCGTTGCAATGTGACCAGACAAAGTTTTCAATGTATTTTGAAACAAACAGTGTGTTTCGTTGTAGTAAATTTCCCGTTCGTTCAGCACTTTATCCTTCACAAAAACCAAAACGACACGAGCATTTCCATGTGGCCAGAATTTACAACGACTTTCATAGGTTTGATCGTTCCATTTTACACTTAAGTATGAACAACACGTCGACCGATGAGTTTTTATCTAAGAACAAACACCTTCTCCATCAAAAGTAGGCAGAGAACATAGAGTAAGAGAATGATTCGGTAGAACATGCGATTGTGCGATGCACATACTAACAGCCTGGGGTCACGTGCTGATTCGGCCTCTACTAGTCATTTCTCAGATTCGATACTTGACTAAGTACATGAAACAGATCATACTGAAAGATTCGAAAATATACCTATTTGTACTTCATGATGTTTTTTTTTTATGTCGAGACAAAATTGGCATTTCCTTCATCTAATGAATTTGGCAACTACATAACAAACTATTTAGGTAGTGCATTCTATGTAAAATAACAATAGCAAATTGTGTAAATTGTGTATTCGTGTAACATAAAAACCTTTCAGAGTGTCGTCCTTATGAAAAAGCTCTAGGTTTAGGAGCTGTTGTCGCGGGAGTCAATTCAGCCACCACCTGCTTAATTGTGTCGCGTTGTGTGTAGCTCGGATGTGTAATATGTGTAGAATATCAAGGAAAATGAAACATATTTTTTGTTGCAGGTGGCGATCAAACAGATTTTCCTACTAAACCTAAAGACGTCCGTTGTGAAATATTGTGTATTTTAGGACAATGTGGCATGATTCAAAGCGGGTAACCTGGCATATCCACCACGACTGCTAGTTAGCCGCCTCTGGCATTGTTCGAAGGATAGTCAAGGACAGTTCGAAATAATGTAGGAGATTTACAATATTACATATGGAGTTGTAAAAATCCATGTTGTCGTTTTTGGATTCATGTCGTACTTTCCACGGAGAAAATTCAACGTGTTCGCCTACCGCGAAAGCAGTCTGTAATCGGCGAGTGTTGTTGTTGCGAGAGGTTTGAGTCTGACGTCATCGTCGTGTAACTCGAAGAAAAAGTTGAAATCGTGCGTAGAGATCGGATATCACTCTGAATTCAGTACATCTTATCCATTCGTGGTCGGTATCGAAAGTCTGTTGATCGTTATTTTCGACCCAAGCACTTCTACTTTTCCCCGGCCCGCCCAGTGATCTAAAGCTCTTTCGGATCGTCGCGCGAGACTGATGAACAATCGTTGTAATGCTACAAAAAAGAAAAGAGAAAATTACACAGACTCCAAGTAGATCACAGTTTATTGAATCAAGTAACATATTTCTTTGTAGTAAAGCAATAAAAATGGGAGCTGCCGATGTTGACAGCGCGGGAGGCCGCAAACGGAAGGGAGCGGAGTCCGTGCAAGGCACGCCTGCCTCAAAACGGGCGGCCGTGAAGAAGGAGGTCAAAGAACCACCTGCATCTGCCGCTAAAGGCGATAAGGAGATCACCACATCAAGATCAACGACCCTTGGTGCAAATGCAGGAGACTTGGTTGGCGACAACGAGGATGACGAAGTTGCGGTGATTCAGCCTATCGCGTTGCTGCCGGAACTAGCAGATCGCTTTCAAAAACAGAACGGCAATGCAGGCCGGTCAGGCGGGACCGTGAAGTTCACTAACGCCGATGTCAAGGAACTACGCGCTCAGGGATTTACAACCCTGGACTCCTTGAATTTTCCGCCGATGAGAAAGTTGCTAGCGGTACTGCTTAGAAGTAGATCGTTGGAACTAGTACCGTGGTCTTTTTCGCCGTAACAACCAACAGGGAGAATCTAGAACAGAAGTTGAATTGAGTACTCCTCTTCCACTTTCAGATCCAGTAGCTTCAAAAAACTTGAAGATCGGAATTATGTTACAACTACTTACAACGAACACATGAACAAATTATAGGTCCGTGGGATTTCTGAGCAGAAAGCTGAGCTTCTTCAAAAACTTGGGCGATCGTTGAGCCCTCTGGAATTTCAATCCGCCAGCGATCATTTAGAGCTGGTGCGCAAAGCGATTCCGCGAATCTCCTTGGGCAGTTCCAAATTGGATGCCTTGCTGCAGGGCGGTATCGAAACGGGGTCCATCACGGAACTCTTCGGCGAATTTCGAAGTGGAAAGACGCAAATCGTGCATACTTTATGCGTTCTCGCGCAGTTTCCTGCGGATCAGGGTGGCTGTGAGGGGAAAGTGTGCTACATCGACACTGAGGGCACGTTTCGTCCGGAACGATTGGAGCAGGTAGCAAAACGCTTCGGCGTGGCGCCGCAGGATGTGCTAGATAACGTAGTGGTGTGCAGAGCCCATAACACGGAACACCAAACCCAATTGCTCACGGAAGCCGCCATTCTGATGGCGCAGAGTCGATTTGGACTGCTCGTCATCGATTCAGTCACAAATCTATACAGGACGGAATATGCTGGTAAAGATACTTTCAAAATCAACATATTTTTTTATTACAACGTCGTGCTATGATGTACTCATTTAGTACATGAAGACGTATTAGTTATGTTCATCCATTGTGATATTCATCATTCGACTGGATATGGAAACGGTCCACTCGCACTTTTGCTGATTACTACACGAGGTCGTGGCGAGTTGGCCGATCGCCAGCAGCATTTGGGTCGATTTTTGCGATATGCGCAACGGTTAGCCGATGAGTTCGGAGTCGCGGTAGTCGTAACGAATCAGGTTTCAGCGAAAGTAGACGGCTCGGCGGCTTATGGACCGGCTCATTGCCCCATCGGCGGACACGTGTTAGCGCACGCTTGTCAGACCCGACTGTCTTTGCGGAAGGGGAAAGCAGAAGCTCGCGTGATGAAGATCTACGACAGTCCTTGCCTACCGGAATCTGAGTCGCCATTCGTCATTTCCGATGGCGGAATTGCTGACGAAGTATGAGACGGTGGACGCCGGATCATCATACTTAATATATGTTGTAGGATCTAGCTCTAGCACTACCAAGACCAACTTAGTTAGGAATAATATCTAAAAATGAATACTCTCTAGTGCTTGTACTTCCTAAAAATGAATCTAGTGCTACTAACTTAGTTAGGAATAATTTCTAAAAATTATGATGAATACTCTCTGTCGTAGATTTGAATGAGAAGTTTATCCAAGATAGAAGTGTTGATGGCTGTCGTGTAAAATGTAGCTGAGTAGTTGATAAGAGAGACATCTCATTATTTCCGCCGTATGTCATTGAAATAGGACCACCGACATTGTACTTGGCGGGTTCTTGTAGTAGAGCCTTTCCTATCGAAAAAAATTCTTATGAAGTACATATGGATCCAGTGACTTCTTTCGCAGTGCTTATCGTCTAAATGACCTGAGTTTAAAGTTAAGTAGTATTCCGAGTCTTGCAAGAACAAGTTTCGCTAGAAGAAGCCACCTGCTGAGCTAAAAAACTGAAACGGTAGTATGTACACGGCACACACGTACATGCTTCATGCGTCTAAACTTGCATCCAGCAATATTCCACGTCGACACCAGGATGTCCGAGCAGTTGATTGAACTTTTGAAAGACACAAATAAGATCTACTACAGTGCGCTTAATCTTAAGGACCCAAAAAGTCTGATTTGCATTTGCACCACTGCGAAGAGTACTGAGCGCCTCAACGCCGAACACCAAGAATCTGCGTCCGCGGCTTGGGCTAAAAGTACCATTCGGTCTCATTTTACGCCAGTGCTATCGTGGGTCCCCTCGGTTGTGTCGTCCAGATCTATCCGCCCTGTGCCCTCTAGAATCGCAAGTACAGGGTGAGAAGATCTTATGTCTTCGATGAACTGTTAGTACCTCGGTTGTCCTCGGTCGTTCCTCGCCAAATTGTCGGGCGAAGTCGCAGATCGGAAATCTGTTTTAACATCAATTAACTCTGTCTTATTTTCACCGAGGAATCATAGAAACCACACCCCTGTCTGAGAGCGCTGTTGTTATCGACGACGTACTCTTTCGTGGCAATAGGAAAACTGATTGCTTTCTCCCCTGCAACCCTTAGAAGATAGATAAACGACGAGAGATGTATGCACATCAATCGTAGACAAGATGTATAGAGAAACTAGTCAATTCAGAAGATAACGAATCTTTTGAGAACCCACTACAACCAATCACTGCGAAGATATCAATTCAGTTCAACCAAAAAGATGGCTTTGACTGCTCAAAAGAGGCCGACGACTGCGACGGCGCGCTCTTCGCGGCCGGTTTCTTCCCGAAATGCGAGGTCCCGACCACGCTCTGCCGCTAATTTCAAGAAGCCCGAAAATGTCCAGACTATCAAAGGCGCGCTAATGCTTCGACACAATAAGACGCAGATGGCGATGAACAGAGAGAATATGAATCCGAATATCGATGAGACAGCCTTCGCGGCTCCAGGAGGAGGAGGAGAGCAACAGCAGCCTTCGCAGCTGCAGCGGCGCGTCCATCATCTGGAGGCAATGCTGGATATGCAGCGTAGCGAATACCGCGAGCGGATCGAGCGCTGGGACTCCTTGCTTAATAAACGTTTTGTCCCTCTAAAATCGCTTGAAGAATATGTCGATGAAGAGGAACGAAAGCAGGATGAAGCACGAGGCCACAACACTGCTACGAGCTCTTCCAGTGGCGGAAAGAATGCTACAATTAAGGCTTCCCCTAATTCATCTTCGGAAGCTACATCTTAGCGACGTTCGCCACGGGAAAACGGGCGCAGGATGGACTTCGAGATGAATTAGGGTGAGCTCTAATACAACTCACCATGGCTCGAAAGGGTTGAGGGAGCAGGGAGGCGGAGGAGGTCAACAACAGCATGGTTTTCCACACAGTTATTTTCCGTCGTCGAATTCTTCAAATCCTGGAGGCAGAAGCTCGAGTGCAGTTGCTAGAACGGCTTCGAGTGGCGGCTTTCACGCGGGTTTGGAGACAGGAGAGTGTCGTGGAGGGGGTGGTGGTCGCGGCAAAGCGAAGCGACGGGGTGGAGCTAGATCTCGGAAGCAGTTACAGGCTGCTGACGTCGACAGGCGCCAGGAGGCGAGTCGCAGGCCTAGAGAAAATCAGAAGGATGAAATAGCGTCACCAGGCGATATCGATCTTGTAGAGGAAGACGTTGGTGCAGCGTCAAGCAGCGAAGATGATGTCACGGCACTGGTGTCTAGTGCTGTGTCTAATGTTGATCATCTGCATGGAGCTGACGAACCTCTACCTGCTTCTAGTGCGCAAATCTACCATGATGCTGGTAGCAGTAGCTATCCTTCTTCGTACTCATGCTCTTCTTCTGCTAAGCACGGCCAACATCCTGGAGGAGCTTTTTCGACGCAAACTACAGCGAGATTCGATCATGAGATGGGGGTGAGATTCCAAGATCCTGGGGCTGCAATGGCTGGTGCGTCTAGTGGTGGTCATTTAAGACCCAAAAGTGCCTCGCGGCTTGACGCAGCGCGCAATGCGGCATCTAGCAGCAGCAGTAGTGGAGCTCCGTTTCTGTTTGCGGCGTGCGAAGGAGGTGGACCGAGCAGCAGCGGAGAAGAAGAAGGGTCCTCGTCGAGCAGTGGGCATGAGCGCGCGGACGACCCTGGCGTGCATGAACACGAAGACGTTGTCGAGGTGGCTCGAGCTCCTACGCCATCCCCTCGTGAGGGTTCGCATCACGCATCGAGCCCACGAGTAGCAGCGTCACGCCCTAAGCAACCTCAGAAGGGCAGGAGCAACAAGACAGTTGGTGATGCTACGATGCGCGGTGTTGGAATATCGTTGGATGGCGCACCAGGAGTTGTTCCGCGTGGCCGGGCAGCCTCTGCAGGTCCACGCCGCGCTCGACCCGGACCACCGGATTCTCCGCGCGAGCGCGCGAGAACGATGAGACCGCAGTCGGCAAGCGCGACTGCACGAAGAGGGGGAGGAGATCACCGTGGCAGAAATACTTCTTCGGCATATGAAGAGGATGCAAACAATGCCACTTCAATCCCCTTCGTGTCTCGGCCGCAGGGTTTCAGGCATCTAGACCATGCACTCGGTGGGGGCCCTGGTGCGTCCTCAAGTCGCTCGCCGCCTCGTGGGGTGTCTACTAGAGGCGGATCCAACTCGCCACGACTGGAGGATGCCTTCGCAAATTCACCTCGGTTTGATGGAGAACATCAACGACCGCAGAGCGCCGCACCTCAGAGAAATCGGTGGATAGCCTACGGCCATCGACCCAAGACTGCGCCAGGCTCAGGTGTGCGGTCCAAAGACAAAGACGATAGCTACAATGCGTATAACTAGTTTCTTGTAGTAAGAGGTCGTGTATCAGTCTGTACAGGGTGGAATAGTAATCACAATTTTTGAACTTTGTCTCTGGAGCTAATTCAAAAGGGCTTTTTCTCCTCAATAAATCAGGTTAACGAATCTACAAGGGATGTTTACGAAGGTGTTCAACGCGAATCAGATTTTGATTCAACAGCGAGAAGAGGCAGAAGCGAATTTGAAGAACTTTTTGCAGACGACTGAAGGTCACCAGGCTAAGCAGATCCTCGAACAACGTGAACAGGTGAAATTCATGCGAACCAGATTGCTACAGATGGAGGCCGATAATGATCGGGCGACTCGCAAAGCCAAGCGATCCGAACAGCGGGCTTACGAAGAAGAAATGTTCCTCAAGCAAGCGTACTCTTCTACTTCTAGCACTTGGATAATTTAGCTCCCTCTACTGGTGCTTGTGCTTTGTTTCGTTTTCGAAGAAATTTACCCGCCACAAAAATATTCATGCACTTCTTGTATCGTGGATTTCCAAGTAGGGGTTACACATACTCGGAAATGTCATAGGGGACGACATCCTTGGTGATCCTCCTATCTACTAAGTCTATTATTCTAGATCTTCAGTTTTTCCTCGGCCTACAACTACAAATACAGGATGAAAGAGATCGAAACTTTGCGGCAAGTGACTGTGGAGCTGCAGCGGATGAATCTAGAACTCCACGAAAGCCCGCAAATGAAGCTGATCGAGCAGAAACTGTACAAGTTTCAGAAGGAGCTCACAAAGCGGACTAAGGCGCTCAACGATCAGAACGATGCGCAAGAGGAAGCAGTGAAAGAGATATGGGTGCGGGTCGAGGCCGTCAACAAAAAAGTCGATGGGCTCACATCCATGACCGAGTCCTTGAACCAGGATCGCAATGAGGCTGGCGTGCTACTGAAAGTCGGGAAAGAGCGCATCAAGGAGTGCAAAGTGACGATTCAAAAATTAGCACAGGACTTTCAAGTGCTAAAGCAGAATTCTGAGGACGCGGAGCGAAAATACCAAAAACTCTTGAAGTTAAGGCTACAATTCTGCAACTCGGGTTTTTGGGTGTTTGTTGTATTTTTTTAGTGTCGTGATCTTTGTGCTTGTTGTAGTTCATGAAACGAAATAAAGAGTGGCCTCCACAGGCTACAAAAATGTATGTTGTTTATAAGGTTCTCCTCCTGCATGTTCTAGTACAACTGTTTCTAATCAAACGTCAAGATGAGGAGAGTAACAAGGTTGCGGCTTTGCAACGGGTGTATCGGGAGGTGCTGGAAGAGTTGGTGGGAAACAACAAGTGGTACAAGCGTGTCAATAAAGATCTGGAGACGGAAAATGCGCAGCTCAAAAGCGAGAACACAGAGCTACTGGAGAGTCTCATGGCGTACGAAAATTTTTTTATTTCTTCACTGGTTTGGGTTTGCTTCTAATGTGTGATGATCTATCAAACACAACGAACAAGGGTGGATAAGTTGTCATTTACAACACCTTTAGGGATGCTACGCGTACTCACGGGGTAAATTCCATTGCAACACAGGCCATTTATCTCATGAAATGACACACTCTCTCAGGTACCTGATGTTGAACCAGCAGAGTTCTATGCTGAAAGGTCGCGCGAAACAGGCCTTGGATCCCTTGACGGTGACAGCCGAGAAAAAGCGAGTGCCTCCGCCACTAGACAACAAGAAAGAGAACGCAGACGAGGGGCATGTTATGGCTTACTGCTTTTTGTTGGTTACATGGAAAATATGCTGTTGGTTGAGTGAAAATCAAAATGTTGAATTGAGGCTCTAGACCTAGTTCTTTTCGATTCTTTCCAAGCTCGGGACTATATCTCTAACACTCACGACCCGGATCATAACAGTATCAGTCGGACGCCGTATCCAATCCACGAACCGATAGATTTACCGCCGCCTCCAGAAGGCTCCTTTCTCTCGCCCCGTGTCCTGGTTCCAGCGAAAAACGTACCGATACTCTTAGGAGAGATTACGGAAGTGCAGTGCTAGAAGTTTTTGGTGCATGCCATGTCATGAATTGAATGATCACAAGTCAAGGCAGTTGTAGGACCGTATGCAGTTGTGCTGGTAACCCGATTTGTCATAAAAATTCAACAAACTCCCGATTTATAGAGCAGGATCAACATTTCGATCAATAGGCGTCATTTTTGCATAGGTATCTCGTTACTACTTAGTCGTTTTGATAGATGAATGACAAAAATAATATTTACGTCGGTAGTAGTTTCCGTTTTGCTGTCACATCACGAATCCCTGCTTGTTATTATCTTAATAGATGCATGATAAGTTTGAGTACAATCGCGTTCGCGACTTTCACGTAGTCACGTAGACATGAACCCAAACAATTAATGTACCCTTCCTTCCCACCAGTAGTTTTACGAACAGCGGAACTGTTAAGGCTTGATTAACAGCTGAGTAATCCTAGGTTAGGTGCTACTTTACAGCGATTGCTGTACCAGATGTTAGCACAAAGTGACCATACTAGGTAATAGCTAAGCTAACACTGCCTGCATTTCCCGGCTCCTATCTCTCGCTTACCAGTTATTTTACTCTATCAAAAATACTAGATTTCGAACTTGTTTTTACGATGTTGTCATTCAATTAAGCACATTCTCAGTATATCTATGATCTCAGCCTCACATTACTAGACCTTTGTTCATTCTTTCATAGTCCCTGCAGTTTTGCCACTAGTTCATGAATAGTGCATAAGATTGATTTAATAGTCGAGTCCGACAAAAAATGAGAGGAAACCGTTTTTCGTATAGATACTAGTGTCCTTGTAAGTAGAAGTGTCGTAAGTTTTTAGAAAATCAAATAGACAGTGTCTATGACTATCTTCCGTTTCGAAATCAAGTGACGTTGATGTTGCATGCAATGAACTCGAACTTATTGCGAGATCAAGATTCTTGACCTTCTGGTTTAATTGCCTGCATAGTATGGTGCTCGAAGTTGGAATGTCATTCCAACTCCTCCCCAAAGCATAGTAATAACCTCACGCGGTCTGCGGCATCGATCTCGTGGCTTGTCGGTTTTCGGTTTATGAGTCGAGGTAGGATCATCGAAGTGGCAAAGCACACCGCCCGCCTATTTGTCGATTGTGCAGGCGCTCGAAAGTCTGTTTCTCGGTCGTTAGAGAGAGATAGGTCTTCACTTGAAACCCCGTACACAATAGTAAAGGGTTGATGATATTTAAATAGATGATTCCTGACTGTGACAACAAAGGCATAGAGATCACAAGAAAATGTTTGAGCCAGCGGGTCTTCGACACTTGCGGTCGCTGCGACGCGAGGAGGCTAGTCGACAAAAAACCAAAGCGCCTTGGGGCGGAGAAGTAGAATACAGTACAGCGAACACGAACAAGACATCAATACTAGCTGGAGACTGGAGCCACATCGTCAATCATGATAGGGATTCTTCTATTTCTTCCACGATCGCATCAGCATCTTCTGGAGGTATAATCAGCAGTCGTGGGGTTTTCGTCGCAACTGGTTCCGATTTTTCGTCCCTTGAGATCGTCGCTCCTGATGAAATTTGCGCCTCTTCAGTAGACATTGTAGACCACCCGCAATCCTCCTACTCCTACAATGTGTGCTCGGGTAGAGGCGCGCGGACTCATCGAGCAGGAGCTACTTCGACTAGTGGTAACTTTTTTTCTCGTCGTGATAGAAGTACAACTAGCACGACAGTAGCTGATCCTGATACTGTAGTCACGGACTTGGTGGAGCCGAGTAATCTTAGCCATGAAGATGACGAGGCGATAGCGGAGGACGGCTTTGCTTCCTTGCGGCCTTGTTTCGGCGTTCAGTGGCGTGTGTCGGGTGATAGTGAGTCCGAAACGGAGGAGACAAGTGTAGAAAGCGAGGACAACATTCCAGGGCCATTTGTGGGTGGACCCGTGGGAAATGTAAATGAGCCACTGGATACGATTGCCCCGTTGTTGGGAAACTCATCTCTACTTGGGAGTGGTAGAGTGCATGTGGGCGGGTCAAGTAGTAGCACTAATTCATCTGATTCTCAATCGGCAGAAGTATTGAAGAACTTCGACAACAGTCTAGCTCTAGAACAGGAAACAACTGATGCTAAAGAGCAGCATGAAACTACAGCAAAAACTAGTGCTACATTTGGCTCTGGCTCAACTGGCGCGTCGGCGTCATGTTCCGAGAGCGACCACGAAGCAAGCTCGGCTGCAAGCACGACCACGAGTCGACGACCGGCATCCGCAAGCATCTTTCGGAAAGTGTCGACGTCAAAAGTCCAACAGCTTTTGGAAATGGACTATCCCGATGAGTCGGAACTTAGAGCTATTATGGTGGACATTCAAGATGAAGGTAAGAGACTTTGATGTTCGAGATGGAGTATGTATTTCTCTAGTTCCGCGTGAGGTTACAACTTGTTATTCATAATACGCGTTATGACCATGAAGATGAGGTTGAGGACTGCTTAACTCTAAGAAAATCGTAACCGGAACCACTTTGGGCTTGCCTTCACGAACCGCGCAAGATATTGTGCGAGAAGCCGAAGAGGCAATCACTAGTGCGAGGCTTTTTCGCGAGGCACGACGTCTAGGTGGGACATTGACGAGTAGTTCTCCGACAGATGCTATTGAAGAAGACGAAGAGGAGCAAGAAGACTTGGCCGCACTGTTGCGACGGGCCGACGAAGCAGTCGAGACTTCGAAAATTGAAGAAGCACTAGTTGCGACGCGTGCTTGTTCTAGCAAAGTTGGGGGAACTACGAGTACTTCTAGTGGATCACGGACGATGAGACCAAAAGAGGAGGGTTCGTCCAGTACGACACCAGAAGCAGAGGGTCCCAGTGCAGCATCTACCGCTAGCAGAATCTCACCTGAGACGGATAACAAAGGTGTTAAAGCAGGTGTGGATCATACAGGAGTAGTTGTAAAGCTGCTTGACCAGCATGAAGATGATCATAATTATGGTGGAGATCATGATGGAATTGTAAGCGAACTAGCTGCTAGCGAGCGAGCGCTGAAGCAAGCGCGGGCAGGGGTCACCGAAGTTGCTTCATCTTCGCTGAATGATGCTCGATGGAAAGAGTTATTGAGCAGCAGAAGAGGGACTGAGTCTGAGAGAGCCGATGATAATGAGGTCGAGAGTGATGGCCCAACCAGCATGAAGATGAAGTCAATGACATTACTGAAGGAAAATAATCCTGCTGACAGATTGCACAAGTTTTTAGACGACATCGATGACTTCATGATGGCCCATGATGGTGCGGATGACGACTAAGAATTTCATGGGCAACTGGATTCTCTTAAGTCGGCTGAAAGCATCGGGTAAGCGTGCAAGTAGTTTCATCTTCCTTCGAAGGTGGGAGCGTGTTTTCAAGATGTATGCACGTGATATGCACCTTTTTCATTGCTTCTGTACCGTCATTTAACAAAAGCTTGTTGTCGGTCTTGTGTCGATTTCGGTTGTGAGAAGTGCAAAAAGCAAGAAGATACTGGACAGCAAACACATCACAAGTGTAACTTGAGTGTATACACAGGGTTCTGTCAGAGGGAAGCCATCTGTGCTAGGGTATGGTCAAGAAAGATATTTGAGAAAGCACGGAAATGCATCTGTTTGAGAGAAAGCAAATCTGAAATGGAGCTGAGGGCTACACTAAGTAAATGCTATGATGTGAATTCTGTGTATCAATGTGTCAGATAGAGGAGAGTCTTCTAGCCATTCAATCATGTGTCGTGAGGTTAAAATCAGAGTTAAGTCAAAATGAAGGAAGAGATAGGCTAAGGATGTGCTTGCTTGCTTGGTCGATTTAATTCTTTTGTTTTCTACAAATTCCAGGTTTTCTCTTGATGATTGAACTGTAGTTACTAACTTTGCTAGAGGATGGATATTCCACTTTTCCAAGATAGCCATCAAGTCAGCATGAAAGATCCAGCCATGGGTAAGGAGTGTAGCTGTCAGAGGCTTTGCTCGCTTTTTTTAAGAGCATGAACATACGAATATGGCCACTTGTGCCCCGACTGTCGAGCTCAAGATCCTGTCGAGTTTTAGGATTAAGTGGAATATCCATACTATGCCCCGTTCCCCAAGATAATCTCAGCCTCGGACATCGTGACTATCTGAAATTTTTTTTCTGATGTTTTATGTCATAGGGTCGCATAATTTAGCTATTCTTGTTCATCATCCTCCTTCCTGATTTTTCATAATATTAAAGCTCTTCTCCGCGAATTTCAAAAATGAAGTGAAAAAGCGGCGTGCTCGTATACTTCTTCCGTCTCCTGTACCTAACACAGTAAGAGAACCGAATCAAGTTCGACATCGCATCAGTTGTGCGGGCGGCATTACGTCGGTAACCATGTCCGGTGAGGGTGCTGACGTGTTGCGGTCTCTGCGTGCGGAGACGCCGAGTCGCCGGCAGAGCAGTGGTCGCGGGAGGCCAGCTGCACCTTTAACACCTCTGGCTGTAACGCGCGGCGATCCCCCGAAACGAATCCCGCCAGCTGGCTCCACGGACGAGAACAGCGCAATCAAGAGCAAAGGCGGGCTTAGTTTGCGGTCTAAGTTTCTCAACTTCGTAGAGAAACAAGCTGCACCGGAGCTGGACGACGCCTTTTTCGAAAGCTTTCCCCGTGTCATCCTCGGCTGTTGGCAGTTGCGTTCGTGGCGAATCGGCAACGAATTGACGATCACGCCGCCACGAGGGCTGCTCACTCTCGCATCCTTCTCGGACGAAGAAATCACCGCGTTTCGGCGTGAGCAGATTCGAAGGACGCTTTTGGACCACCTAAACGCGGGTTTTCGATGCTTCGATACCATCGATTCCTACGGTGAAGCAGAAAGCTTATTGGGGGATACCTTGGATTCGTGGCTAAGCGAGCCAGGTCGCGGGTCACGGGCTGACAACAAAATCCAAATTTTCACACGGCTGGACAATCGCGCTTTACACTGCGCGCCACGGGTGGTGGACTTGTGTCGGAAATGCCTTCACTTTTACGACGGGGACGAGCGGAACCGGCACCGACATCGGCCTTTGGACTTACTTTCCTATTACGAACCCGGGGACGAGACCGCGGATATTTTTGGGAACGACGACGACCAAGACAACAACTATATGGAGCAAGAGGGTCGCGCCGGTAGTCAGTCGCCAAGAACCGGCGATGCTGGAAGTAAAAAGAAGCCGAAGGGCAAGGCGAAAGGGAAGACGAAAAGAGGGGGCTCAGGGGGTTCGTTAGGTGGAGCGAAGCGTGGAGATAGTACGGAGGACCTGAAACGAATAGAAGGAGGAGAGGAGCAATCACCAACAGGCAAACGCGCAGCTGACAAAAAGACGAATCAATTGATCAAAGGAGCGTCGCATATTGAGGCTATACAGGTCTTGCACCAGTTGCGGCAGCTGGAGCAAGTGTCTCAGATCGGTCTCTGCCAATTTGATACTGAGCAGGTCCGAGACATGATCATGTTGGGTTGTCCTGTACGCACAAACCAGATCCAGTTTTCGCTACTGGACAGAAGGGCAGAAACGAGCGGCATGCTGGACCTCGCGAAGCGTTTTCGCATCAAGCTGCTCTGCTTCGGCTGCGTCGCTGGTGGGTGGCTGAGCGAGCGGTTCTTAGGTATGGAGAAGGACCCCATGCCCCGTTGGGATCGCAAGACGCTAAGCAAAAAGATGAGCGAGCGCCGCTGCACGGTGAGTCTGAGAAAGTATCGCCAAGGCCTCGACTTGTGGACCAATAGCGACAAGGAGAATTGGAAATTTTTTCAAGAGCTACTAAGGGTGCTGGATGGAATCGCGAAACGAAAAACGGAAGAACTGCGTCAAAAGATGCGAATGCAAATGCCCAACGGCGCCTCTAGAGTCGGTGGTAGGTATTCAAACAAACTTTCGCCTGAGAGTCTCGAGGAGGAGGACGACGAAGAGCTTTCCTTTCTTCTCTCAGCGGATGGTTCACCAGATAATATTTTCGGAAGCAATAATATTAACAAAGCAGCAAAAGAAAGGAAGAACACTGAAGAAGAGGAGCAGAAGACTGTTAGAATTAGTATTGCCAATGTTGCTGCCAAATGGGTCCTCGAGAAGTTGGACCGCGAGGCGTATGGGGGCGCCATAATCATTGGCGCACGCGATAGTCGTCACCTCCCTGAAAATAAGATGTTACTTCGTGAGTCGGAGTGGGGACTAAATGACTCAGATATGGAGGAAATCAACGAGGTCTTCCGTAGGGTGAAGAGGTGTAGGTATCATTCCATCGCAGATGCAAAGCAACGAATGCTCGACAGCGTACGGGCTGAAGCATCCTCATCCTCAATCAGGGGTCGTAGTGTTACTATGAAAAGTACTGCCATGACTACAACTTCTACCTCAACCTCTGCGAGTACCACAGCTGAGCAGGAACCTTACCGTACCCCAACGGCTGCTGAGCTGATGAAGACTGCCACGATAGGGGTAGCGCGATTTCTACACTTGATTCCGGTTTCCGAAGGGGGAACGATGCCCGATCCACCGAAAGAGGACCACTTACCTCCACTGAAAGAGGACCAGAGCAGCATCAAGAAAAAGTCCCCTCCTGGAGGTTCCCCACGTCAGGGAGGTGCTGGTTCGGCGTCACCAAGGTTCGATATGAAGATGACTTCTCCGGGTTCGACATTGACATCTTCTCTAGGTTCGCCGGAAGCGAATAGCCCATTCTTCGGGAAAGCAGATCCAGCCGCCATGAATGAAACAGTATCGACGATGGCGTCCTCCGGTGGTATGGCAGATATTGCTCAACAACAGTCAGGACCAGGAGTGGTGGGAAGGAAACGCGTTACTACTTTGGGTCCACGAGATGCTACTGCTAGTGGTCCAACTAGTGAAGCAGGGACTGGATTTCGTGGTGGGGGCGGTGCACCGAAGCGTGGCGCACGAGGACGCGGCAAGCGAGGTTCAAAGGGCGCGGCGCCACAGCTTCCAGCCGTCGAGGAGGCGACCGGGCCAACGGCTGAAGAAATAGCTTTGAAGAAGCTAAAGGAGCGCATGCAGTACGTTGATGCCCAAGAAAAAGATCAGAAAGTGATGGATCGAGAGCGCTTTCCGATCTCCACGCACGAACGCGAAGTTTTACTCAAGTTAGAGAGGGAACGAGACAACTTCCGAACAGAAAGCAAAGCTTTTGCAAAAGAGGAGTATGAGGAGTTCTTGCGCAAGGAATTCGAAGCGGGACGCGACCTTGAGGCGCAAAGGCAGCAGGAGGCCAAGGAACGAAACGAATTGCGCAGAGCGCAAATCCAGATGGGAACGCTGCAAAAAATGGTCAACAAAAAAGGCGTCAAAGCCGTCTTTGGGCTGTAATTGTTGTATTGCAAGGGATATTAGATACCTACGTACTTCTAGTTCTACTGTTACTTCTTTTAGAAATATTTAGAAAGGAAATAGACCATCATGGAGTTCAGTGTTGTGCAGTTGTGCTACTCCTTTATCGTTCTCCTGGTTCATTAGCACGATTTGGTGGATGTTGAAGGGACTAGAAATTAGGATTACGTGCCTATCTTGAACATTTCATTATGGCGGTGTCTTGGTAGATGCAGCCGTGGTCAGAATGGTAAAGATAACAAGAGACGCAAAAGATCTCTTTATACCGTAGATTGCACAGGTGCAGCGTCGATCACCGATGAAGAGGTTGTCGCGTGACGACCATAGTTGTATGAAAATACCACTCTGGATAAATGCTCGGGATGGCAATCAATCAATTAAATGTATATATAAGAAGTGACCTACTAACTACGGAAAACGTGTGTTCTGGAGAGGTAGAGATTGCTTGGGTTCTTGATATCTCTGCGCCGACGGCCTCTTGTGGCGCTGATGAGGATACTTTCATGTGGTCGCAAGCATTGCAAGCCTTGTGGACTCACTAAATGCTGTCACTTTTTTTCTTGTCATGCTCGCTGATGCGGTCTTAGCCTCCAAAAAAGGTCTAACTTCTTGAACTTGAACTTGAACTTCTAAAGAAAAATGCTGGAAATGTCTCGCGGCCGTGAAGAACAGAAGGGGCCTCCTTCTACCGGACGCGTCTATCTGTAAATTGGCTGCACACTCTCCTCTTCCTTTTGAAGATACACGTGACGGCTGCCCTAGAAATAAGTGAAGACTCTTTGTAGTTCCCTCTTTTTCACCATGGACGATTTTCAGCGTGGACCTCATTTTGGGACTTTTTGTGGTAATCATTGATCCTACAGCATCTTTTCGTTCATATTTGATCACGACTCCCTCGTTGCCCATTTGACGTAAGACTTCATGATCAAGATCTTCATACAGAAAAAGAATTTGAAAGGAAGTTCTTCAATACCAACCTACTTTCCAATTCAAAACACAACGCAGATTACAGGTGTGAGCCTCTGTGTGCAGAGTGTCTGTTTGGTCAATGCCCTTTTTCTTCAACGCTCACTCTTTGGTCTCATTTGTAACTTGTACTCGTCTCATTTTTGAGTACTTCAATTTGATGACTGAGCAGCCAGTATTTTACCTTTGTATACATGTTTAAATACTGTAAGTAATTTCATGACTGAGCAGTGTGAATTTGATGACTGATCAGTCGCGGCTCTTTTCTGTTCTAATTTGTGCGTTTTATGTGTTGCTTGGTTTGAACAGAAGCAACTACTACAGTAGTAAGGATGGATTACACGACTCGAATCCCGGCGCGTGATGTTTCATTATTCCGGTAAGTAATAATATTCTCGGTAACTACAACTACATGTGTTGGATGAAGCACCTCCGTGGCTTATTGTGCGATCATAGATACTGTGAAGATTAGGCTATTTGTTGTCGATTAACAGGCAGCACCTACTTTCTACTGGGTGTATTCGAATACCTCCGACGGAGCTCGTTCATAGTTCTAGGTCGATATTTTTAGTCCTCTTTACTAAAAAAGGAAAAACGAAGAAATACTTATAACACAACTTGACTAAAGCGTAAAGCCCTAAAGTACGTAAACTAGAAGCTAGGTGGTTTCTCTGTAAGCTGTAAATAAAAGTAGTCTGTTTCTGTTGCCCTGTTGCAATTGAAAACAACCACTTAATTAAAAGACGTTTTAACACCTCTTGTTAGGCACATTCATTCATTCACTTATATCACAACTAGAGCCATAGATATTTTTCCGTCCAGGCCGAAGCGAGATCCCCTGAAATCTGAAATCTACTTGTGATAAAGAGGTGGACTACTGCCGCAGCACCTGTGAGAAAGAAGAAGGTACTTGTATCTGTATTGTGATTAGCCGTGCATAGGTAAAGGTCTACTTGTTCGCGGATGTAGAAATCCCGTGTGTTTAGCGGTCCGAGAGGATGGAAAGGTGAACGAGGGAGAAGGAGCTGCTAGGAGCAGGAGACACCACGGCGCGTGGGGAATATAGCCCGCATGAGCTCTTTCTTCAGGACAATGCCCCCCGGCGCGTGCAGGTTTCCCCGCAGATTCTCGGAGAAAACAACCCCACGGAGCTCTTGGGCGGGCTCCAGCCTCCGGCTCACCGTACCGCGGGCGATCTCTTCCCGGTACGCGAGCCGATTCGGGCCCCTTTGCGGTCCTGACGTTAGACGGCCCAAACGCGGCTGGCGGCCGCGTTAGAGCCCGCTAACGTCTTCGCGACTCGGTGAAACAGTGTCACACGCCAAAACTGTGACCCGCCGAAACTCTGAGGCGGAAAACCCAGACATGCCGAAACTCTGAGGCGCGAAACTCTGAGGCGCGAAGCCCTGACATAGCGCAACTCTGAGGCGGGAAACCCTGACAGCCCGAAACTCTGAGGCGCGAAACTCTGAGGCGCTAGACCCTGACACTACGCAACTTTGAGGCGGGAAACCCTGAGACGGCAAAACTCTGAGGCGCAAAACTCTGAGGCGCTAAACCCTGACCTGGCGCAACTCTGAGGCGGGGAACTCTGAGGCGCAAAACCCTGACATGCCGAAACTCTGAGGCGCGAAACCCTGACACTGCGCAACTCTGAGGCGGGAAGCCCCGACATTTCGAAACTCTGACCTTCGAAACTCTGAGGCGCTAAACACTGACCTGGCGGATGTCTAAGGCGGGAAACCTTGACATCCCGAAACTCTGAAGCGCGAAATTCTGAGGCGCTAAACCCTGACGTGGCGCAACTTTGAGGCGGAAAGCCCTGACATGCCGAAACTCCGAGGCGCCCGCGAAACTCTGAGGCGCTAAGCCCTGACCTGGCGCGATGAAGCGGGAAACCCTGACATGCCGAAACTCTGAGGCGCTAAACCCTGACATTGCGCCACTCTGAGGCGGGAGCCAAACCCTGAGATGCCAAACCCTGAGATGCCAAACCCTGAGATGCCAAACCCTGAGATGCCAAACCCTGAGATGCCAAACCCTGAGATGCCAAACCTTGAGATGCGAAACCCTGAGAAGCCAAACCCTGAGAAGCCAAACCCTGAGATGCCAAACCCTGACATGCCAAACCCTGACATGCCAAACCCTGAGATGCCAAACCCCGAGAAACCCTGAGACGCCAAACCCTGAAATGCCAAACCCTGAGATGCCAAACCCTGAGACCGTTTCTGCCTGCAAAACCCTGAGAACTGGATCCTGACTTTTGTGCCCATTTTTGCAAACCCTGAGATGCCAAACCCTGACCCGACCGCGATTCAGCCCTTCCTGGGAACCCTGGGACTCCCTGGCTTTCCCCTTAAAACTCTGAGAGTCCTGGTCCGTTGATTTGTGCCCCTTGTGGTTCACCTTGCTCGCCCTTAAAACCCTGAGGTCAGACCTCGACTTTTGTCGATCATTAATAAAGATAGAATTGTGTCCAATCTTCTACAGCAAGAGTGCCGAAATTCGGGTGATATGAGCGTATCTTTTTAATGCTACAACTAGAAGCAACAGCCGGGAATTATCTGAATAATAACAATACAAACACCAGTGCACTAATAAATTTTTACATATTTTTCTCGCATAGAGGGTGAAGGCATAATAGCTATGTCTTCGAACAACAAGAATTAGATCGAATGAACAAAGATCACGTATTTGACTCAGAACAGGATCAAAAAGTATGCATCACTGTAGTAACGAAAAAGCCTACTACGAATATAGAGCCTAGATCGAAAGAGAAACAAAAGCTCAGTACCGCCACAGATAGACAAACTTCCTTTTTTTTTCGTACGTTTTTTTGCTCAAAATTGGCATTTATGTACCTACCTAGCTGCGCTGTTCGAAGTGGACTGTGACGCCGAACAGATCTACATTTTAGGTCTCGCGATGTCGGTGCGCGTGGCACTCTGACTTGATCGAGGCCAATGAGGTTGGGCCTGAGCTTGAACTTGTCCCACTCTCTTCTTGTTCACCATTGTCTACGTACTGTAGGAACAATTAGCGGAGATTTCGGACCTGTCTCTACTGTAGCGGTTTGTGATGAGTAAATTAATGAGTAGATTCTATTTATCATCATACAGATATTGATGAGTAGATTAAGTACCTATCTATAGGCTGTTGCTGTTGTTGTAAGAGTACTTAAGTAGAAAAAAATACTTCTGGCGACGGCCAGCAGCAGAATGTCTGTGCTTTTCTCTTTCTGTTAGCTAACCTGTCGTGACTTAAACTGACTCAAGCGGTAATATCTTCACCATTTTGCTCTGCTCTTGTTCTCTTGTTTATATCGCTAGTTGAGAATCCAGTCGAATTTTCTACCTCTCTCGGGTACAAGTATAAAAGGCAGCCATACTATCGTTATCGAAAGCCCTCAGCGAGCAGCAGAATGTCTTTTTACATGAAGAACCTTTCTCGGGGCGAGGGCGCTCTTTCTCGCGATGGGGAAGGTATCTTCTTCCCGATGTCGAATGCACCCGATGTCGAGACGTACTTTCAAAAGAACCGCAAGAATATTCACACCTACGTGCAATATTTCGGCGTGCCTAGGACCATTCCTGATCGATCTTCTTCATCTGCCTCCAAAATGCTACAACAACCGGTCGTAGGGGTTGCGTCGAACGCAACATCTTCATCTAGTACAACTGCTCTCAACTACCAGAACAATATCATGGAAGAGCAATCATCCAAGGCTTACTGCACTCGTACCAACAAGGGAGGTGGAGATCATCGTAACAGCAAGGAAGATGAAGTACCAGATAGAGTACTTCTCGGAGCACATGATCTTCAGGTCGAAGGCTACATCAACAGTGATCAAAAGCAGCAGAAGCATGCGTCTTCTTCAAGCAGGAGTCCTCCTCGTCAATTTCTCAACTACGCTGGCGGTGCAAGTTCTTGTACGTCGAGCAGGATCCCGGAAGAGACTCCTTCCGAGAGTGGCGGCCTTGGTGTGCAGGACCAGATGGTTGTTGATGAGTGGAGAGCAGGGTTGCGGAATCGAGGCAATACGTGTTATTTGAATGCGTTGCTGCAGGCATTGCACGCTTGCGCGCCGTTCCGGCGTCTCGTCACCCATGATAACTGGACGGTCGCACCATCTTCACAGAAAAACGTCTCTCAAAAACGAGAGATGAAAAACGACACCTCGGAAGGAAATGCAGCTCACGATCTTGATGTCGACAACGGGAAGCCGCGCTATGATCAACTGCAGCATGACATATTCGGACAACATGATAATCTTCCTGGTGGTACCATTTTTAGTAACAAGCAGATGAATCCAGGTGGAGGCCAGCACCAGTCGTGCGACACCAGCACAGAAGCGATGAACATACCATTTCAACTGCAACGCCTCTTTCTGCAACTGTCGTACTCCAATGACGGCAATGGCATAGATACCGGGCCTCTCCTTCGAAGTTTCGGCCCAGGTTTCTCGGCTGCCGACCAACATGACGTTTCGGAGATGTGTCGCGTCTTTCTGCAGGCTCTAGGGGACAGCGCTTCGAGACTCTCTGCAGGCATCGAGAGCCTGTTTGGGATCGACTCTACCAGTGTTTTAGAAGAAATACCTTCACCGCAGAGGACGGAACCCTTAGTACAGCTGCAATTGAGCGAGTACGAGAATAACAAGGAGAAGGTAGACCTGACGTTCAGCTCTGCACCTTCTACCAGTGGAGGAAGTCGTGTCTTCGTCGACAAGGAACAACATGAAAATGCACCTCCAGCAGCTTTTAGTAGTAATCAAAATCATGCTCTTTCTGCTCGTCGCAGGGAACGAAATGAGTGGGCCTTAGACCTGAGTCTCCCAGTGATATCGAGTTTCGAAGCTGGCGTGCCGCAATTACACCCTGACTTTGACGCGTGCGTGCGGGCTCTGAAAGCGCGTGAGACGATGACAGGGGCAGATCAGTGGGAAGCTGAGCCTGGCGTGAGGGTAAATGCCGCAAAGTATACTGACTTCAAGGGCCCTCTTCCAAAGATTCTCGCCTGTCACTTGCTGTCCTTCTACTACGACACAACAACGGGGACCCGCTGCAAAGTAGATCTCTTTATGCACTGGTCTATAGGTGGACCAACAATTTTTAATTACGTACGCCTTTTTCTAGAGATGTCAACTGAACTCTTTTTTTTGTCTAAAAAGGTCTACCTGATTAATTACGGACCCCTTTCTGAGAATATCCGATCGAGTGACTACCACTCGCTTCATTCTAAGCATTTTGAAGCGCGACGGAACAAGAGCAGAGAATTACGCGGCCGTGGTGCTAGCTACCATGCTCGACGACGCGGAGCGACACTGCATACCCCGACGTCAGCGGTGGTGGATTATAGCGTCTTCGGAAACTGCGGAACCGCCACTCCTGCCGCGTCACTCGCTGCTGCGTCCCCAGCTTGCATCTCTTCCCCTAGTGCGCAAAATGCCTCTTTTTCCCCTAGTGGACGGGGTCGCTGGCACTCCATACCGCTTATCTATGATTTCGAACGAGCGCTAGAGATCAAGTATGATTCGGATACAGTTCTTACAGACGCTGTTCAGATTAAGGGTTTCCGAACAACTACCTCCCTCACCACCATCCTTGGCTCTTTATTTCCTAGTAGAAAGAAAAGAAGCCAGGGTGGATGCTCTGAGGAATGTAGATTTTCGTAGTCTCTAATGTTGAGAGTAAAAAACTAAACGATGCGGTCAAATCATTTTACGAGAACGACATGGGTCGCGAAGGTAGCAACACCAGCACGACCGCGAGTGGCTTTGGAGGTGGACCTTTGAGTAGCCTCTATAGTTCGTCGAGTGACGACGCAGATGCAGATTCTTTCGCAGAATCGCGTTCAGCTGTTCAAACCACTAGTTGCTTCCTACCACCCAAAAACTCCTCACGAGCAGGACCGTGCCAAGGTGATAGCGCTAGCACTGTAGTAGATGAGTCATTCTCTGGCGCAAGCACATCTTCTTCGGGCGAAGCGCTCCCTGAAGTCCCTAGTAGTTGTGGCCCGGGGAGAGCACCAGCTAGCACGTCGGAGAACAAGCCGCCTTATATGCTCAGAGCCGTGTGCTTTCATCAAGGATCAACGAGTTTCGGCGGACACTACGTCGCTTGTGTGCGCAGCGGTCAGGACTGGTTTCTTTGTAATGTTAAGGCTTTTCGAAATCCATCGATCTTCGTTCCTCCAGAATATCAATATCTATCAGATAGACGCTCATGTGTCTTGGATTGATTCAACGATAACCAAGCAGGAAAGTAGGGCCATCACCATGCATGATGATTGTTATATTGTTATAAAATATATTTATATATCAGATCATGGAGGTTTTTCGCATTCTGCTCTAAGACTGACATCAGAAAAGAGAAAATCCTTGGTGTGTCGAACTCAGGGCCTGACTTTTCCAGTGGCGAATATGGAACTCCTTACTTCCTACTATACGAGCTGATGGATCCAAATAACCCTGTTGAGGATGAAGAAGAAGATCTACATCTCCGTGTTAATACGATGTTACACGAGGCAGAAGTAGCGGAGGCACAGAGGACACAAGTAGGACTGCATGAGGAAGAACATTCTGGCTATAGCTTACAACCTGCTACAGAACGCTCACACGTACACGCTGTGCAAGCAGTAGGAGGTAATAATTCCTGGGAGGCAATTGTCCGGAACATTCAGGCAGAAAATCGACTGCGCAGGGAAGCGGAGTTGCTCTGCAACCTATCACGCCAAGCCTTAAAGATTCGGGTTTATTCGGCGTCCTCGCAGGAAATGCACATGCATGCTAGCATGCAGCAGTATATGCTAGACACAAGCACGTCGTTTGCGACACGGCTTGATCACGGTGGAGGTGGAGCAAATTATCTTCCTCGCAACAATGATCTCCTTGTCCAGATGGCAGGAGGTGGGCTGCCTAATAGTAACACTCGAGGCCATGTCGACAATGTTATGGACGACCAGCTGCCGGAACAGCCTATCAGGCTTACGGGATGCCTCGTGTCAGATTTTTCGTTATCGGACTCGCCAGCGACGATGCTTTTCGCTCGAGACAGCGGCGCCTTACCCGGCGAGTCAGGTCCTAGCTGCGGCCTTTTCCCCAGCATACAGAAAGAAGAGCGCGACCCTTTCCCTGCACACCGAGAACTATCTTCTAGTGCTTTCGGTGCGTTGCCATTTGTTCCACGATTCAGCCTCGCAGAAGCAGACGTCGTGGTGGCAGAGCACGATAAATTGATCAAAAATGAAGGTGCTCCTCGTCTCCTGGATAAATTTGTCACTGCGAGGACCGACCCACACCCCCGCGGAGGGACCGGCTGCTCCAATATCATCGGTATTCCTAGTACGGGGGTGGACGCACTTGCTGGACATGTTTTGGCTGGAAAGTCAGTCCTTGTCGATGATCTCGATATGGAGGGTACTACGAGCGAAGACTTTGGTGCAGAGACCGAGGAGGACGATTACGAAATGGAAACGGTGCCTTCTCCTTGCGTTACGGGCGCCGGTTGGAAGTTGTTGACCTCTCTACTCGCATATCTCGGGCATCCCGATATCTATGGCATGCTCAAGTAGGAAAGTCATATTAGATATGCGAGAGAGAAAGAGGAACTTTCAACCCCTAATTGCGGGAGCTCTTCGGTAACGGAATACGCGTTCAAATTTTCTCGTCAGACGACGGGAACTTCTGTGACTCAGCAACAACAACATACCAAGGATCAACATGACCACGCGGACGTTGTTGTAGATGACCACCAGGAGTATCATGATCAACATCTACAACTTGGCAGCAAGAATGATGCTCCTGCAAATATGATAGCTCCTGAAAGTAGAAGAAATCATCCAGGCGTGATGACGACAACAGACCATATTACAGGTCGAGCCGTCGTTCCACTGCCAAAAGCACGACGTGGGGAAGAGTATCAACAGATGACGCTGCTCGACGTGCCGCGATTCGTTCGCGATCATCGTCTCAGAGGATACGATCCGTCGACGGGCATTGTGTCTCCGATAGATTTTGGTTCGTTTTCAGCAGGCCAAAATGAACGTGCTGGAACATCTTCAGCACTGGGTCAACAATATTCTGGTACTACAGGAGCCACTCGGGGTACTATTCCGTCGAACTACATGAACGCAGAGTGTGGTGTGACGCAATCGGGATCGGTCTGCGTGGCTCTGGTGAATCTTGCAACGAGCTTTAAGGGACGTAAAAACGGTTTTGAGCAACTTCCTTCCCCTTCCCTTGCGCGTGGTGATTCTTCTGCCTACACGGTCGAGCGCGTTGGTATGTTTCTTCCTTCGGGCGATCTGGTAGAGAACATTCAAGCCTTCTTCTTCGGTTCTCAGAGTCCTGAAAGCAAGTCCTCGAAGCGATATTTTCAAGGTTCAGGTTCCTGCGCCACGACTCGTGCTCCCGCAACTATTAAGGCTGTGGACAACATCATGTTGACAGGAGGTCGAGCAGCAGAATCCGCACCGGGGGCATCCTCGATTGATGCGGCATCTTCGACGTCTTTTCCGACTTGGTCGACTGCGAACTTCGTTCTTCTAGTAAGGAAGAACGAGGTAGCTCACAGCGATGTTGATGGTAGAACGAGTCGGCGCGCTTTTTCTATAGATTCCTGCGCGACAGGAGCAAGCTCCGTTTCCTGCATGGCAACGGAAGCCTGCAGCGCGCTTTCTGTACCCTCCTCGACTTGGAAACTGATTACCCCCGCGCATCTCTTAGATACGCTATTGCACCAAGGTGGCCCTGGCCGCTCGGTGGAGCGCCAGCAGACGGGTTGTACTTCGGCGGGTTGTACCTCGTCCAACGCGGCGCCGTCGCCTCCTGAAAAGCTGGCGAGGTACTTGCTCTTTCAATCCGTAAGCGAGGCAAACGCGTTCCGAAGGTGGTATGAGGAAGAAGCGGGCTCGGTCACGTTACATTACAACCGGCGGCTCGGCTGCCGCACGATGGACGCCTCTATCCGACTATGCCGCACCCTGACATTACACCAAGTCCTTCTCGCAGTGCGAGCGCAGGAGCTTCGTGAAGAATCGACTTTGACAGGTGAAACGAGAGTCGAGAATGATACAACAACTACTGACCACGTGTCTTCTGTTTCAGGCCTACCTTCTGCCCCAGGTGGAGCAGGTTCGGTGACTCCTGCGCCTTCACCAGAGCAGGGGTCTTCAACGGAAAATGTCGTAGCCGTATCCGAAGCTGGTGTTGGAGGAGTGTTGAAGCGAGAGACATCTTCAAGTGCAAATAGTAGTACTGCGACGACAGGGGGTAACGGTAAGTGTAACAAGTCCGCGTGGTGGTCTCTGAGTGCCGCTACAGCGGTAGTGCGCGGTGGCTCGCGGCACGCTCCGGCGTGTCGGGACTTTGGAAAGACACTAGAAGAGCTAGGCTGGATTTCGGACGGATTCTGCGTATTCTTCAGTTCTCCCGCGGGCTTGCTGCGGACTATCTCCAACGCTAGTGGAGCTTTGTCCTCGGCGACTGCTGGCGGGATGCATGATATCGTTAAGGGTAGGTTTTGGGTGTTCTTGTTACCGTTTGCTTTGCCTCTCGTGCTCGTCAGGAAGAAAAGAACAACAGACGGGGAACACAAACACGCAGCAAAAACCTAGTTGTAGTGCCTCTAATAGTGGCATGATTAACAGGGCGGCATCGTCCGCGGCGTTCTCGGTTGGCGGCGCGCCCTCGTGCAGCTCCTCCTGTTCCGCGGGAGAGTTTCTCCCTGTACCTAACAGTCTCTGGTGCCAATTTGAAGGACACAGAGACCAAAGATGGCTGTTGCCATACTGTGTGGACGTAGAAGCCGAGCAATCAGAGGACTACGAGCAGTCCTCCCACAAGAACCTAGAGAGCGAGGACGACGACGATCAAAGCCCGCTCGTGAGCATACCAGGATCACTTGATATCCGCCAGACATCGAAAGCTTCCGCTTTCACCTCAACAGGTCTGATACAGGATCGTCCCTGGATGTTCTTGGATCATTCTGCAACGGCTCCAGGAGAGGAGGATAAGGATTGTACAAACCCTTTCCAAGGGGATGAAAACGAGATGAACAAGGATAGTACTAGTAAAAATATGCCTATGCCTTTCAACATCCCAATGCGAAGAACAAAAGATGCGAAGAACGTGTCGCAGGTCGACCTGTGCACTGCATTCGGGCAGCATTCTTGGACAAGCTTGACAGCAGAAGGAGACTCAAGAACAGGTGTGCCGTTCATTCCCGTTCCTGGTCAAAAAAGCCATCGGCCGTTCAGTTCTGCTGGAACCGGTCTTATGGTCAACATTTAGTGTCCATCTTTCTCGGCATCTTGGTACCCTTTTGCCCTGTATTCTCAGGAAATTTTACAAGGTAAAAGGAGACAGATGCATTCTCGCACACGCTAACGGTCTCCAAGACCCGTTTCCCGGAGAGGAAGAGCAGCGCAATAGAAAGCCGAAACTAATAAGAGAATTGAGAGCCGCCGCTTTGGAGGAGGCGCAGCGTCGTGGATGGGTGTCTCCTGGCATGAACGACCCTTCGCGTATCAGGTAAGGCTCAACACGATACTCATTCATTCCCACACGGTTTGTTTCTCTGCAAATTTTGAGGACATTGTTTGTTCCTCCTCCCCTTACTTCAAGTACACGGTTGATAGTGTTGCGCCTCAGACTTCATTGCTGGGAGAAAGAAACCTGACAAGATGAGCCTGTAGAAGATTTGAATAATCTATATCTTTATCGGAAGTTTCCTCTAAACCAGATTGTCTCTGGTTCAATCTGTGCCGACCTACCGGGTCTTACGCATGTTGCGCGATTCCGATACGCCTGAATCTCAAAAATTGAACGACGAATTTGGCGCAGATGGAGTTGTCGAACATCAACGACTCACTAGTTGCGGCAAGACCATCTTCAACGGGAGTACTAGTTGTAGTACTACTAGTACAAGTACAGATACTTGTACTTCTTCTATTGGTACTACAACGTCCACGATGGAACTGGAAGCAGAACGGACCTCCACTGCCATGTCCACGCTGAGCATCAGTAGCAGTTGCGTGGTCGCAAATAAGCTGCAGAATACTCTCGAATGGCTAGATCGGGCCTCAAATACGGCTGGGCAACATCTAAATTATGGGTTCCCACATTACGTCCTCCACGAACATTCTTGGCCTCTTGTCCAATAGAAAAGAAGGCACGGATGTTTTCTGGAATGTAATCCTGTATTAACCTCTAACTAAAAGTAACCCTCCTGCGCGAACCAGTGGCTAACATTCGACTGCCGCACGTTCTTGTGACTATCCGTGCATGGAAGATCGAGCATCCACGTCGGATTGCGGTTGTTTCTGACGTAGTTCTACGTGCCTCCGAAAAACGTCCAGAGCCACCAGAAGGAGATCCCCAGGAGAGCAAAAAGAGCAACACTTCTCTGTTTTACTATCATGAGGCGCTGAGTAAAGCTGTATACAGTTCAAAGCTGTGGCAGAAAATTAAGCAGAGTCCCACCGACTTCGCCGAAGTCGCAGTAGACAAGTCCGGAACAACGCTGCACACGAAAACTGGTGTGGACGAGATCGCTAACTGGATGCAACTACTGGAATTGAACACTTCTACAACATCTTCTGGTGGTGTCGTTGACAGTACGACTAGTAGTGGTGTCGTTGACAGTACGACTAGTAGTGGTGTCGTTGACAGTACGACTAGTAGTGGTGTCGTTGACAGTACGACTAGTACTGGTGTCGTTGACAGTGCGACTAGTAGTGGTGTCGTTGACAGTACGACTAGTAGTGGCGTCGTTGACAGTACGACTAGTACTGGCGTCGTTGAAAAACAGGGTCAAGGTCAACATATCATCGAAACGGGAGAGGGTCGAAATGTTGTGGACGATCGAAATAATTCTGCGAAAGAGGAAAATGTCGCAGTCGCGGCTAAGGATTTCACTGGTACAACTCCTGCATTGATAACACCAATGACCGAACTGAGAGAGACTACGTCTACGTCGACTACCACAGCTAGTATCTGTTGTCTATCGGCGGATCAGGTCAGGGACGGTTCAGCAATCATCGTTCGTTCTGCTGAGCAGTACCGCGCGTGGCAGGAGAAGCAAAGCGTGAGCGTGAAAGTTCCAAGCATTTCTGCAACCATGAAACCACGAGCAACGCCCAAAGAGCATGCTCTCAGAATTCAGTCGACGAGGATTGACTGAAGTAATAGAAATAGGTAAGTAATTGATTGAAGTAATAGAGAAAGAAAAAGGTCCACTGGCCGTCCTGCATTAAGTAATTCAAAGGTTCCCATAAGCGAAACAAATAAGCAACTATATATCAATTATCGGCGTCTAAAAGATTAGAAATATTCCCAACATTTCACCATAAGAATCGAAGAAGTATAAGATCAAATATTTCCCAACGTTCTCACGTCGGAACAGAGTAGGAGGGGATGGATGGCGACAAAGTCAGACATCTCTGTATGCGTAGTACTCTGCTCGCCTGGACGAGGGAGAGAACACGGAAAAAGAGGCAACATGGCATGACGTACGGCGATGCAGATAGTAGATTACATAACAGGGTGGAAACTGTCAGTCTTTCGTCTCAATCTAAGAATGTTCATCTTGCAAGAAGAAGTTGGTAGTCGGGTCCTACCTTGTAGGAACCAAGAATAAAATAGTGGAGGGTCCTCGGATTCCCATAATATGATCACAACAATTTTCCCAAGACATCACTTAAATCTTGAGCTGCGTTAAATCACAAAAGTCTTCGCCTCAGAGTGCCAGTACTTCAAGGCAGTGGGACGACGAAGACAGCTGCAACCTCCGTGCCTCAGACAGCTCCAACCTCCGTGCCTCCGATCTGGATCGATAAGATAGGGACCCTGGATCGATAAGATGGTCTGGCGCTCCCTGCTGTGCGTATTTAATGCCCCATGAAGTTCATGCAGTCGTGTCGCGCGCCCGTGCAGTTGATCGCTGCTCTCCCATGCTCAAGGAGGGTCTTGGCAGCCAAGAGCCGATCATAGCGCCAAGAGGTTGACAAAAACAGCTTCAACATCCGTTGAAGGTAACTAAGTACTTGTGACGTGCAATAAGGGGAGGACGGAAGGTGCGAGTCATACTTCCTCTACTACATGTACTAGTAGCCATGATTATAGTACCGTCGTTCGAGCCGTGCAGTCAAGTGACCTTTAATATTTGTACACAGCTGTCGCAAGCAGAAAATCGACACTATAACTCTTGTAGGATGAATAATCACAAGGACTACAAGGGAATGAAATGTTTATACGGGGTTTATACAGAGAGTCATCGTGGTGCTGGGGTTGCTCGACATGGTCAAAAATTATGTGTTTTGATCGGTATGTCTGACAGCGTTGCCATCACGGTTTTACCCACTTACGGAAATGTGTGAATAATATATTCCGTAGTAGCTAGAAGTGCAATCAATTGTGGTCCCAATGTCGATGATTTTTCCCCCGGTAGTAGGACAGCGGTGCAGGCCCAGGAGCGCCTGGCTGAAAGTTTATACATTGCTTCGAATACTTCTACCAAAAAGGGCAGCATCAAGCGTCCGAGACTACAGAGTCATATACTTTCCTGGATGCGCTAAAAATTGCCGCTGCCCTGTACTAAAGTTTACATGTTGTAGCTAGTAGTTAGTGGGAACAAGGAGAAGAGGTGCGAGTAGCTTAAGTACCTCTTAGTCAGTAAGATTTGAAGGGAACAACCACAGAAGTGTGTAATGCTGTCAGATTCTCTTATCATTTATCGAGTTCTGATTTCCTTTCTTCGTGTGAATTTCTCTATCACAGTACTAGTAGTTAAATATGTGACTGAGTGTGATTCTGATTGTTGTAATTATATCCACCTCTAAAAGAACGAGTTGCTTCTGGTACAATTGAGTATGAAAAACATGAACTATGAAGAATATCTTCTAATGCGTCTTTCTGCTTGATTCCAACAGCAAGGATCTACCTAGCCTAGTAAAAGAACATCGAGCGAGTTTTTCAACTAATTAAATCACTTATACCCCGCGAACGCGATTGGGTACACAACGACTACTACTCAAACAGAAACACTTCGTAGTGAGTTCCACGCCGTGACTATTGTGTCATGGTCTCACCACAAATCAATGTATGCCCATCTCGATGATATAAGTTGTTTAGTTCCGCCAACATCTCTGTGTCGTTTCTTACTCAAACAGAAACACTTCGTAGTGAGTTCCACGCCGTGACTATTGTGTCATGGTCTCACCACAAATCAATGTATGCCCATCTCGATGATATAAGTTGTTTAGTTCCGCCAACATCTCTGTGTCGTTTCTTATTGTCTCTATTGTAGGGCGCGGGATGCTGTAGGTCCACCTGGTGGTTAATATAGGTACTTATGAATAATATGGGGGGTTCTTTTTCTCAAAAAAAATAGGGACGTTCGGAGCCAAAGCAGGTGGTAGGCTGCTTACCGAGTTAGTCCCCTGACAGCTCGCTTCGCAGGTGTCGCCCCCAACAATCGACGACACCCGCGGGCGCGTTACTCTTGCAGGCACGACGTAGTATGTAATTGCTTAATTGCTTGGTAGAATTATTTAATTGATTAGAAGGGAGGCAGCTTTGTTTGTTTTCTTTGTTTTTTACCTATATACTTCCACCAAAGCGCCAGGATCCCTAATCAGGCATTGATGGGGTGAGGACTCAAGATAGGGAAAGCTTTGATGGTTTGGCTTCTTGTAAAAAGTACTTAGTAGTTTATAAAAATGAATATCCAACCCGGTACTCACTTTCCATATCCGTCTGTGTGTCTTCGATGCATGACGTGTGCTAGTAGTTTGTGACTCATGGAGAATTACTAGCATAATATGTGACGGTTGTAAAAAAAAGCTGTTTTTCTATTTTGGACCGTAGCCATTTTGGCTCAAGGTCAGAGTTCCAGTATTGGGCGGAGCATCGGATAGTCAGCTCTTTGTAATGGCTAATTTTTTCCTCACTCGTAAACCTATGGCCACTACATGGCTGATCTAACCTCGCTTCTCTTTTTGTTTTTTTTGGGTTATTCGTATGGTTGAAGTGTGGCCCATTCTCCGTATCATGATTTTCCGTTAGTTATCTGCGTCGCAGGATCTACACGTAAAAAACTCACTCTGGAGGTAGTGAAAGCCAGGATGTTCATGATCATGAAGGATCTTACGAATCTCGTTAGCTGAACGCGCGTTAGGCAAGCCTTGCGTTAGAAAAAATTGGAGAGAAGATTTCTTTTTGTAACATTGATTCATTTGTTCTTAACCCGGTGTTTCTTAATGTGAAAAAGGTCCTTCTTCTACTTCTTGTGTCTCATAGAATCTAGGTTCTAGGTTCTACTTCTTGGAAATCGACCAGAGAAAGTTCCTTTCTGTCGACTGGTGGTAGACAGGTAATAGCTGAAGAGTTTTTTTTGGCTGTTCTAGGAGATTTAAAGATTTTAGATTTAATTGTCTTTCGTCTACGAAGCACAGACTGGAGTCTACTAGCTTCAAAATGAAGAAGTTCGTTACCCTCTGGGCAAGACATCACTGCTAAGCAGAAAATGCAAGATCGTTGCCCCTACGTACTATCAGGCTGGAGTATATCCAAATTATATTTTTTGAGCAACCGCCGCGCACTGTCGACTGGTAAGAGGGACGCCACGGCACTATCGATTGGTAAGAGAGACGACACGGCGCTATCGATTGGTAACTAGAGATGCTATATCCCGCGAGTGGGTACATCAGTGAATCAATCAATGAGTCTCTTTTATTTCGGCTTGCTATCCGGGGAGCTGCCGCGGTCCGAGGCCCGCTGCGAGAAACGGGGAGAACCCCTACTCTGTTCTATGATCCTACCTGATTGTCGATATTGGTAGTTCATGTCATGAGTCGCGCTGATGTTTGTTCAACGTATCTGATTTTTTTCGGAGTTTTTAACTGTTGCGAAGCAAGCATGCAGCTAATTAATCCAGTATTTATGTCCTTACGACATACATGAGCAGTCTAGATCTAAGCGTATCGACTTAATTCAAAAACACATGGATAAGTGCAGAAAGAAAGTGAGAAAGTTCTGAAAATAAAACACAAAAAAAAGAGAAATCTGCATCTCACTCCCTTGAGACACCTTAGAACGAAAAGCCACTCCTTTGCATCCTAATTATAATGTTTTGAGACAATACCTCGTGCTAGGTAAATGAGTGAATGAATGAATGAGTGCTACTCTGAATGGGTATACTGTAAGATTCTCATCAAGTAGTAGTTCAGGCCAAAGCAAGGAGTAACAAAAAACTAACGCGAACTCACATCCGTTCGTGACGTGGCATTCTTCTAGTAGTTAGAAATACTTTGAACCTCATCCATGTTTTTCGCATGGTAATTTTTTCGGATCGTGGTCATTTCCTATGAGCAAACGTGGCCGTGACGTAATGTCGTACTATTTCTTGTAGCTCGCTCGTGGTCTGATCAGATCAGAATGAAAACTACATGAAATATCTTCACACTAAAATGGTGAAAAAGAAAAAAGGCTAGTATTATTAAAATGACCGGTCGCACTACGTGCGTGATCTTGTACCCGCGGCGAATGGGCTGCCGCAATCGTCATCCTTTGCATCTCTTGTCGATATGATCAATATGAAGACTAACATACTACGAGAAGAATACGAAGAAAAGAAGCACACAAAGAACAGACGACATTGAATGTTAAATTGAATAATCATCCTTGATCTTAGTAGCAGGAAGTCCTACTCGAGTTTGAAGCTACATCCTGCAGGGTGACTGGTCCAGCGTGGGATGGATGAGGAGAATAGCTCCGAGCCTTAGTTCTTGCTCGGCAAAAAACTATATCCCGAACTAACTTGTTAGTGGGGGCCGTCGGATGACTTGGTTGGTGGTGGTTTTCTAATTGAGTGGACGAAATGAAGTAGATGCTCTCCGGAGTTCACACTTTCAAGCAAGATTCCTATTATTTACTATGGTTATTTGACTGATATTGTCACTGCTATCTCGTGTGGTGCGCGGCATATGCTGTGATGTTATCACGTGCCAAGTATCCGACACCAAACCAATTGATCTTTCTTATCAAGAAAGGAAAGGACTGACAAGATGTTTTGAGGTTCGTTCCTATCGTCTCCATGATGGCGCGCGCACAGCTTGAAACAATGAAGGGATTAGCGTAGAAGTTCATGCGTCGCTGCCGCCAAGTAGTTCATAGTTGGAGTACAAGAAAGTAGTCGTCGCAGCATGGTGCGACTTGAGTAGATTACCTTTGAATAGCCATGCCAGACTCTCATGGTCGTTGTTGAGTACCAACTCCTCCCGAGGATTCGAGAAGCACAGCAGTACCCAGCCCCCTTCTTATAGCCGAGGCTTGTCACAATAAGACCGAGACTCGTCACAATAGGGCTGAGCCTCGTCACAGTAAGAGCGAGACCGTTCACAGTAAGGCCGAGACTAGTCAAAGCAAGTCGCAGACTAGTCAGAGTAATGCCGAGACTAGTCACAGTATGGCTGAGACCAGTCAGATTAAGTTCCAGACTAGTCAGAGTAGTTGGAGATTAGTCAGAGTAAGGCTGAGGCTAGTCAGAGTAAGTCTCAAATTAGCCAGAGGCGCTCTCAAATTAGTCAGAGTAAGACTGAGACTAGTCAGATTAAGTTCCAGACTAGTCAGATTGAGTTACAGAGTGGTCAGAGTAGGTTTGAGATTAGTCACAGGAAGTTGCAGACTGGTCAAAGGAGGTTTGAGATTAGTCACAGTAAGCCCCAGACTAGTCAGAGGACCCGCCACAACTCCCACCACTCGAACGCAACTCGTCACAACTCCCACACCTAACAAATAACGCAGCGCGGCTTCTTCCTAGATCTTTGGCCTCACTAAACAACTTGGGGTAACTAAGAGCCTTGATATAGAGCAGATCATACAAATAAGAAATGCTACTACCCAAGCATGGCTGGCGTTGATGTTTAAAGCTCAAAGGCAGTTCTTGCTGCGACGTGCAGCAAGCATTATTGTTGTGGCGATGCTGTTGGAGAATTTCCGAGTGTCGGCGGAGTCACTGTCGCCTTAGGAGCCGCGCATCCAGCATTGTAATGGGGAACTGGCAAAGAGGCACCAGCTTCTTCTCGTTTTTCATTATCATGGGAGAAGAGGGGCGATGGCTTCATGTAGAGCCTTGTAATTGTACCGATCGAGAACATGACCATTAAGGAAATCCGTCACGCGCGCGAATGACTTTAACACCATTAGACAGAATCATGGGGTAACAGGTAAAATGACATAACATGAGCCGTCTTCTATCATGATGACAAGAACAGCAAGGACCTATTGTTTTCACTATGTTTCATAGAACATAAATGTAGATGTAAACTTAAACCCTAAACCCAACCCAAACCCTAAATGCTTGAAAAGGACTTGGACTAGCTACAGGAACAAAAGATCAGTAGAGCAGTTTGCCTTCACGTTGTCGCTAAGGCGGGACGTCAGAGGCAGATTGACGATCAATGATGGTCAATCTACTAGTAAATAGATGTCTTATCAATATCGTATAGAGTGAATATAGAATGATTGGGGTGCTGAAGATGAAATTGAAAATAATAGTAGTCGATTCGACGACAGTCTTCTAGCTGTGGTGTTGTTAGCAAGAAGTAGAAGTCGTTCGAAGACCCCTTATGCGACTGCCCCCCGCTCTTCGTGCGGCTACCGTTCTCTCTCTCTTATGAAAGAACAAGCGACAACAGGAGAGATCTCCTCTTGATGTTGTAATGTTAAGATAAAAAATTGGCCACGACGACCTTCGCGGCAGTGGCACAAGTCAGGATCGATCATGTGCTATTGTTGATGACACCAGGATGATAGTATGTATAAGCACAAAAGTCTATCTTTTGGGATAGTCCGAGACGACCATGGCTTAATGTCAACAATGATTCGAGTCTTCCATAATAATCTTCGGAGCCTGTTCGGGAGACTCGATAGGGCAGTTGAGGTACGAAACGTCGTATTATCACTCGGTCGCACGGACTCACTCGCAACTACTTGTATATGTCGGATCTTGTTGAGTCGGTACTTGATATCTCGGATCTTGTTGTGTGTCGGAAAATAGTAAATTGAGAGAATGGAAGCTTTGTGTATTTCACTTCACCCGAGGCTATGCATCGTACGCCTGTCTGTTGCTTGCGAATCGCACTGCGCCCCATGCGTGTGGGTCTCAATTACAAAAAATAGAAATTTTTTGTGAAGTCTCCAAATCTCCAAATTCAAGTCTGGTTTGAGTGAGACCCCTTGAGGTCCTGTGATGATCGACCTCGTAATCGATCTCGTGATCGCTCGAAAGAATGAGAGAAGTTGCCCCGAGCTTATTTTTGTGAAGAGGAGCAATACTATGGTTCCAATCTTTATTGCATCTCCGTTTTTTTCAAACATCTTGACAATTTTGTTTTTTTTTTAATATCTTCAATCATGGCTGTAGTTAGTATCTTGTTCTTTTCATATCTACTTGGCCCCTACTTACTTTGTAACAAATGCAAAAGAATTTTTCTCACACATAAGAACGAGCAGCATTAGATATTACATCTTCTACTTGGCATTACATCAATATCTGCACAGATTCATTGCAAAGAAATGAAACCTCTGTTTCCATCCAAAAAGTCTATGAGAGTCTTTCTTTCGTAGTCAGGGCTCTACCACAAGTATATGATAATGGTGATCGAAGATGTCGTATCCTGAACATGGTGGTCGCATGTTTGTAGAGTCCGAACAGGGTGCCAAGCGCCGCATCGTCGAGACAAGCCCAGTTCCTGCAAGCAAAACAAGCTCAATATCGACTTCGCCGACGCCCTCGTCTTTCAGTGGTACCACGAATATCCAGAACATGTTGCCGGGGATGGGAAAGAACAAAGTCGATGGCAGTACGAATGTTACGGCTTGCAGAAATGCATCTTACCCAGCATCCGGTGCCTGTTTCCGAAGGGAAAACAGACTACACCAAGATGCTCTACGAGATGGATTTTTTCCAGGTCTAATAGGGGGGACTCGGGAGGTGTACTCTTGGGCCTCGTTCCAGGTGCTCTGCCAACGCCATTGTCTCCCTCGCGGCGGAACCTTCGCCTCACATCCGAGTCCCAGAAGCGAGCTAGCGAGTATCTGATGTTGTTTTTAGAAGAATAGTAGCTAGACTTGTCAACTACGCGCTGTTGATGATGGAGAATGAAGATCATTCGAAGTGCACTGACGATGATGTCAACAGCATGTTTTTAGAAGAAACTACAGGAACTACTTGCTGTAACAGATATTCGACGTAAGAAGTTTATTTCTATCCTTTGCCTTCGCGGCACCTCTCCACCCTGTTCTCAGCCCCATCCATCTTTTTATCACATTCATAATCTTGCCAACAAAACCTTTGAGGGCGCAACCACCGTTGGTATCGCAGCATCGCAGTGAAAGCGGTCTGACGCCTCTTTCCCAATCGGATTCGGAACAGGCAGTCCAACATTATGAAGCAGGACCTCTTACTACTCCATCGCAAGAAGTGCAGGACAACATTGCTGTATCCGAGGGAGATGTAGAGATGGGAGAGCACAACTCGGCACAACAGGTTGACCATGCTGTTGATGAAGTCGCACACCTAGAACAAGATGACTCAAAGGAAGCCGAACTAGATCATGCTTTGATGCAAATCGTAGACGAGCAAGGACAACATCAACAAGAGGAAGGACACGAAGTAGGACAAGAAAATATTGCGGGAGAAGTGTTACACGAAGAGCCATGGATTATGCCATGGCGTGCAGCCTTGGGAGCAGCGCGGCAACATCAACGTCGGGCTTTCCCAGAGAGGAACCAGCAACAGCACCGCCTTCAAATTCATAGACAGCAGGTAGTCATGTTGATTTGAATTTTGACTTGGAATCTTCTTTGAATCAATTGCATATGAGAATTGTCAAACTATTGATGTTGGTCCATGAAGATAAGGTGATGTTGGTCCTACTACATCATCTATGATCTCTGGTCATACTTCACTTCGTGATGGAGGACCTAAGATGTAGGTGGACCTAAGATGTAGTGGCTCAACTACTACATCTGGACCTAGTACTTCGTTGCAAAATCAAATAGAACAGATGTTAGTCCATGAAGATATGGCATCATCATCTTGTACTCTACTCCTAGAACGAACAGGCGGCCCGTGCAGGCCCGCTGCCTGGTCAGGGGTGGGATGCGCGGAAGAGGGGTGCGCACTTCAGAAATCAGATTGACGAAGCCAGTTTTGATGGTGGAGGCGGCCATAATTTTTTCGCAAGCGACGTTTTCTATCTGGATTTCAATGCCGGAGTTGAGAAATCCTATGGCCGCAAGAAGCGTGGAGGCGGCGGCGGTGCAAACAACGCCAGCAGCAGTAGCAAATCATCGACTTCTTCTGCTAATACTTCTACGAAAAATCAGAATGAGAATCAGGATTCCACGTCGTCTGCGTCCTCGACAAGTAAGGGTGGCGCAGTGTCCTCGTCCTCGTCCGGGCAGGCTGTTGCAAGCTCCTCTGAAATGTTTGCGACGGGAGGAGTGGCGTTTGTGAGCGTCACGCCGGCTGCAAATTATGAAAATGTGATGTCCTTCTTTATAATGAGTTTTTAGATTTGCGTACTGACATTGAGTAAGTAAATGAACAGACTGTGCATGCCAGCAGGTATTTTCCCTGTGATATGGATCATCAGGAAAGATTCTCATCGTGATAACGTCCCTACTTCAGATATATATTTTTAAGACACATACATACATACATACATACATACATACATACACACATACATACATACACACATACAGACATACACGCACACACGTACACACACACACGCACGCACATACATATACAGACATACACACATACATACCTCATACCTCCACTTTCGTACTGTAGAGGGACAGGATCCCTCGGTAGTTATATGTCTTGTCAGCTTTTATATGATCATGGCATCCCTTTCCCTTTCCGTCCTTCATACTTGAAAAGAGGAGCAGCAGCTTGATGACTCAAGACAGAAGCCTCGCTTTCGTGACCGTAATCAGAGTGGTGGACTCCTTGGGGCGTCCGCAGGACTGGAGCAGTTAAGGCCTCACTTAATCCATCTTTTAGCTCATCTGTAAGCTGTCTTCAAGTAGAAAAATGGACACAGGTGGGGAACGAGATGCCTTGTAGTGAGTTCTAAAACAAGAAGACACGCAGGAAGAGCCACCACAGCAGCAGCTGCCAATTGATCCGCAGCCTGAGCCGAGACCTCTGGCTCCGACGGCAGACGACTCGTCCTGTCAAGCGGGCGGACGTGGCTGCTCCAAGAAAACGCCTGAGCGCTCGTCGCCAGGACAGTTTGCTGGTATAGCTATGTATATTTGTATTTTTGTATCAGCTGCGTTCGTGTGGATTCATAGAAAAGGCAATCTGAATCCCTACATTTTTGTATTTCGGAACTTGCTTTGATGGTGAGAGAACTGAGAATGATATCATCGATCTTCGTTTGGAAGCATCATGAAGAACCCTATTTCATGGCACACTATTTCATAGTTTTCTTCTATACCTGTACCTAGACCGGGTACACCACTACTACTACTACTACTACTACTACTACTAATACTACTTCTACTACGACTACTACTACACCTAGGCACCCACAAGAATAAGAATACTTTGGTGCTTCACATATGCGCCCTGGATATATATTCAAGAACTCTGGTTATCAAGAATAAGAAAATTCTGTTGCCGTGGATTTTGGTGCTTTCTTTCAACAGCTAAACACGACTAGATCCTTATTCTCGTGGGTGCCTACTACTGCGCTTGTTCATGCGCTTCAAGGTGGTGCTACTACTACTGCGATTGCTACTACCTATTTCATGGCACATCGAACGCCCTGCATTTAGGTCGCTGTCAATTCTGTGGGAAACCTATCATTCGTGGGAGCCTTCGTGTGGTTGAACGCGTGCCTTATCGAGGAGGCGGAAAAAATTAAGAAAACCACTTATTTTCACGCTCACGTCGACGCAAGTAGCGCGATACTTTGGATCGAAAATAAAAAAGCATTCTGCTCGCCCTTCAAAATAAGAAGTCTTCCATCCCCCATTTAGTAATTTAGTTACGAATTTTTGAAAATACGATAGTAACTCTACTCTTACATCACCCGCTCTACCAGGGCTGGTTATCTCATCATCATAACTCTAATTCAAGTTTTTCCATCCGGAGTGCTTCTGTGACCTGTTTGGGACCGAGCTAGATCTCGTCGACTTGTCGTCTATTGAGGTACCAGAGCAGGTTGAGGAAATGCGCTTGCGTGCTATTTTGAAGCGCATGAACAAGGGAACACAGTGATGCAAACTGGCCTCTCTGTTGTTTCTACAAGGAGAAAGACGGAAAAGTTTAAGTAAGGGTAACATCTTCTACTGGTCCGGTAATTGATATCGTCTGTTACAACATTAGAGGATGATAGGTCTAGGTGGACGAACTAAATGAACTTAGAATGATTGCGAACAAGAATACCACATCCCTTCTATATCATTTATAGGTGTTCGATTTTCACTTATGTCTTCAAATGAACTAAGTTGTTGAAAGGTTTCGCGCTCTAAAAGCAAGATAATGGTATATTCGGTTTCCCCATAGTCATTGCTCTTACTTGAAAATGGTAATGTAGTTAGGTAAGAAAAAGATGCATTTTGAACTTAACTTGTCATCGCGCGTAACTTGTCCAGCATTAGCCTGACCTTAGATGTCTACTAATTTTATGAACTACTTCAACGGAGCGACTATTACAGGTGGCTCCCATGAAGATTTTTTCTCGATATTTGTTACACAGTTGAATAAGGTTTAAGAAGATTTCTAATTTATGAACTACTTGACATTCGAAGTATAAAATGAACTGTGTTTAGTCTGTGATGTAGAATAGTGCATTATTTCATTCGCCTGAAGCTCACAAGACAAGGACCACTGAAGTATATTGCAGGACGAATGTTAAAGAACTTCTTGCACAGAAGAATAGACGAGTCTACTGACGACGAGATTGGTCCAACGAGAATCAATTTTTGTGAACACCTCTTGAATCTTGACGCTGCTGGTGCTTGATGTCATAATACTAGAAGAGAATATAATAGTTGGATTTGAAGACTTACCAGAAGAAAGTAACGTTTGCCGCATACAAATTTTTGTAACAGTCGTGGGTCTCCTTCGTCGAGAACTTGTTTGAACTAGAAATCGTTGTCTTTCATCTCAGCGAGCTCCCGCATGAGCCTCAGTCTTACACCCATCTTCAGATACACAGCACGCAAATTCTGTGCAAAGAAAGCGAGATGTTCGTCCCTTGTGTAGCAATAGAAACGAGCATGATGAGTGGGTTCTTTCAATCTTTACACGAGCAAGAACTTACCGCGACTCGTCAAGGCGTATCGTGTCAGGATTTTCTATGCATCTTTCCATTTATATATTTGATTAACACATACCTGCTGTTGCTGTTCCATCTTCAGCGTATCTATTGTGGTGCCCCCTACCCCTCCCTTGTGCATCGGTACTTTGATGCATGTTGAAATCCCTGAAGAGAGAAGTTGTCTCGAAGTCCTATGAGATTCTAATACAACAGACGCAGATTGCATTACTAGTATAAGAGCTCCCGTTATGCGCATACTGATTTTTGTAACTGCAGTCGTGGCGCTTAGAGTATTTTCGCGCTTCGAAGATTCACTTGGTTGTTGTGGTCTCCTCTTCTCGTCTTTAAACGCAAAGGGACGCTCTGTATTCTCAGCATGATAAGGAAGTCACTAGTCCAGCTAGCCGCGCTTGTATGAATACTTGCAATTTTCACGTCTTGATGAGTAAAGTTATAGTTGTTTGTTGTCTTTGACTTTCTCCGTTCTTGAAAAAGCCTTTCGTCCATTTTTGGTTAACCCCTACGCCATCGTAAATGGATCAAATCTCCTGCGCCATTTACCTCCTTGGTGTTACACTCATTTAATTGGTTTTGTCTTCATGTTTTGTTTTCGAAATCTGCCAGCATAGGATGACGTGCGGCTTTTTCTGCTGGTAAAAACAAACGGTCGCCTCGAATTACTGCTTTTTTGTGCAGTACAACACGACGAAGAGTCGAGTTTCAGAAGCTGAGTGGATCAACGTAGCAACTACGCTTACTGTAGTTCGCAAGCCGCCTCGGGACATCAACATGTTTTTACGCGCTGAACACCGCGCTTGTTGTGATGCTGTCGCACGTGGCGATCTACTGGATTGAGCAACTTATTACCCTCAGCTTAATTGTGAATCGAAAGCACACGCTTGTTCGCCAGCAGAAGTCATCCTCGATACGCACCCAGCAGAAATGTCGCAGGTCGTGAAGCAGATGAAGATTCGAGGGCCGCAAGGACCTTCAGCTGAGCAACCATGCCCCGTTTGCTTGCAAAGCGGCCGGGTGATGACGATGTGCTGTCGCTGTGCGCAAGACGAGGTCCAGGGACAAGTTTTGTTAAGGCCAAATTCGTTGAAATTGTGTAACCTCTGCTACATGCTTGAATCTTACAACCAGATGGACATTATATGTAATATAGGTAGGAATCGATCAACATCACGTTCGCGCTTGTGAATGTAAGACCACTGTAAGTAGATGATAAATATTAATATCTCTAATCGTAGCGGCGCTTGAACGAGAGCGGCAGCAGCTAGAGCGAGACGGCCGTCGCCTGAGGGAGCGCGCGAGCGCACAGAGATACGCACGCCGCACCACGTTAGCTCGAACGCAGCGTGAAGTGACACTACTACGACAGGAAGTCGACGTATCCTTCGCATATAATGTTGAATTCAAAATCTGTGAAATAATCAGAGCGCATACGTCCCATGGTCATCTTGTTTGATACTGAGAATTATAATGCCCATTCATCCTATACCTATTCCCCTCAATCACATCATCAAATCATGTACAGGAAAGGACTCGATCTGTGGAGGATCTGCGGGCGTTGCTCAGAGACCGCAAGGCACAAGTCGCCCGAAAGCGCGAGGAAGCTCCGGACTTGCGAGCTGGATTCGAGAAGAACATCGTTGCACTTCAGTCGGATCAGGCACCCTTCTACAACTATACGCAAAAGCGTCAAGAATCACACTCGCGTACGATCTCTAAGACTAAAAGTGGTGGAGCTGAAGGTGTAGAGACCTCTGATGCCTCCAAAATCAACAAGGATGCGCCGAATGATGGGGAAGTAGATGCTGTATCATCGTACAAACCTCCCGTCGCTGGTTTTCGAGCACTAGTACCTTTTGCCCGACTGCGCCAGCAGCTCTCAGAAGATGCACTTAAGAAAAGTCTAATATGTAGATTATCGAACCGGTGAAGACTGATGAAATTAGTTTCCGACTGGAAATAGTTACGAAAATTGTTTTGTCAAAATCTGGGTTTATTTTAACGTTATAGGAGTTGTATAGACAAGGACAACATAAGTAGGTAACACCTAACTACATCAGGAAATCGTGGCATTCCCGCTTTATAATTGGTCCCTAAGTACTAGTACTTAGACTATCATTCTTATCCCCTTCTAAAGCTTATGGTGCCGGTCGGCCGAAGCTCCCAGCATTCCATATGTTGCGCGAACTGGTAGCAGTGGCTTTGCGGTTACAAGACGAGCGCAGGCGGAAATGCTTGGAACTCGTGATGATCTTTCCACTGCAGAAGGTCGAGCTGCAGCAGCAGTCGCCTAAAGCCGCTTCAGCGACGGGTGCAACTAGTTGTACCTTTTTTAGCACAAGTAATTTTTATACGTCGCAGGAGGAGAGTAATACGTTTCCCGAGGTGACGAGACGGTTGTCTTCAAAAACTGAAGGACCAGAACGCACAGGCACAACGGTTGCTTTTGGTGAAGAAGCACCAGGTTTTCAAGATGGTCCTGGAGGAGAGCAGGTTTCACTTGCTTCTGCACAACAGAGCAGTTCTTCCACAAGACCTGTTGACCACAACCACTATCCACTACATGGAGAGGCCCAACGTAATAGCAGGAAGTTAGCCGTGACGCAAGGCGATTTTCTCCTTGAAAGAACGACATTGGTCGTGCTGGGGCAGATCCAGCACTTCGAAAATTTCAGACCTGGAGAGGCCCTACCAATGTCCGTGGTGAGCAACCTAGACGAATCTTTGGGGTACCTCTACATCATTCTGCGTTTTCTGGCTGCATATCTCGATGTGCCGTTGCCGTTCCCCCTAAGGACGCTGCCCCCCAACGCTAGTCAAGTTGGGGCACGCGCTTGCGGAAACCTCTTCATACAGAAAACAAGTCTGGTCCGAAATCACGATCAATCCTTGCATAGTAGATTAAGTACTGCTGGTACCGGTATTGGAGCTTCTGGAGGAGGCGCACCTGCGCATCGTGGTCCACCACCTGAACGGTCTTCATATGCTGCAGCTTCTTTCTCATCATCTACTTCTATAACTACTAACTACGTCGAGCAAGGAACACGATTTGGTCAAGTTGTACATGCTGGAATCTTAAGTGGTCCTTCTAGCGTGTCTTCTGCTTCTACCGCGATAACCGAAAGCGCAACCGCCTATAACATGCGTCGTTTTTTTCGTCGGGCGAGCGCTGCGGTAGTCGATAAGGTACTCAGTGAGGACGATCGGAGCCGCTTCCTCCCACAGAAAATGCGCGCAGTACTCTCAGAACGATGGCAGGGCTCCTCAGAGGGTGTTAAAAACTCCGCATCAGAACGTTCGGAAGATGTATTTGAGAATGTACAACTTGCTACCTCTGGTGGAGGACAAAGTTGCTTTATCAACATGAACCAACCTCTGCTCCCGAGGCCTCTAGCTCTGCATATGATCGACAGAAGCGAAGTGGGGTTTAAACTAGTAAAGTACCGTGTCGTCACGCGCGAGTTCGTCGAGGCCTGTGCACTAGTGCGGGAAAATGTTCGGACGTTGGCAGAATGGCAAGGCGTCCTGCGACAAAAAGCGGCTCCCCGCAGGCGCGATCGGCTTGACAATCTTCCTCTTTTCATCAACGTGAGGGGTAGAGGCCCTAGAAACTTTTGTTACAACTTATACAGCACGAGTCGTGAAGATAGGCGTAGAAGACGAGGAGCAGGTGGTCATGGCGAGGAAGAGCTTTTTGAAGATCAAAGAAGCACGAGCCGCAGTAGCGATGTAAGACAACGTGAATGTCGACAAAGAGGTAGAAAAGCAAGTCAACACTCAGATGCGCTTAAGGGAAAGGGAATAAACAAGGCAAAGAAGGACAACAGTATTGCTTATGGTGAAGAGGGAGCACTTCCAGAGTCGGGAGACGCAGGCCCAAAAGTTCTGAGCCGACTCTCTGCAGCGTTCACGAGCGCTGCACGATGGCTGGGCACTGTCAACGAGGAGGAAAATGAGTCGCCTGAGGAGGAGAAAAGAGATTCTACCAGAGGCTCCAGAGACCGATCGATCAGAAAAATGTCTAACGAGGCGACTGAGATGAAAGCTGCACGAGGCGTTTCAACTACAGCTGCACGACCCGTGTCAACAACTGCAGTAAGCAAACGTGGACTGAAAAACAAATTAGCTCCACTTGAGGGCGCAGCTTATCATGAGCCTTATCATGACGATCCATTGGCAGACAAAACCTTGTTACATGTTCTAATGGCAATCGTTAATAGCGAGCATTTAGGCTGTCTCTATCCCCCATCGCTATCACGACATCCAGATGAGGGAGTTCGACGTGATGGATACGATCTTGACAGCGATTCTGGTAGCGATCAGGAAGATGAAGATTATGGGAGAAATTTTCCAGGTAGCAGCGTCTCGGCAGGAGATCGTAGGAATTTCCGTGACCGAAATGGACGCGGAGAACTACCCGACGAAGAATTTCCGAAACAAGAAAAGCAGAGGCGGGAAGCATCAAATCATGAGCATAACAATGCTAAAAACCGCGAGGACGTCGAGGAGATATCCTCGAGGCGAAGAAGCGGTCGGACAAGTCGCCAGGGGCAGCCGGCCACTACTTCCAGACTGAAAAACAGTCTGGACGAAAATGATAACGCATGGACAGTGGTTGAATAGTTCTTGTTGTGGTCGTCAAAAAACCTGTTGAAGTTGTACTAGTACAGACATCGAAATTATTTGAGAAACCCAGAAAACCCCTAATTTCATATTTTTCACCACATCATAGGTGAACAAAAATTTTCCACACTAAGCCTCCATATTTTATCATTATTCATTTCCACAGCGAAGTAGAAAGAAAAAGAAACAAATATGGCGACCAGGACGGTCCTTTCTCTCTCTCAAGGTGATGTTCTTTCTTGTACATTTATCAGAATCAGGCGGCCATCAGACGGGACGGGAGTCGTGTCATTGTCCTAGTTGCAAGTAGATGAAGCTCCGACATTGTGGTCATCTAGTCTGGCGTGTTGTGATGCTCTACATTGAGATCTATGGGTTCGTCTGTCCTGTGCGTCGAAGGCGCCTTAACAAAAAATGGTGGTCTGCTCTGTCTCGTCTCTGTGATGACGCGCCTCATATGAGCATCAAAAACATCTTGTAGACTTACCCCTCCAAGCAGCATATGAGCATCTAAAGGAATAATCCATCGATGATTATATATAATTAAAGAGACACTGTCGCGTGCGGATGCGCAGCAAAAAAGGATACCTTGGTGGCGACTCGCTTACAATACATCCAAAAATTAGCTGGGAACGTGAAGATTATTCAAATGAACAATACAACCTGAGTCGTGGTAGATTTCGCTGTTGATCTTCCTTTGCATTACAGGGCCCGGAGGGGCTGTTGGTGGTCTCTTCTCGCATGTGTCTTTAGTAGCATGAACATGTCGATGTCTTATTTCGTTTACGCAGTTGTGGCCTACCCGAACGCGAATATTAGGGGTAATTACTTAGTCTAGTTGGACTCGGATGGCGGTGTGCACGCAGAAGCACTCAGTGGTCTTGTAATCTGCACCTCAGCTCTAGCTGTGTTTGCTGGGATCACGAGCCCTTGGATCACGAGCCAGAACAGAAGAAGGTGCTGATAGGTGTCGAAGTAACGAAGGCCTTTTTTCGTTTTTTTGCGAAGTGGAAGAGCGGCTAACAGGAGAGACTCAAGTCAGAGGAGGATACGCAGTATTTTGCACAGGCGGGCGCAGAGGACGGTGAGCAGAAGAGGGCGGCGAGCAGAAGAATCCATTCGCTGAGCTCCGAGACCGGAGGTGAGCAGAAGAACCAAAGCCTCGAAGCATCTTCTGGGAGGCACAATAAGTACCCACCTCCTTGGTAAGATTACAACCTCTGGCACGACGTGTACCGTACAAGTAGGAGATCTTCGATTGAACCAGTACCAGTATTGAAAAAAGATGCCCACCACGGCTCCCGCATCTGGAGCTTCAGGCTCACGCACCCTGCGCATTTCCTACGGCGACAAACTTTTCGACTGGTTTGATGTCGACGAGGAGAAGGAAATCGTACTTCAAGAAGACGCTTATTGGCTGAGTACAAAATTGAAAGTTTCTGCTCGGGTGAAGAGAGAGTCCAAGAGGAAATTCAAATTACTTATTTTCAGTTTTTAATACTGTCTTCGATAACGTCAAGGCAAGCGCTAACTCATATATCAAGAAAACAAGACACTCTAAGTTCTCCAAATCGCGCACCACATCACTCAACCTCAGATTAACGCACCCGATGTAATCAAGATCTTGAAGGAGAATGTTGCGCACTATTTTCAAGTCGGGGTGGAGCAGCAGATCCTCTTCGACGAGGAGGGACCGATTACTACACCAGCCGAATTACGGCGTAGTTTGAAATGTGCCGGAAAGCCACGGGTCACGGTGGCCGACGCGAAGAAACTCAATAAAGACCATGCCGAACAGTGGCAGGCTTACATGAAAGACGTCCAGCACCTGGTCACGAACAACGCGGAACTAAGTAAATCTATAGCAGGAAGATACATTTAGCTACGTGTTGATTTTTTCCCAGGACCGATAGAAAATAATACGGCTACGACTCAGGAGCTCATGATATTCTGTAAGAAACGAAACTCACTTAGCATTTTACGTCTGTTTGAATGAAGCATAAGTTGTAGACGTTTGGTCGCAGTACATTACTTGTAGCACACTGCCACGACAACTTCTAATGCTTCCAAAATGAAAATATCAGATGACGCCCTCACCAAAGCGTTAGTGCCGCCACTGCCAATGGCTCCGCTTGGCGATCACTTTGGGCGAGCGCGCTCCTTGACACCTCAGCTGCGACTGAATAGGGGAATCTCTCCGCAGCCAGGTAAGTACTTACATTGCTCGACGTGTTATGCTTAAATGTCTTTTTTTTGGGTAGCGGTCTTGAGGTTAAAGCTACAGCACAGAGTGTGCAACTTTTCTAAGCACCCCATCTTGATTCTACCAATTACAGGTCTCAGTATGCCACTGATGCCGTCTGTGCCTATGAGGGCCCAGGCGTCACCAGCGACAGGCGGTGGGCGCGGTGGAGGGGCTTTCCCTGGTTTGATCTTCGGGAACGGCGTCGCCAGCCATGTGGGGGCAGCGGGGGGCACTGGTCACGGTAACAATAACGGTGCGAGTGGAGTCGGTGGAAGCGCTGCTTACCGAGCAACGAGTGTGACGCCGTCTGGTACCACACAACAAGCAGGCGGCCATGTGCCACCAGCCGCTTTTATACAGGCGACAGCGAACACGTCAGCGCGATCACACATAGCTGCCGACCAAGTTGTGACGAATGGTAGCGCGGTATTCAATGCTGCGGGGCAAAGAGTGTTCGTCGGGGGTCAACATTCCGGCGCGATGACTACCACGACTGCTGCAGGAGCAGCCGTTAACGGTACTGCACTAGGAGGAGCCACAAACAGTACAACAGCACCAGCTCAGTCGACGGTCGCGCCAACGACGACAACAGTGGGGAGCGCACCTCAGACTACCGGTAGCGGAAACGCAACGCCGGCACCCGCTTTGGGCGTAGGCAATATGATTACGCCCCCAGTGCTTCGGTCACCGATGATACAGGCAGCAAAACTGATGAATTTTGGAGACCGAAGCAGCAGCGTGATGAATGGCGGAGCGCCGACCGCAAGCCCGATGCCAGGACGCAGCTCTGGCACAACAACAGTAGGCTTCGCCACGCCTGCTCCCGCCGGATTCACGGTTGGACCGACTGCGCAAACGATGCCAGGGGCTACCGGAGTGCCGTCCTCGACTGCGGTTCCTGGTCTGGGCAACGTAGCGCCAAAGAAGATCCTGGTTCAGGGCGCAACAAATAGCGCTGTGAATGGACAGCATAACAGTTTGATGGGCCTTGGGGGAGGCGTTCCTCAACAAATGCAGAATCAAAATGGCCGAGTACAACCTGTTGCAGGTGGTGGAGTCAACACAGCCTCTGGAGTGAGCCCTGGTTTCAGTTTCTACCCTCACGTCAGTAGCGGATCGAGCTCGACCGTGGGTTATCCAGGCAGCAACAGCAGTTCTAAACAGTCCGCAGGTGCTCAGCAAGTTGTGTCCTCTGCACAGCCAACCTTAACAGGAGCTACAGCCACTGCCAACAAGCAAGTAATTATCGACTATAAGAATGTCAACGTACAACTGACTAGTAACAACAACTCAGGGGGTCTAGTAACACAAGTTCCACAGACAACCACCACCACAACTACGGTGAAGAAAATATCACCTTCTAGTTCACAGCCTGTGTTCACTACCACAATTCCTGCGAACGCGGCACAAACGATTAGCACACAGTTGCATACTCATTCGTCTGCCGCAGGGGCAGGTTTAGAGCAAGTGAGTAGCCAGCCTTTGCCTTACCCCGATCACGGCGTGGGGACGCCGCCACTTACTGCGGCCGCTCCATATCGAAGACATACAGATGAATCCACGGGACGACACGTACTTTACTTGATGCACTAATTTTACTTTTTGATTAGGTTTTTTGTGTGTAAAAGCTTTTCATCTGTGTACTTGATTACAGCTGTCACTGAGTCTCGATCAACACTCCCTCAAACAAGTGCATTATTTACTTCTAGTTCCCCTTCTTCTTCTTTTTGATTTTGTGTTTTTCCTAGTTAGGCTGGCTCGACCACTATGTATTGTATTTATAATCTCTAGCAGGGCTTTTCACTCACGAATACACAGCAGGCGACATCAGCGGATGGTGAAGATAAAACACCTGCATCGGCAGCGGGTGGTGCAGTTGTAACCGAGCAGGTAGACCAGCGGCAAGACTTTCAAGCTGGCGCGTCTCAGCAGTCTGTGTTGACACACGAGCAAGCGTCTGCTCTGGCAGGTTCAACCCGTCCAGACCAGGTAGTAGAGCCAGTACATGTACAATCGGGCACTACCGGTCCTGAAACTACAACCACGGGTCCTGGTACAACAACCGAGCCGGTCTTTTCTGAAGTCTTTGCCGAGCAAAAGCAAATCGTTTTGGAGCTAGACAAAGCAGATCTAAGCGACAGATTCGGTTTCTCAAGTGTACCTTACGCACACGGCGGACTGGAGATCACAAGGGTGGATAGAGGTAATTGTTCTTGATCTGAGCCATTTTTAGTATAAGGAATACCTTATTTTTTTTTTCAGATAACAACTTGCTCTTTGTTATCCCACCTTGTTGAACCCGATTCTTAAGACTGATGTTGTTTCTTTTTCTCAGGTGGATTATTGGCGCAATGGAATACGGTGCGCCGGTCAGGTGGTCCTATGAACATGGTGGGCGTAGGCGATGTAATCCTCTTAGTGAATAATCTGGGACCAGCCGATGGGGAGGCAATGCGTGGCCAACTTGAGACGTCGAGAATTCAACTTCTTGTGGCAAAAATGCGTGGCTAGACGACAGATGCAATTCCAATTTCATGCTCCTGTATATAGACATACGCCACAGAAGTACAAGAACAGCCATCAAGAAAAGTCAATACATGCTCATCTTTTTTCCCTCTCTTTGTAACTAAGCACTGTACCGAATATTTATCCAGTAGATTCACTTTGTAGCCAAAGAAGTGATGGCATTTTCTTGCTTCTAGATAGGACGAGGAATTAGACGAAGACGTGCCGTCGATAGGAAGACAAGACACAACATCGATCCGCTGCGCTCAGTACACGGACTTCTGCTCCACTAAATACTTCACTGTACCACAAGAAAACTGACAACTCATCAGTTTATCATTTTGCTCAGTTATTTTGTGGTCGAAGATGGTTTCTAAACAGTGGATTCTCCTAATAAATCGGTTATGACATCACAGAAAGAAGCTTTTTTACCGAGCAACAGTTTCCCCTGTTTGCTCTGGGATGCTTGTCTGACTGATGGGGCCTTTTCCGTGCCTTCTTCGCATACGTTTGGGAGAGCAGACGCGAGCATTCCAGGAGAGCTTCTTCCTACAAGAGGTAGACTTGTCTTTGAGTTTCATTGAAACGAGATGTTCATACTACAGCTACACATAAAGCGCTTGGCACTAATTGGTGCAAGTAGTTGTATCTGTGTTATGTGTACTAAGATGGAAGTAAATTACTTTGGGATTGGACTAGACGTAATGTATTTGTGCTAAAGGAATCCCGGTGCCAATATGGACTCTGACTTTGAGTTTGACCTCAGCACTCCTTGTGCTTAACTTGTTCCGTGTAAATATTTGTGAAGATGAGAAGACGAGAATGACGATTGCAATCGTGATGCTATCCAGAGGCAGCAAGACTGAGCATGCTGGAGCCTCGATTCTTGATGACATGCGGAACTGCTAGAATTGCGAGGCATGTCGATGGCCGTCGCTCAAGTAGGAAATCAATGCTCTGTGCGTCAACGCGTCTACCACGAACAATGCATCCGTTCCGTTCTATCCGCTACGTCCGGCGCAAACTACTAGTCGTCTATTTTTTGTCATATTTCACTCGCTACTCAGCGGCCCTGCGGGTGATTTTTTCGACACCTATGAACGCGTGTGGACGGTCGCGGAGCAAGACACAGCGAAATGCGTCCAAATGCAGTTGCTCATCGAGCCAAGCTTCCGGATTAGAGCGGGATGGTGCGTCGTCTGAGAACGGCATAGTAGTAGCGTCCAGTGCCAGTCAAAATGAGAAGGACGACCTTTCACCTGTTAGGGAGATGCCACCAACTTCCCTTTTTCGACGTCCAGAGACTTCCCTTTTTCGAAACCCACATCAAGGTATGCCTCTGACAGATGCTGCGGAACAAAATCTACCAGATACTTCTAGTGCTGCCCACTTAGATGAAGGAACACAGAACGGCGATGTACGAGAAGACTCTCATCTCCTTGCTTGCGCGAGTGAAGCGGCGTGCTCGATAGCATCTTCACCCGACGCCGATGAATATCAGCATACTCCTTTCTTGGAGCAACCCAGTCCAGGCTACAAGACGAAACGGCCGCCATCCATCACAACCGCACCGCCATGGGGAAGTGCTGCCGCAGCAGGACCTTCAGCCATTCTCGATGTGAATAGTCCCTGTCCCACGACTGCTCAGAATGCTGCATCGACTGAACACATTGGAGTTGCATCTTCAGGAGGGTCCCCTTTCTCGGGACTCGATGAATTACTCGCGTCGTGGAAACTCAGTCTCGACTCGCTATTTGGAAGTGGCCACTCCTTGACTGTCTCCAGCTCTGTGACCTCAGCTGCGATGAACGGACAGGAGCAGCAGTCGTCCTGTCTCGAGAGGCTCACCGGCGAATCAATCGCGGTTCTTACGGCAAAGTATGCATATCTTCACTTACGGACACCGTCCTGGACGATAATCATAATATTGCGCGACTAGGAGGAGTTCTAGTTTTCACCAATGTTACTGGCATCGTGACTCCTGTGCTAGCTAGAGTACAATGATCATAAGTTAATCAATTTAATATCCCCAGTGTTCCCCTTCTAATTTCGTGCCAACATCGGGAAGAGGTCGCGCATATACTCCAGAATGTACGGGAGAAGAGGCGGAAGAGGAGGATGGAAATAGTCAGGCTTTTATGAGTACCGTTGAAGGTGGTGCAGAAACGAGAAGTACTCGCAAATCATGTCAAGGGACCAGAACAAGTGCGGAAACGGAACCGAAACGCAGTGAGTCCTTTTCTGGTGGCGATAGTAATGTCTCCCGGAAACCTCCACGACACGTAAAAGAGCAGGCAGATCTTTATCATATACACACTAGCTTCAGCCGTGCTGGAATCAGCAACAATAATTACTGTCAAGACGGAGCACAATATCAAGTACCCAGTCCACCTACGCTGTTTGGTTCCCAAGGGCGACAAGGTCTCTCGCTTTTTCGACGCTGCTCCCCAGCACGATGTGCGTACCAGAGCATTTGCTGTTTTTACAATTACGGAGAGAGCATCAGAATCCCAGTTTTTTGATTACGAATTCGTGCGTGTCGACTTCCACTTCGTTTAAGAAGACCATTCGTGGTCATACGCGTTCAAGTTCTGGAATGCAGCATATTTTTTTCTTATCATCTTCATTTGTTTTAGTTATCGATACCGTGTCGTTGAAGTGATAGAACGAAGTACTTTCACTAGCATCTTTCCTTCTAATTTAAGATCGATCATGGTGAAGAACTTTGTGCGAGGGGCAAGGTCTTGATTCCGTACGACGCGTGCAATGACGCTGAAGTTCGCTCATTGCAGCCCTTACCTCCGCCAGTGGCAGTCCTTGAACCAGGAACATTTCATAACCGAGGTGGGTCACGCGCAGGCACCAATCACACCCTTCGACCGCACAGCAGCAACTGGTTCCCTGACGACGCGGAAGCGGATGTAGTTATGGATTAACATCCCTGGCTGCAATATCCTTGAGCTATTGAATTCCTCAAGTGAGTAGATGAAAACTTAGCTCAAAGGACCGTCTTTGAGCAGCGGTGTAACCGACCCTGTTGCAACCCCTAAATTGGCTGATGGCGGCGGAGAGAGGCGCAGCGACTTGAGTTTAATAGGCACGCCCTCCTTTGGTGCGGATGTGCGCAGCTTTAGTAGTGGCCACGGATCGTCTACGGGGGACGAAGACGAGGATATGAATTTTGGCCTTACCGAAGAATTATTCCAACGCCTTGAGACGGAAAGCCAAGGACCAGGAGTCTCTCCAGAAATCTCTCCTACACAACAAGATGAAGGTGGGCTACCTGGTGAAGCAGTTACAGCAATATGACTGGACTCTACTTGTTCATTTCCGAGAAATTTTTGAGTCTCCTTTTTGATAGCGAGCGAAGGTCATTGCTCATCCTGCTCTTATCTGAGCAACCAAGTCAACGTAGCATCTATAAGTAGTTCTCTTGAGTCTTATTAAATTTTTTTTCCGTTTGCGAAAACGAGTCTCTTTTTGTTGTTCGCGAACAGTCAGAGATAGCATCGCCTCTCCTCTTAAGCGGTTTCTATCCCAAGCCTTTCGTAGCACTCCCTTCATGAGGATGTGCACCAACTGAAGAAAAGACCTTTGGATCTGTAGAGCCACGGACGCCAGGGCTTGCGTCGGACGTCTTCCCATTCCATGATACATTTTGCTACACCGGAATAACTACAGTACGAACAGCGAGCCGAAGACAGTTTGCAATGGATTTAGTTTTAGTTTAGTTTTGTTCACCCCTTGTATCATGAAGATCACGTGCGCCACGTGCTACCCTGATCGAAAAGACAAAGATATGTCATTTGTTGATGTATCGCATGATTTCATTTTTTCGACGTTTTGCTGTTGAGTATCGCCATCAAGGAACCAGGGTTCATTTTTAGAGTGGCTACTTTCTCGTTTTGTTTTGATGATTCATTTGTTATCGGTTGCTGTCTAAATCGTGATAGACTGTTGTCTCTACGTAATTTATCTTGGCTGGGACACTTCGAACTATACGAGAAGAGCGTACGCCGCCGAATGTTATTAATAGATGGGAAAATAGAAACGGAGTCAAAAATTTTTGTGCAGACTCCTCTGCTTTCCTTGTAGAGGGACACAATAGACACGAGCTCAAGTCTCATGCATTCGACGCACAGTTGAGATTGCATATGTGAATTGCTTAGTACTACTATAATTCCTTCTATGGACGATAGGCACGCATACTTTTTCTTGATCATCACATTGCGTCGGGAATACACATCATGTCGCGGGGTCTGATTTGTAAAAACGCCGACGAAAAAGGTAAAGCTCTAATTGTTACTTGTCGTGCTTGCTTTCTCTGCTAATAGCACGACTTCGAATTCATGCACGGCCACCTCGACAGTATGAGCTCTCCTTTAGAAATTCAGCGCTAGTTGTATCGGATGCAAGAACACACGTCAATGTGTAGGGACCACAATCAACAAGAATAGGTTGGACATGCATGGACCAGAACTGGGAGGGTACCGGTACTAGAAGGGGTGGGAAAATAAGGGTTTCGACAAAAAAGGTAGAATTATCGATAAAAAAGGTAGAAGTAGAGGAAACGCAAAAGGTAGAAATCGAGAAAAATAGGAGCCTTAGAGAACCAAAAAAGGTGGAAAAAAGGTAGAAAAAGACGCAAAAGGGGCTTGGCAGGAGGTCGCAGCAAAAGGACGAAGGGCAACTTCTACAGAAAGAAGGGCTTGTCCATCTTACTTGCATATGCACGCACACTGGGGGGGGGCGGGGGGATCGCAAAGGGAGGGAGCGCGCCGCAAAGCTCCTGCTGCGGGGGGGGGGCGGGGGGGTCGCAAATGGCGGAAGCGCGCCGCGAAGCTCCTGCTGCCTGGCAGTTGCCCGCGCGCCTGCCTCTGGCGGGTGCGAGGTACTGCGGCAAGAGCGGGAGAACATAGAGAAACGGAAGGTGCAGCAAGATGCGCCAAGCCTGAGGGACCGGCCGCAGCTTGGTGGCAATCCTGCCAGGACACTGCGCGGCCAAGCGCGCGCGGCTCCCCACCGGGCCCGGGCGCGCATTGCACAAGCCACCGGGGCGCTGCGTTGGCAGTGAGTGGGGTGGAAGGAGCAGCCTACAAGAAGGGCCAAGGTCAGGCCCCCTATTTTCCGGGCCCCTTCTGATACCGCGGCCCCAGTTTTTCCCGGGGCCATGTTGGCCCCAGTATTTCCGGGGACCCCGCCAGAACTATAAGGAACCCCGCGGAAAAATAAGGACCCGGGATTTTTGCGGCCCCGGTCCGATTAAAGGGGGAAAAGCACCGGGGCCCTTATAATACAGGGGGCCCAGTTTTTCCGGTCCATGCATGACATGTTCCACTTCTTAACAAGTTTCCGGAAAGGATTAGCTTAAGAGCTTGCTCCGTTGAATCAGAACCTTAAGAGCTTGCTCCGTTGAATCAGAACCTTAAGAGCTTGCTCCGTTGAATCAGAACCTTAAGAGCTTGCCTCGTTGAAACTCGCTCAAGAGCTTGCTCCGTTGAAATTCGCTTCAGAGCTTGCTCCGCAGTATCGATCTCTCCCTAATGACAATGATCACAGAGGTGCTGTGAAAAGTTTCCTGGTTCGCGAAGACTGAATCAAGCCCGACGTTTAGAGCGGTCGTTCTGAGTGGTCGTTGCGGTAAGGGTCATCAATCAAATCATTATCAGTCTATGTAGCGTTAGAGTAAGTATGCTTTAACATGATCACATTATATTTCGACGAGAGAAGGAGTATAATTTCTATTTCTATCATACAACCCTAAATTCTGTCAACGCGATCAGGATCAGTTTACCTTCTCACTATGAAGATCGTTAAGTGACCTACGTATGAAGTTAATATTACGCGCAGCCAAAGAAATATGAGTTCATCTTTAAGAAAACAAATACAAATGACTGACCACTTCTTGAACAGAAAATCATGACCCTTCGTTCATCTTCGCGCTGCTTACTCTTTATGTCCGTTGCTGCTCCTTCTTTTCGCTCAAAAGTTGAGACAGACGCTGCTTACGCCCTGTTTGTGGACAACCAATCAGGACTATATTCTTAGGAACAAAGGGAAAGTCGGAAGGGAAAGCCGATGCTGTCAGAGAAGGCAATGGGGGTGTTGCGTGACGCTAGCAAAAAAGTAGAGGTACCAGAAAGCTCCATTGCAAAAGCATCTACCAAAAATAAAATGGTAGACCAAGGCCAATCCGCGGGCTTGAAACAGCGTCGCAGTGGTGCGAACACTTCTGAGGAGACAACGACAACTTCCACGTCAGCGACTGCAGGAGGAGGGGAATTGCCATCTTCATCATCAGCAAGCAGCAAGGAGAATGGAAAATCAACTACGCGCAGCTCGCGCAGCTCCTTTTTCTCCAAATGGAGCGGTAACCTTGGTGTGCTGGTCATAATTGCTTACGGTGCTCTTATATCCCACAACTTTTATCGAGTGTGCTATCCGGACTGGGCTTCGTTTGGATTGCCGGAGTCCGATTTCATCGGAAATAGAGTGAACACAGGTGCTAAACTTGAAGGGATCGTGTTTGTAGTGGACGAGGCGCAAGGAGGAAAAAAGAAGTTATGAGGCGAGGAGTACTTATTTTCGTCTACGAAAAGGAAGCCGCGGCTAGTAGAACGTCTCAAGAACAGGGATGATGCGTCGATAGAGATATTCTAGTAACAGTACTATTTGTTTGCAAGAAGCAGAAGTCAACAAGTGTGAAGATGTTCAACAAGTGTTGATATTGACTGATGCTTGCAGAGCACCAGACGATTTGATCCACACATACTTAGAACTAGAAGTTCCACTTTTTACAGTTGCAGTTGCTTCAAAGAATACATTTTCATTTTCTTCATTTTCTGCATGCTGCAGCAGCTCTAATTCCACCAGGAGCTGGTCAAAGGGAGGAGATATGGCGGTTCCCGTTTGAGTATAAATGGGAGAATCTGGGTCTGGAAAAAATCGACATTCCCATAAGCGTTTCTCAAGCCCTTCTAGAAAAGGTGGAGAACAAGAAACTGGAGTTCGTTATCACTCGACCTGCAGACGCGTCGCGCAACGGAAAGGCTAGGGAGGTAGCTAGAGTGGAAGGAGCAGCAGTAAAGTGGAAGCCGCAACCCTTCGAGCTCTCAACTGCGCGAAAGCACAACCTGTTAGTGCCGTTTCGCCCTAACGGTCAAGCAAGGGACGAGATAATTCTATGATTTACAAGGTGGCTCATGATGTAGAAGTGACTTTTATATACTCTAGTTGTAGATGTAGGTGATGTAGGTAGGACTCTATAATATCACTATGATTTTTGTCTTCCTCGTCAAGCTTCGCATCATCTTTCTGTGAATTATATATAAAGACACAGAGTTCTTCCTATCCTCCGTTCTCTAATCCTTAACGAATACGGGGACACGGAGTCCGTCCCTTTCGATCCGGAGTGGCAGAGCGAGCAAGACCGTCTGTGTCCAATCAAGCAACAGCCAACGTATATCAAGCCGAACGAGAAAGATAAACATGGCATTCAAATTCGAAAAAAGTATCAGTTGAGAGGGTTGCCGAAAATCCAGCTCCGCTTAGTGTACGACGAAGACAGATATCCCTGGCAATATCTGTTTCCATCGCGGCCATCTTCAAATGTTATGGAGGGGTCATTGACCATCTGTCCGTACGACACTCACAATCTAAGTGTGAAAGATATATCTCTTTCATCTGTGCTTACAAAATTTAGAAATGTGCTGTTTTAATTGAAGATGCTGGGGACTGATGAACTGCTTTGAAGACCTGCTAAGCAAGTCCAGTATCACCACCACCTCGTAGTACACACCTCTCTTATTTGAACCACTTACCACTCCCCCACCTTGTTATATGCAGCTCTCTTTGAACAACTTACGTTACCACTGTTACCACCCCTCGTCACCAATATTCGTCCTCCTCTAATTCCCGCTACTTTCCCGCTGCCTTCGTCGACGAGTTTTGGCTTACGGACGACCAGCTGATCGAATTTGACATGGAGGAGGCGGAAAAAACTGCCACAGTCGATTCGGCAGTGCAATTCAACACGAGTTTGTACGTAAGGCTTCCGGGAATACATCTTCAGAAGCATCTTCTTGTTGCACCCCTTTAAGGGAAAACCAGCCCCGAGATCATGACTTTCAAGATCATGTATTCCAGGAAGATCGACTTTCTAATGTACTTCGAGTTGATGTCCAGTGCCCGTTGGCGCTTCCAGCACGTGATGGAAGAGAGAATAGAAGCCATGACCAAAACCCTAGGTGAGGAGGAGTCCCTGCAAATGCGCGACCTCTTCGCGAACACAAGTCCGATGCTCTTGATTGTGACACTGGTAAATAAGTACCTAAGTATTAGGATGTGACTAGTAGTACAGCGATCTTCCTATTGCAATTGATCATTATGGGCTGCGATTTGTAGATCTTCAGCCTTCTACGACTGAGACACCTCTTCATCTCTTCAGTTTGCCCGTGGTGCCGATCGTCTGAATGTGTGAATGTCTTAGAAACATGACTCACTTAGGTGGTCCACATTCTGATGATCGTCATTTTCAGGTTGTCTCGATCCTGCACACGGTGTTTGAGTTTCTTGCTTTCAAGGCTGACGTGGCGTTTTGGTCGGCGCAAAGTGCGGAGACGTTGAATAAGTACGTCTCCGTGACATCGGTTCTGCTGAACATTGTGTTTGAGGTGATTTTGCTGCTCTACCTCTTCGACAAGGAGTCTAATTTCCTAATTTTGATTTTTTCTTCAATAGCGATCGCGATCGACTGTTGGAAGGTCTCACGCGCCATGCGGCTAGACGCGGTTTGGCTCTTCGGAGTAATACCGTTACCACGTCTCAAAGCGAAGCAACACAAGCAGGGAGAAGACTGGGATTGGATCGCGATAAAGTATTTGAGCATCCTCTTAGCGCCGGTAGTTGTAGCGTACGCGAGCTACAACCTCGTATACGAGTGCCATAAAGGGTGGTATAGCTACTTGCTCGAGACAGCGGCAAGCTGCGTTTATGCAGGTGGGTTCATGTTGATGACGCCACAGCTCTTTATCAACTACAAGCTGAAGTCAGTCGCTCACTTGCCGTGGCGGAGGTTCGTCTACAGGTAAACTCATCTAAGTACTTCGTTCTTGCTATTTTTAAACAAGATGAACTGTGCAGCCTCAGTGAAAATAATTTTGCCGTCTACTGCAGATTTTTTTTGGTAAGGTGCCTCATATATAGAGCTAGTCCGAGTCGGGTCGGTCGGAAAGTCGGTCGGAAACCCCGCGCCGACCCGGACCACCTTGTGGCGTTTTCTAGTCACCCGATGGCAGACCGGTCGGTCGCTCGGCGGGGGTTGTGGGGTGGGCTCGATGGCGGCCCGCTGCCGTGGTTGGTCAGTCGGTCGGTCGGCGTGGTTGGTCGGTCGGCCGACCAACGACGCTGCAAAGCCGCCACCCAGGCGCACCTTCGTCGACCGACCGACCACGGGACCGGGGCTAGGTGGCGGTGTTCGATGGCGGCCTGGGGGCGTGATCGGTCGGTCGGTCGGCGTGGTTTGTCGGGTGGGTTCGATGGCGGCCTGAGGGCGTGGTCGGTCGGTCGGCGTGTTTCTCGGGTTTCTCGGCTGTGTCTTTGTTTCGATCTCAGGCCGAAAACCTTGCGCGCCCCTTCCAGCTGAAGTCTGATTGTCGTCTAGCTATTGCGTAAACGGCCTTTCGGTGAAGATAATGCAAGTGCCGCCCCATTTTTATCGTCCCAAGAAGAAGGTACATGATTGAAGAAAGTAACAGATTAGCGCCTTTCGTCTTACTCACTTCATCTTTCCAATCCATGCATTCATAAGTTTTTTTTGATCTGCTCCTGTACCAACTACACGACGCAGACATGCCCATAGTTTTGCTCTCACAATCCTAAACCTTCAGGGCCCTCAACACCTTTGTTGACGATCTGTTTTCGTTTATTATTCGCATGCCTGCGATGCACCGAATGAGCTGTTTCCGAGATGACGTAGTCTTTTTCATCTATCTGTATCAACGGTGGGTGTATCCTGTGGACGAGTCCAGGCAGTTTGGCGACGATGATGACGGTGAAGAGGTCGTGGATAGATCAGTGGAAATGCAGTCTTCCTCAATCGCTACAAAACATGCTAAAAAAAAGCGGTAAGGGTGAAGGGAAGAAGAAATCCATCTTCACAGGCATCCTGAGACCGTTTTCAAGGGGAGAAAGGTCCTCGGATGCGTCTCAAGATGGATTTCTCTTAGTTCTAATAAGGGTGAAGGGAAGAAGAAGGAGTGGGAACACGAACAAGGGATGAAGGCCCAGCTATCTTTGGAAGTGCTAGTGCTGTAGTTACCTTTGGGCACAGGCATTTTCCACCATGTACCACGTTGAGCCCTTATACTCCACCATTCACGACACCACAGGAACTGGTGCCAAATGAACACAATGCCCCCCCTCACCACCGTGATAGTTTTTGCTTTATTCCCGACCACAACCTCTTCCTCTTCTAGTTCCAAGAACTCTGATTTTGCTAGACGCAAATGTCTACAGCTTCGAAGATGTGCTTCTGCAAGCTCTATTGTCGTGTTTTCGTATTCTTCCGTAGACACGTATTAATGCAGCAAGCTCCCGAAAGGCAGCAAGCTGCAAGTAAGTATTGAAATTGAATGCTGTTGATCTCTCGGAGATAATGAGTGTGAGAGAAATCCAAGATGAAGCTCTTCGTTTGATAACACGATCGGGAACACTTCAGTATGCTGTCTATTTTGACGCCAGTAGTTGTAACGGCGAATCGGTCGGATATTTTCGGTCGGCAATTTACAAAGATATGATGTTAAAGTTTTCGTGTAATCGCTCTTCTTGAAGATGTTGTTTCATCTTCTGTTACGGAACGAAATTGCCTCGCACGCAAGAGACCAATTACAAATCCAATAAACTTTAACTGTCTAGTACAACAAAATTAATAACTGTACTAGACACGTGTAACTCAAAGGAAAGGACTACTTGGTAATCTTTATTTGGTAATATTCAATACACACACTTCTTGCAAGCAAGAGAAGTAGAAGACAATCTTCATAGCCCACTCAATCTGCACGCCAACCAAAGAAGATGCCTATCGACGTTGGCGGTGCCACCTCAAGCCGGTCTCCACGGGCTGACCATGCTGCATCGCCGCAAGGAGTGGGTCTAGACGGCCGAGAAACTACTGAAGAGAAGTACAATTTGTTGGCGCATCTAAGGACCGGTAACAGTGGGGCACCTCGGCACCGAAGCCACAGTCCACGACCATCAAAGGTGAAGGCGACGTCCGCTGTGTGGGATCCGAACGGCAACTGGATTCGAGACATGAACCCAAGACAAAAACTATTCGGTATTCATGCTGGACAAAGAAAAATCAAAATGATGTAGTACGGAGAGCTCTCACATTCGTCATGGTCTTTCACCCACGATGGTACTGATTATCTGCAAGAGCCAACTAAGTTGATAAATGTTATAGTAACGTAATGTTGAACCAAAATCCAGTGAAAAAACCGGACACATTGAAAGCGGAAAATCAGAAGAAACTGGGCAGCTTACGAGGCTACGTAGAGAAAAATCACCTGCGAAACACGATGACTCATTTCAAGTCCCGAAGTTTCGGATGGCATGATGAATTCAAAAATGGTACTTTATTTTAGAGCTTCATCGTACATTTGTGCTGCTGCATATTAAAGGATAATTTTGTTTTTCCAAATTTTTTAGCAATTCCTAGTGGACAAAACATCCTACTCCTAGTATATTACATGATCGACCTATCTCTCAAGGACAGAGCACTTAGTAACCAAACCTCCAAGTCAAACCTGTCCCTCCCTCAGCCAACGACGTTCGGCAAACTTTGGACCTCATCGTCAGACACGGAGGTGCTGCGCAGAGGAGAACGCGCAAAGCGCATCGAGCAGAGGGCTTTAAGTTTCTGTTTGCCGACACTAAGAAGGATGCGGCGCCGAACCAGAAGTTAAGGCAACCAAGAGAGCATGTCCTTAGCACCATCACCATGATCTTTGGCTCTTTATACAGTTCCTACCTGAATGAAAAGAAGCCCCAAAGGATATCATGACCCTGAAGGAAGATGCAAACGCGGTAGCTTTAAAGAAAGGTGCGGATAAACCTGGGCAGAAACAGCAAATACGGACGACCCATCACCGCGCACTAGCGCACGCGGTCGAGATACGCAAAGACATCGATAGCAAAACACAAGATATAGTAGACGACGGATCCGACGAGGCTCAGAGGGAAGAAGGTATAATTAGTTACAACTACTTGATTAATTTCGCTTAAAGGCGATGTTGATGCACACGTCCCCTAAGCGTGAATCCTTGAGCATCGTCGATAGGAAGGCGAAAGCAACTTAATGCAAATCACGTTGAACGGGTAACAATTCGTCTCCGAGCAGCTCATATTCATACTACCCTACTTGCACAAGACTGAATGCCCTCACTGCGTACACCAGAACTAAAGCGGCAAGCGATGGGACGGCATGCGCCGAGGATAAAACCTGTATCGACGCGAGTTACTGCTCCTTTTGGCGGCTACAATCTATCCTTGACGTGCACACGAGACAACCCACAGCAAAGGAAGACGATTGAAAGGGAGCTAAGCCCTTTCAAAAACGTTCCTTGGCGGGCAGTGGTACTAAGACTGCCTTTAAATTTCTCGTGGTAAGTATGATAGAGGAATACATTGATTGACGGGTTCTGGGATGCTTTCTCTTTCATCATCAGAGCGAAAGCCTAAGACAAGTGAATCACGGAAGTTTGGCAAAAATTCTTGGCCACAATTTAGTTTCCCAACAACAACAACAACAGCGTAACAATTCACATTCACTCAGTTTGCCATGTACCAGACAACTAGCAGATCTATTTCAATTAATCCTATATCACGATTCACAACTACCATTAGAATGCGTCGAATTTAGAGGAGCATATAGTGACTCGGTATTGCCTTGGGTTCGACCCCTACGAGAGTAGTAGGATGTGGCCGGCGGTGCGTCTTCTAGCCCATGCGCGCAACGATAAAGTCCTCCGAAAGACAGATTAAGGCCCATATCAATTCATCTTCATGTACTTAGTCTACTTTTTCTCAGATTCCTTCTTGGATTCTGAGAGTATGACCTTGAAAGATGAACTATTGTGAGCGCTAAGCAGAGTCGTTGCCGACAGACCTGTTCGAAATCGAGAACGAAACCGACTCAGACATGGAGACTGTGTCACAGATTCGATCCCGTCGACAACGCACGAGGATGGGCAAGGACCTTGCAGGGGGGTTGAAATATACCGCATGAAACCTTCAGTATGAAGGATCCTCAGGTATCTTTATCTCTTCATACGTGCATTTCATCGTAAGTACCTTTTTACACTTGAAGAGTACATAGGAGAAGGACAAACATACATATTGATTCCATGATCATCATTTTGTGTAGCTCCACAGCATCATCTTTGGTTTCGTATTTGCATATACTTGAATCTAGAAATTATAATTCATCACTCACCATCACATCCTTGGAAATCGCGGTATCGTACATGTTCATCTGTTACAACGTGCTGCAAGAGCACCATAAGATTTAAAACCTTGTTTTTGCTGGAAACTTTCACTTCATTCTTAGCTAAGCTTCCTATCAAGAACGGGGAGCCGCTCGCTAGCTACAATATCTAATTCTCGCAAAAGAACTCAATCTCAAATGTAATGAATAGATTGAATTGCCTCCAATAATGCGAATTAGTCATGTCCTTTCCGTGTGACTAAAGACCATTTTTATGCCATGCTTTGAGAATATAGGATACCGCTGCATAGTCACGACCACCTCTACCACTAGCTCTCCCATTATTCTACTTAATCAGAAGCATCTTTTTTGGTTTGTTAGATCCACAGTAGTTCGTCTTTCTAGTTTACCATTTCTATCGAGGATCCATATTAAGTACAACTCCTATTTACTCGTAAGTATTCCATTCCTAACGGCGAATGAAAAGTTGACTTCCCGTTAGTGTGAGTTCCACTCTTTTTCGATCGAGACTACATATTCCGAGCAACTTGGATTTGCTTGAAGATAGATGTCCCGATGGGGATGACGCTTCTAAACAGAAGTGTCCATGTGCATCTTCGTTTACGACAGGAGCAAGTTTATTAGACTCCGGAAATGTGGTGGTGGAGGACGAGTGGTCGACCGTGTAGCTCAACGAACGACCAGTGTGAACTAGAAGGGGATGTCGTGTGTTCACATGATTCTCTTTAGGAGTCGACGACGCGATAAGGATGTCCGAGAGCAGCTAATTTCAGCTTATATCGCGCTACCTATCATGACCTGCTCGAGCAATCGACGGATTACTCAATCTTCTAGAAGTTGTATTTTTTTGGTTTGCAGCTAGTCTCAGGGATCTAGATCATTTGATTATCAAGTTTGTGTGGCTCTCGTGAATGAATAACGATATAAAAGGATGCGCTTTGCTGTTTCGTTCTCTCGTTTGTTCCTTTTGGTCATTCCACTCGTTCTTTTAGGGACTGTGCCTTGCGTTCGACTTTGTAGCGCTGCGACTGTGCACCAGAGACGTAGGATCGAGCGAGCAGAGCAAGCAACTGGACAAGTGCCCACTGGTCATCTACAAGAGCAACCAGTCCGAGGGACGGCTGCAACAGGAACAGCAGAGGCGCACCAGAGGAAAGGGCTGAACGACGCATTCCACTTTATTGCACGACATCAATCTGCGAACTCTTCGGATGCATCACCAGTACCACCGGCGTCGTCTGCACAATCGTCAAAGCCTGGAAACGCTGGAAACGAATTTGACGATTCTGGAACGCTGGAAAGTGCTGTACGACTAGATGCTGAGCCTAGTACCAGAGGACCTACCCACTCACAGCAGAGGCACACGCCAAGTAGTAGCACGAGCACTACAGATAAGAATGAGAATGCCAATATCTTCACAGACCTATCAGCACCAGCACAAAGAAAACCTCCTAAACCGAGGGGAATTAACTGGAAATCCCATATCGGAGAGCAGCTTAATTTGTGGGAAACGTCTAACTCTACGTCCTCATCTGGACCCAGCGTAGAGGACCTAGGAGAAGAACAACAAGTCGCTTGCGGTGGCGACGGAGAGAACGTTAATGCGGCAACTTCTAGATCTAGCAAGAAAGATCATGTTCGTGACCCTAGAAGTATTGCATCTACTCATGATTTTGATTTGTCAGTCTCAGGAGGACAGTCGCCTTCGTCTACAACAGAGGGACACGCAGCTAGAGCTGGAGCTGCATTGCCACTCCGAACAAAATCCTCACGTTCACGAGATGTTGAGAATTCGCGTTTCCCCGAGCGATCTCTTTCGTCTGGTGAGCTTACTCGGTCTGTCGAGGGGAAGACGTCCCGCACCCGAGAGGGGTTCCGAGATGAGGACGATGCTGTTGCTGGAGGTCTAGCAGAAATGATTAAGCATGAACAAGAAGCATTTGAAGACAGATCGTTGGCGGGTGAAACGAACGAAGTTTTAGTCTGGTCAAGTACGGAGGCCAATGTCGGTAACCATGAGACAGCTGAGTCGAAATTGCTTCCGGCCAATCATTCGCCTGTGGGAGTGACCTCCAGCCGATCTTGCTCCTCTATATATTCGCGTGTTAAGGCAGCTAGTCGATCTTTATAATCCCACGTGGATTCATTATCCTGAGTGATTTATTCCCCCTAGAACAACTCAAGGGCAATAAAGTAAGGAGAAAAAAGCAAAAGGCAACTCTTCACTCAATCAGGATAAGTGACTGAATCAGGGATACCTGTATTAAGTGTCTGGCGTTAACATCGGTTCGCGTGGTTCTGCGTCGGCTTCTTCTACAGAGAGTACCACGCCAAAGAAGCGAGTGAGCTGGAGCGACAGCATGGAAGTTTTCGACATCGTCTGTCCAACTGATGCACACGGCAGAATCCGTCGCAAGCTGCAGCAAGTTTTCGTGGTATGCGGCCCTTCAGATTCCGATGAGGATGCGGAAACGACGGCCAGGCGAGGACCAGAAACAACTCAGCAGGCGTGGAAAACATTACGGGTAAGAATACTACGTACTTCTACTTCCTTGGCTATAGTTTTGGTTTATTTACTATCCACAAGGAATGTCGTATTATATCGAGCATGTTAGGATGAACAATGAATTATAGGGTTCTGGGTCTAAAAATGTGGGCTCAGCGCTTTTGTCGGCGATCATCGTACCGCGGTAAGCGATCCTCCACTGAGCAGTGGACCAAGAAGGGGAAGAACATCAAAGGGGTAGATGAGAAGCGCGTTACAGGGCGATCGGTTCCCATCGGCTGGCACGTCATTAAGGCAAACTTAGCATCATAATCCCCTTAGATCATCATGATTCTTGCAACCCAGAGAGGATACCCTTAGATCATGATCGTTGCCATCAATTTTTCCAGGGGAACAGAACTAGCGTCGCCCAAAGTAAGATATGCCTCTCAGACTCAGCCAAGGAAGATGTGACGCGGTACTTTGCTCTAATAACATGGCTGACACTGAGCCAGATGCAGATCTAGAGGAGTCTAGTGGGGCTGGGGACGACACTGCAGCAGACTTAGAAGAACAGGAGATGGGAGAGTCTGGGACTGGAGAGAGTTCGAACCGGGAATCTGAACAAGAAGAAGCGGAAGGGCGCATTCTTCGGGGTCCTCTGCATTCTGCAGATTCAGCTTCGGGGAGAAAGCTCAGAGCCATTCTGGATTTCCTCGGTGAAGTGGATAGGCGTCCCAGGTGTCGTGAAACTAAAGCCACCAGTCAAGACGAGCATTTTTCTTCTTCCCGGCGACACAAACACAATGTTGAGCAGAATGAGAAACTGGTTGATGATCGTGAGAGGCGTGCTCCGTCCCTTAGACGGGGTCGGAGCGTGGAGGGAACGACCGCGGCGAGAGAATCGCAATCTTCAGGCTCCTCGTCTGAGAGGACACAGAGACGGAACAAATTTGTCTCTGAGTCTTTAGCTTAAGACTGGTGGTTAACCAGGTGTGTCGCGTTATAAGCTAGACTTGGAAAATATAGTCTACCTCGGTACTGCGGTTTTACTTGTTGAAGCTGGAGAATGTAGTTAATGAAGATCATTGCAGTGGCAAAGTGATCCTATTTGGATCTTCTCTTAGAGCATTTGATACTGAAACGGACCATCAGAGCACTTTTTGCTCCAGCTCTAACTTTGGGATTCGATTTGCTGCGCACTAGAAACCGAGACTCGTGGTAACGGCGGGTGCAATTCGCCAATCCAATGCAATCTTCCATACGGGTGTAGTTGCTGTTGTAGCATTAGTATAACCCGTGAGGAAGGGGAAGAGGAGGCTTTGCGTTTCGCGAGCCCCAATGATTCTACTAGTGCAGGAAATTTTTATAGTGGGAACACAAGGAAAAATGCCACGACCTCCGTTAATCGCGCATCATCTACTGGCGCAAGTAGTAGTCTTGGACGTTCAGCGTCGAGGTCGGCGAGAACGCCTTGTTCGGGTGTGCAAGTAGTACTTCCCATGTGCAACTCTACCGATGTGCAGGGTACTACAACTTCTCACCTTTGTTCTGTAGTAACAAGTACATCAACCGAAGAGCAAAGTAATCCTCGGCAGGCACGTGCGTTAATCGCGTCGGAAGTATTCCTGCCTAGCAGTTGTACCTGCAGTAATACGACCCATGAGGTGGAGGCGGACCTCGAGCTAAATCATCATTTAGTGGATGATGGGATGATGGTACCCGCAGCATATCAGCAAAACATAAATAACGCGGACTTGTGGTCTGACGCACCAGAGCTATTTTTACGGAGAAGATCATCTCCCAGCACATCCTCAACACGAACTTCCTCGAAGGATCGAAAAAGTAGTGGTGCGTCATCATCTTCCGCCCATAGACGTGGTAGTTCCTCGGATTCTTCTCCGAGTCTCAGGTTTAACCACGATAACCACTTGGATAACAAAACTAAGAGTGGAAGTAGATGGCAAGTAGATGGCGGTGACACGACATCAATACCAATTATAGAAGGAAGATCTTTTTTTACTTCACAACAAGAGGATCAGTCTGGTTGGATGGCATCCTGGATCTCTTCCTGGATGCAGCTTTCTCCGCCATCCTGCTGCACCACCGTGCATTTTCCGCGTGATCGATATCATCGACTTGCGTCACTGCGGAGCCCTGTGAAAATAGAGGCTCCAGAGGCAAGCGATTCCAGTATGCCTGCGTTTGTTTAAGAAGTAGTTACATTGAGCCTACCAAAAGAACATTTTATCTTTATGCATATTACCTTCCTCTGCTGGTCGTCACCATCAACAACAAGAGCATGATCATCAGGTCTCGATATAAGTAAGTACAAGTTTTACCTCTTTATGCATATGTCTTGTCGATGAGCGGGACGGACAAGGAAAACATCAGTAATAATTATGCGGTCCATATCTGCCGAATGTGAACGTCTGATGCGCAAGAATGACTAGTACCTGGAAAACACAGTGATAGATAGACATATAAATATGAAATGACGCCGAGCTGCGTTAGCCTTCCACGTCGTATTTACTTTTGGTACTAGAAATGTAATTAATATTTTCTTCCTGTGCAGCTAATCTACATACATGCATCGCAATTTCATCCGTTGGTTTTTCCAAATTTAAACATTTCATAGGATTAGAATTTTGCCGCGCGCTATTTCGTTCTCTCCTCGTTTGTTCACTGTAACTATCGATGTGGTTGAACCGTCCTTAGGACTACTTCGCTTATAGAAATACGCACGACTCGGTACTATGTTGGTGTGGTAATTTCTAGCTGACCACGACCTTCACTGGCGCTATTTTATTTTCAAAAGGTCACTATTATCTTCACTTGGAACTAGGGTCAAGGTAGTAGTTTCTAAAAACTGCATATCCATCGGGTCTTCATCAGGTTCAGGCTCAGCATCCATTCTTTCATCTGTCATACTATGCTTGTTTTAGGTTATGGTCTTTCATGGTCTCTCATGTCGAATTTTTGCTGCCCTGTAGAAATATTGTAAAACTTAAACTGATTTCCCTTTGTTGTCTTTTTCATGTAATTTTCTTTTTTTCTGGATTATTTGCTGGCCCTCGTACGCTGTCAGCGAACAAGTCGTTGATGTTAACTACTCAAATCGACATCACAACTAGGACGGAAGCATGGGGGCGGTGGGCTATGGGATAGTCATGGATCCGACCCCTTGAACTTTGTGTATTGTAGGCGGACCCGTGCCCTTGTGAGGGTACTGCTACTGCCGGACGACTTTCCCCCCAGTGGCACCCGCGGGTGTCAAGTGGGCAAGGCTTGTGGTCGCGCCATTCGTGTCGCCGTAAGGTGCTGCGCAGTACTGGGCGCTCGGGCTACGTCAGATATGGCCCGTCACTGTTCTACTTATGAGCCGTCGACTAATATGCCCGTGCGGCTTGGGCTCTAGCTTTTCTACAGCGGTGGCCGTTGTGCTTCATCGTTTGCGTAGTCGTAGCGCCTGGCCGTTGTGCTTCATGCTTCCCGCGGGGTAATTAAATGGAACTATAGCGGGAAACTGTAGACCCAGGCCCCCAAAAAAAAAAGCCGCCAAATAAAAAAATCAAGCTGTGGCCTCTAATAAAGTTAGCCATGCAGCTGCCTACGCTTATAGGCCGACGACGAAGCGCAAACGAACCAAGGCCGCAGACCTTCAAGAAACCAGTAGGAGCAAGCTGCCCCTAGTATGGAGTAGCTCCACCAATGCGACAATGTATCTGAAGAAATTTTAGCGATTATTCGCGGGCCGTCTCACTTTCAAAAAGTTCGATCTCAGTCGTGGCGCCGCCCTCTGTGCCGAGTGTCCACAGCTTGCAGCTTCAGATCCTAGCTAGCAAGTGGCCACATCAAAGCTCTAGCCCTTTCCGTGTGCGATCCTCTAGGGTTTAGCTTTTGTTTCTCGGGGTTCATCCGATAAGGTCCATCATTGTTCTACTTATGAGCCGTTGGCTACTTAATTTGCCCGTGGGGTTTTGGCTCTAGCTTTTCTGCGGCGATGGCCGTTGTGCTTCATCGTCTAGTATTTTTAGGTGCCTGGCCGTTGTGCTTCAGGATTCTCGCAGGGTAATTACATGTTCGTATTGCGAGGAATATAGACCCAGGTCCAAAAAGAAAAAGCCGCCGCGTTGGCCATGATGAATGAATGAATTCATCTACCGAGTCTTATAAATATCATCAACATCGTAAATGTACAATATAGGCACCGATCGTGTCTGATCTCACCAACAGACAACAGCACAATGTTAGCTATTGGATTTTCACGTCCAGCATAAAGTGTGACCCTATCAGTTATGGAGGGAGAAAGTCCAGACGGGAGCCCTTCGGAGAGTTTCCTATAGGAGATAGAAGTTGTATGCGAGTGTATTATCTTTCCCGAAAAATCTAAATCAAGAGTAGCGATATTTTTACCAAGCTGATGCTTGTTGTGAAACGCAAAGATCCGAGACTAGTCGCACCCATCCTGATATTATCAGATAAGATTTTTAGCTTCGCATGCAGGACATCTCAGTGCGGTTCTTTCAGAAAGTTGCGCTTTTGTTGAGAGAGCTGCATGGTGAGTGAAAGAAGAAGACACAAGAGTGATCCAAACAAGAAAAGCCTCGTATTGTTGAAAACAGAGGAAAAGAATTTTTGGGACGTCGTCAAAAGGTGCTGAGGCCTCCAATGATCATGATCTGTACGTAGTTACTTCTTCGAAAAAAAAGGAAAAATGGACCTCTACATATACCTCACAGAGCTAGAATGGCGGCCAGTACTAGTACCTCATTGAATGTAAATGGCTGTTGCATTATTGCTGATAATTGTCTGAACAATGTCAAGCAGCACAATGCAGAATCTGAAAGGGCGCAAAGAGTTTAGCCTCTCGGCCAAAAGAAAAAAGGAGCTACTCCAAAGGAAAGCCAGTCGCCAATCCGCAGAGGAGAAGCGCAGAGATGAAGAGGAAGATGGTAATTTTATGGCTTTGATTATTGTGAAAGAAAATTTTTTCCCTCACGGTGGGTTCACAGCAAGTGCGACTACATCCCCTTTGCTTCCTTTCATCCTTGTTTTTCTTTTCATCATCATGTTTCTTCCATTTTCAACACAGCAGATGTCACAGACCCGCAACGACGGCGCGGTCAAGAGCCAAAGGGTACTATGCGATCGAAGAGCTTACCCGCGCACAAGTACCTGAAGCCCGCTCAGAAAGGCCATGACTCAGTATCGTTCCGGGATCAACTAAAGGCCTTTTTCATGTGGCCTCGTTTATGGTCGAAGCATCGAAACAAGGTTCCAGGAAGTCAAGCCCCTAGCAACATCGCAACAGAAGACGCCTGGCGCGATGCAGTGGCTAGTGGAAAAATATTCCGGTAATATCTCGTTGATTGCAATGTGCTGTTGGAATGGGTTGATTATCTTATACTTTCAAGTTTACAACGACAACAAGAAGTAATAAATAAGTACTCATTTTCCATGCGATGATTTGGGTTTTCCTTTTCATGGAATGAACCTCCGCCTTTCAGTTTCATCGAAGCTCAAGCTGCGGAGATGCTCGCGCAACAGCAATATGAACGGTCCAAGTTGTCTCTACCACCTGCTGGGAAGCACAACAAGATACCCGCAGTTGGAGATGAGTGCGAAAACGAAAACAACAGTCTCATTTCCACTGGAGGCGATGGGCAGCAAGATGAAACCTCGTTAAGATATAGTACTGCATCACAGAAGGTGGTGGCGTCAGCGAGGAGCAGTGCTGTCGTGGCAGCAAAAGACGAAGGGGAGGTCGATGATTTTGGCCGTGGCGCTGTTCGTCGGCGTCTAATATTCGGACAAACATCTTCATCTGCATCTTCAGGGTCGTCCAACAATTTTGCGGGAACTGGAAACAGTAGATCATTAAAGCGGGAGAAAAGTATAAGTACAGAAGAAGATGCGATTGCCAATGCTGTTCCGTACGATCGTATCGACGCTTCTTCTGCAGGAAGCTCTGCGGTGAATGTAGTAATGAATAAAGCAGCAGAAAATACTTCTAGGAGAGCAACAATAAACGAAGACAATGGGCAGCAGGAGGATGACTATTACGATAGTTTAACAAGTAGGACCGAGGATTATGAGGCTGTAGAGAGCGAAGCCGGAAGATCGTTTCCTGACTCGGAGGTAGCAGAAATTGCTGCGCTTGCTGCTTTGCCGTCCTACACGCGGACTGCTGTAGGCCAGCCTCTGAACAAACGAGGACTCAACATCCAGAGCGTCGGTGCGTCTCATCTCGATCGCTATGACGAGTCCGTTACTCTACGACTTCAGTCCGCCTCCTCTACTTCATCATCCGGAGGAGCTCCAGATCATGGACAAGAAGATGATCAGAGGAGACCATCGCAACGGGGAAGAGCTACAACTACCTCCATCTCTGGGAGAGACCTCCATTTCGAGACCCCACTCCAAGAGATAGTGCGCGGACGCGAATCATCCTCGAAAGACACTGGTACGACTCGCAGCACGGGATCTTAAGGCTCCCCTAACCTCTGTTCCAATGACTTACCTTTCAATTATCTCTTTTCCTAATGCAATCATTATTATTGGTCTCAGTAATCCATCTCTATACATAGCTATCCCGCAACCGTATGCTCCCCAAAAATACGTTATACACGGGGAAGATTGCGTCTGAGTTTGAGGCGTGTTCTTGAGGGATGTATTCTCCTGGGAAGATGAACAAGTAGGGAGAGCAGGTGCAGGTCCTCTAAGGATCTTCGGTTTCTGTTGTCCCGCCTACGTCAGGACTGCGGGCGCTACGACTCTACTCGGAAGAATTTGGCGAGGAAAATTTTGCTCTCGAACAGGAACACGTGGAATTTTCGAGTTCGATGAATGCTAGAGACACGGTTTATGCAGAGTCAGAGGACACTGTTCTTGGTGGACGAAACACCAAGACATTGGATTCAGAAGTAGCAAAAGTCTTTCCAGGAACACCAGGAGGTAGACTCTCTTCGGCTGCATACCAACTTGCGCAGGACGAGCAAGACAATCAAGAGGACGAATCTGTGGTAGGCAACACAGGAGATAGTTGCATTCGAGAGGAAGCGGAGCGACGATTATCATCTCCATCTTCTAATCCTGTTCTTCCGTCATCGTCCGCTCACTCATCCTCATCCAGCGACTGCGACGTTGTCCCAGACGATAGACGCAGTGTCATAGGTAATGCGAGCGTTCCTGGTGGTGGCATGCTTGAGAACTACGACTTGAGGAGCCATATTCTTCGAGGACAGTCAGCAGAGGACACGGCTTCGTCTGGTGCCTCCTCGGTCGACGTTGGGAGCGACCGAGCAGTATTGGCGGATTCAACGACGGACTTTATCTCTCTTTCGTCGTCGTCAGGCTTTGGGGGCATAACAAGCGCTGGGTGCAGTTGTTCACCAAGCAGTGCTGCCGCAGAGGACGCAGAAGATGGCCTAATCCCTACTGAGGAAGATCCCGTTAGAAATATGGAACAACTACACGTCGACGGTCGTGGGCAAGACGAATACCCTGTTGCAGGACAAAGACTGTATCACACATCATTGATCTGCTCTGCGATTGACGAGCCAGGCGAATGGGCTGCATTCCAGCTGGGTCGGTGGACGGAAGTGAGGACACCTGCTGACGCCGAAGATGTTTTCAGAAAGGAAAATGTTGACGCAGTTAAGGCTATCTCGTCTTCTACTACAGTTTGTCCTTATAGTAAGTATGCTACCTCGTCTTCTACAGTTTGTCCTTATAGTATGCTACCTCGTCTAAGGTATGTTCTTATGCTACCTCGTCTAAGCCTAAAGCATGTCCATGTCCTCAACAACCATTGTGATCCTTCGATGTTCGTCTGTTTCTACTTGAAAAAGTAGCTGAGCCCAAGAATGTGACTTTCAAAGAAGATGCGAAGTCGACACCTCTAAGGCCACTTTCTCTGCGGAGAGAAAGATAGAGTCATCACCTCTGCCTGACGAGAGCGAGGCGATATCATTCGGGAAGATGGCAGGTTCGAGAAACAAGCCTCGAGCAATAGTGGCACCAGGAGGAGGAGCCAGTGAAAGAGAAAACGACTTCTACAACTACGTGATAGACAAGAAAATCACAGCGGCTCGAGGTAGCATGATTTTGCCTGGTGGATCTGGTGGGTTTACAAAAACCGGTACAGGTGAAAGACAACTTTTAGATGAATTTGGCAACCGAGCCCGAGGATCTTTGTTTCATCTCGCAAGCAGTACTACGAATGCATCTTGTTCACAGCAGCAGCTTGGGCGTGAACATCAATGTGCCGCTGACATTCAGCCTGCTCCTGAGACTTCGATGAAAAGTGTTTTACGAGGACATTCATCGGTGATCCTAGAAGATACACAGGAGCTGCAAAGTAACAAAACTACAACAAAAGCAGACCAGCAAACGAGCAAACTAAAACTATCTTTCATGTCATCACTGCGGACGGGAACGCAGTCCACTATTGCCTCACAAGGAAGTCGTGAGTTTCCTTCCGCAACAAGCTCACCCGGCAACAGCTCTACAGTCACGCCAGGAGGATATGCTGAGCTTTCCGCGGACATGACTTCGGGAGGCGGCACGCCATGGGTCTCAGTCTCGGAGGAGGTGGCTGCTGGCCTAACTTCTGTGGATCTAATGCGGAACAGTAGACTCAATGGAGGTGTCGACCGCGGAAGTAGAAGTACAAATGCTAGTACTCCTGCTCAAGGGCCCTACAAGAACGATAACGGAGGAGCGAGTGGTGGGAGACCGATCACGACCACAGGTAGCGTCACTCCGAAAATCAATAGTTTTGACATGTTGTCATCTATGCCGAACCAGAGATCTAATACGAGTAACTACAAGGCTTCTCGGAATTCCTTTTCCTACGATCATTCTTCCACACAGCATCAGTTTGAGCAAGGCCCGCTGATGTTGCTGGTGAATCAACAACATGTTGGTTCAAATTCTAGCCCCGCCGTTTTTTCAAGTCGGCCAATGACACGAGGCAACTTTCGCCAACACCTATCAAGAAGCAACTCTGCGTCATCATCCTCTGCGTTACTGTCACTTTCATCAGAGAACAAGAAGAACAATAGTGCTGCAGCATTGCCTGCAACCGCAACTCCAAAGCTGTGCGCCGTTCCTGAATTGTCCGGGATGAAGATGAACATACTCGAACAGACATCGTCTTCTGCAACAACATTCTCTTCAAGGGAGCACTCAACATTATTTTTGCCTGAAGACCATGACTACATCGACAATGATCAACATCGCACATCACTACGACAAGGACCACAGTCACAGAGTACCAGGAAGAATTCGCTTTTATATTCGCACAAGTTTGACTTTCTAAACACGACTTCGTCTTCTTGGTTGTCTTCTTCTAGGCCTGAGTCGCGCACACACCAACGTTTTCGAGAACACCGACATTTCTCGTCGACAGGTCTTCGTACCGGTTCGCTGCTGGAGCGGACGCACAGACGTATACTCGTTTCCCGCGGGAGCATGCGTGCAAAGTCGGTCGACAGTTCTGGGAATATGCAGCAAGCTGACGAGGGCGAACAAGATCGAGATCTAGACGACCACGTGGAAGTAGGAGGTGATAATAACAATGCAGCAGTGTTTGTTGACTTCTCCACCATGGCCTACCTACAGCTTCAACAAAACGATAAGATAAACAACAACTACAATGAAGAGACAACTACAATGTTGAAAACGAGAACACACTCAAAGAACACGAGGAAAACGAGTCCGGCGAAGCGAATCCGACCACCATCTTTGCCAGCAGACCTCACTGAACAGCAAAGGGTGAACGCCAGAAGGGGAGGCATTCTAAAATTGATGCGCCTTCGCAGTAGTAGAGGATGGCGTCCAGAACTGTGGGAATAGGAGGTGCCTACTAGTATCGTCTCAACCAGAATAACTGTCATACTCATACTAGTACTTACTCGCCGTCGCCAAAAACGTTTTGTGACAGAATATACATACACGAATGAAGTCACTAGCATTACTGGTACTTCTATTTTTGTCCACCCGCACTCGCTACTACTTACCCACCTTAGTACTTCATTTCCACGACCCGATGAATCAACCTAGCCAACCTGTTGTTACCTATAAATAAATGCATTCCACCTTAAAGAACCAATCAGATGGATCCAGTCATCTAGTAGGTTCTCCATGAGATACAACAACATGTTAAAATTCATTAGGCGTGTGAAGTCCGTGTCATATGATGCGATTCTCCTAATGCTATTCAAGGACAGGAGGATAGGTATAGGTGGATCTTTTTTTGTTGATATCAATCATCATGTTGTTTCGTAGTAACTAGGTGTACTGTGTTGAAGAACTCCAGCTTAAACTACATGCAATTGGATTCATAGATAATCCATTCCACTAAGCATAACGACTTACGCAGTTCTTACTCCTTTTGTCATCAAATGTAATTCGAGCACGAAAATATGCCGTGAAACGAGACACCTTGATTTTCATCCGCTAATGATCGATCGAAGAACTACTACGTACCTGACTAGAAAAAATGAACTACTACTAGTCACGTCGACCACGTAGCTTGCACAGTTTTGTAGAGTTGGCAAAAATAAACACGAGATGATTTTTTGTAATGAACCGTGCTCAGAAGATACTAGGATATTTCGATAAGATCAGGCATTAAGCGTAAGACCCACACCCATCGCAACACAGACACTGAACGTCAATGCGGCAACTCCGAGAACCATGTGATGTACGCTTTTTTCCACCTGATGCTTCAGAGCACGCGTGTACATGCCAGTATCGGCGAGAGAGAGAGAGACAGAGAGCACCCAACAAATTAGGTACGGAACGCGTCACACCAAGAAGTCCGATTCTGTTTATGAGAGTGCACTTTTCTGATAGATAGGCCTGTGCTCACTCTCTTAAACCACTGTTGTTTTGCATTATTCCCGGTCCCTTCCTTCCTCTCGGTCCTGAAATATCAAAATGTGCTACAGTTTATCCCGCACAACACTGTAGTCGTAGTACGTCTAATAAAAACGCTGATCCTACGCGGGAACATGGTAATCCCCAATAAAATGAAAAACCAAAACCGCACAAGGTAACAAAAAGGAGACTGTGAAGTCCTTTCTTTCCAAGCCCTACAGAAACTGATAGGCGGAACAATTAATAAACTTCTGTACACTTAATGTTCTTACATTTTCTTTTTCATTCGTGTTTCCGTCACTACCGAAGACTTGCATGAGGCGTGCGGAGTGTAGTTCGCGCGATGAGTACAGCCGGCAGGCTGGGCCGGAGCAATGCATGGGACGGTGGAACAACTTCAACTTTTCTAATACGGAGGTTGTTGTACTACCGTAAAAGATGAGGTAAGCGCGGTGAAGGTCTGTCGACATTCGTAAAGCGTCAGTAATTGCGAACCCGCGTTTTCCTAATATGATCCTGACGCTACGCGTTTCTCCACGAATAAAAAAACTAGTCAATACGTGAAGAGGATCGAGAAATATCGCTCAAAATCAAAGAAATCTGAATAGTACACAAACTCGAAGTACTCCGCAGCTGTGGCACTATTGAATGCAGACGAGCAGGCCGCGGAACCTCGACAAGTAGCCTGTCACACATCGTGGTCACGTTTCGCATATAATTAAATCCGAATCAAGCCTGGCAATGGATCCCAACACGGACTCGTCGCAGCACAAGAGCAGCACGGATGCTCGTGGTGGCGCCAGCGGTGGTGGGGACAGCTACCAGCTTTCGTACCGTGCTTGCTTTGGGCTCAAGTCTGACGTGAAACACAATGTCCATTTCTTCGAGGAAACGCAGCTCGTCTACCCAGCAGGTCATACCACGGTGCTGCTATATGTTATGAACATGGGACTTTGAAGCAAGAAGTAGTACAGGAAGATAAATCTCACTTATGATCAGCGATTTTTTTGTAGCTGAATACTCAAATTTTCCTCATAGTACTGTTTTTTGTACCTAGATACTACTACTTATAGATATAAGCACTTATAGCTTCTTGTTCTTGTTGTTGAGCTCGTCCTTTCATTTCCCACAAATCGCAACGTTTTTTTCCCGGCACCGATGGGACCGAGGAAATCACGTGTATGGCCATATCGCCAAACAAGCGGTACCTGGCAGTGGCAGAAAAAGCTACCAAGGTGGAAGGGGATAAACCAATATTACGGCAACTACATCTTAGGCAAGCCGCCGAATAGAGTTTTACTACATCAAGGCAACTACATCGGGGCACTTTTCATCTTCTTACCCCTAGTTCGTTGTGCAAAATTAGTGTAAGAAGTAAGTAGCAAACTGAATATTGAAAACTTACATACTATTAATGAAGGCAGCCAATTTTTGAAATTGAGTATACTAGGCAGAAACGCTTCTTCTTCTAAATCTAGTGACTATTTACGATTTGCAAACTTGCAAAAAGCGAAAGACATGCTGCTATCTCGACGCCGACTGCCCTGCCATTTTGTGTATGGCATTCGATGCGAATTCGAAATTCCTGTTGACGCAGTTGGGGGTATTAATTACTTGATGCTGTAAGAAGTGAGTACTTTATTTATACTAGGCTTGTAACTTGTTGATTGTTGTTGTAGCCCTTTTAAGACGAGCGGCATTAGTGAAGCAATCAGATAACCAGACGACACCTTGTCCTCCCAATTGATTCACATCTAAAGAATACAGCTCTCGCCCTCTGCGCGACACGATTACACGCTTGTAAGTTGGCAATGGGAGAAAGCAAAGGCGGTGGCCGCATGCAAGGTCGGTGCGCCAGTCTGCGAAATATCATTTAACCCAGTCGACAGCACAACCTGTCTCGCAATCGGTGAAAACGTCTTCAAGTTTTTCAAGATACAGGTAACTTTACAATTGGGCACTGCTGCTGACGCATTTCATTGATGATATCAGTAGCAACTTTCTCAATGTTCTGTTGAACCAGCTCATCGAATCTTTGATTTATTCCGGCGGTAACTCACTTATGACACGGCTCTACTACTCTTCACTGATTGTCGCAATAAAGCATTTAAGTATTCACAACTTGGTCCGATCATTCAATGAATCAGGAAAGCGAGGGCCTGATGCGGCAGATCCCGTACCAGCTGGCGAAAAGTCGTGGACCGCAAACCTATTTCTGCCATTCTTGGCTACTAGATGACCGCCTAGTGGTCGGTCTTGAAAACGGAGAGCTCTTGCTCTTCGACAATGCTGGTGAATTCCTCGAAGTGGTCTCCAAAAGTGAGCCTCAGGCACTCAAGTCCATAGCTTCCTTTACGAAGGGCTTCGTAACCGGTGGCGATCTAGAAGTGGAAAACCTTGGACTCGGAAGCAGAATATTGGGCATACTACTTAAGCAGGAAAATCACTATAAAGATTTTCGGTTTTTGTTTTTTCTAGTTAGGTATGCTCCACCAACACTATAAAGATGATCATATATTATGCTTAGGTTGTAGTAGTTCAAAGTAAGTCTAAGTTGTAAGCCACCTAAACAAGTGTAAAAAGTAGATAACTTGTTGTTGTGGTTGTTTCACTTTCAGTAAGTAGCTAGTAGTAGATGTCTTGTTTCTGTTGTTTCGAGTCCCACATATACCACTGACTTGCTGTTGTGGTTGTTTCTAGTACAACTAAGCTAGTATACCTCCACACGACAACGATTCTACTCTTGGCAGCTTCTAACCTTCAAATCTATGAGAAAGTGGACGAGAAGTCGTTTCACAAAGCAAAGGAGATCACCCTCGAAGCTGGTGGAATTCGGAGCATGTCAATATCACCGTCAGAGGAGAGTCTCTGCGTGACAACGAGCACGGGACAACTCTATCTATGGGATGAAATAACGTTGCTCTCCCCCTTTTCCTGAAACTCAAATTTATTTTCTGATTCTCACACATCTCTACTAGTCCTTTTCTCATCTCTTCTAATCCCAAAGTTGAGTTTGATCTCGTCCGAATTGCTGAACGCGGACGACAAGAGCAAGTCACTCTTCGAGCCCCTGCTCAGTGGATTCCACTCTGGACCCGTCCACGGAATGGACGTCTGTCTCCGCAAACCTATTGTTGTGACGTGTGGCAGTGACAAGACGATTCGGGTCTGGAACTACCTTGAAAGAACATGCGAACTGACGAAACAATTTACTTTATGATGGTGTGGGTGGCAGAAGATGACATTTTAACTCTGAAAATACGGTTACAATGACATAATTGTAACCGTAGTTATTAAGTAAAAATCGGGAGAGGGAGACATCGTCATCGATTATATACCTATCAATTATAGAGACTAGTTGCCGACGTTTCTCATGTTTTATCATTATACTCATCAATACAACTTTGAGGTATTTCTAGTTGCCTATGTAGGCTGATGTGACTGTGGTTATCAAGAGCACCTGCGCGACGAGAGCAAAAGAACGCTTCTAAACTACGAGGAGCCACTCTCGTTGTCTCTGCACCCGACAGGATTTCACATTCTCGTAGGTTTCACCGATAAGCTACGGGCAATGAATTTGCTGATGGACGACCTGAAAACATTCAAAGAGGTAAAGTTCCCATTGACTCGCTATGATTAGACAGATCTTCTAAGTCCTGATCGCAATATGGGCATTATTTTACAGATTTTCTTTGTCGTTGCTTTATCTGCTTACTGTGACTGATACCTTATCTACGACACCGCATTTCCACATCTCAACATCTCAGCTTCCGGTGAAGCAATGTCGAGAGGTGCAGTACTCGAATGGCGGCAATTATTTTGCGGCAGCGAACGGAACAGCTTTGCAGGTCTACTACACATGGACCTGCGAACTTTTCTATACCTTTCACGGGTCACTATCGAGGATTCGGTGTATCAGCTGGTCCCCGGACGATAGCTCGCTCGCCACTGGCGCAGTAGACGGAAACCTGATAGAATGGAATCTGTTGTCGCAAAGCAAGTCACACGACTTCATAACAAAGGGCGTCAATTACACTAGCATCCTGTTCACCCAGAAAGAAGGCGGACAGCAGCAAGCGGGCGGGCCGGTTACCGCACGAATAAATACATTGTACTACAGTAGAAGTACTCTTACTTCAACAGCATGTGCATGCATGATGTTGATGACAGATAGGAAACTCTATCGAGGTAACCGGATTACTTAACGCACGGGGGCTGTGCGTTTTAATTGTAGCACATCCAGTAGTTACTCAATATCACTCAACGTCCGTTCTTCCCAAAACCACGATTTATTTTTATTTTCAGATACGCCGCAGGCACCGATCGCATGCTCAAGGAAGTTCGAGGCGGCCAAGTTCACTCATATCAGGAGTGTGGGTCCACTATTGGTCAAATCGTAGGCGGTGAGGGCGCGCTCCTGTGCTCAGTTGGGGATACAGAGAGGCAAGGTGCCCCAGTACGGGTTTACAAATACCCATTAGGCAACGTTGAGGCTCCACTGCAGTATGCAGCGCATAGCGCACCTAGCACAAGGCTGCGACTCACATACGACGAAAACTACCTCTTCTCCGTTGCAGAGGACGGGTACTGCGGTCTTATAATATGCTCGTGAATTATGCCTTGTCACGAATGCTTTATGATGTATTAAGTAGGCTGACCCTTGTCACGATTCTGCTATTTTAGTTTTTCTCGGACTACATTTTGCACCGCATATGAGGTCAAGATGTTGTCAATCCTCGGATCACCTAACGTATCTATACCCTATCAACCCACGACCTCAACACAGGTGCCTCTTCATGTTTGAGGTGCGCAAGAAGTCTGCTGTGGGAA